ACCACAGGTGCAAAATGGAGTCACTGATGCTGAGCCCCACATCACCAAATCAAGATTTAATTACCGTTTCAGGTCTCCCAGAAATGGAATCTTAAACATCAGTCAGGAACCTCCTGATCAATGCTAGTGAGGTAGTCTGCCTGGTGGACCCCAGCCATCCCCTAAAGAAAAGTAACTTTGCAATAACTAACCCACTTTTTGCCTAGTGTAATTTCCTTGTTGCTGCTCCCTTCTGCCTATAAAAGTGTTTATTTTTTAAAATATTTTATTTATTTACTTGATAGAAAGACAGCAAGTGAGAGAGAATGAGATAGAGCAGGGCAGAGGGAGAGAGAGAAGCAGACTGCCCACTGAACAGGGAGCCCAGTGTGGGGTTCAATCCCAGAACCCCAGGACGATGACCTGAGCCAATGGCAGACACTTAACTGACTGAGCCACCCATGAGGCCCTAAAAGTGTTTAATTTTGTGCAGATGTATAGCTCCTTGGAACTCCTTTCTATCTGTTAGAGAAGGTGCTGCCCAATTCATGAATCTCTGAATAAAGCCATTAAGATCTGTAAAACTTAGTTAGACTTTGTTTTTTAACATGTGCTAGGGTGGAGGTAGATATACATAATTTTGGAGGTAGGGATAGGAAGGACACTTGTGATGATTAATTTTATGCATCAACTTATCTGGGCCATGGGTGGCAGACATTTGGCCAAACATTATTCAGAATATGTCTCTGAGAGTGTTTCTGGATGAGATTAACCTTTGAATTGTTAGGCTGAGCAAAGCAAATTGCCCTCCTGGATGTTGGTGGGCCTTATCTCATCAACTAAAGCCCTGATAGCACAAAAAGCCTGGCCCTCCCTTGTGTAAGACCCTCCCTCCCTTGACTGTCTTGACCTGGGACATCAGTTCTTTCCTGCCTTCCAACTTGAACTGAAACATCTGCTCTTAGGTCTGGGTCTGCCAGTTTTTGGACTAGAACTGTGCTATCGGCTCTTCTGGGTCTCAGCTTGCTGACTGCAGATGGTGGGACTTCTCAATCTCTATAATCACATGCACCAAGTCCTTATAATAAATGTCTCTTTACAGATATATACATCCTATTAATTCTTTTTCTCTAGGGAACGCTGACCCATACAGCACTGAAGTTTTCCATGCTCATTCACACCTACTTTCTTATGAACCAGAGTCAAGGTCATCAGCTGAGCATGAGGTAGGTGAGGAAGGGAAAGTGGGTTTGAGAAAAAAGGAAGAGATTTTGCAGAAGGACAGAAATGAGAATGGTGCAGAACAGGGTTTGTTTCTTTGTGTAAAAGGTATTTCTCTCCAAGCAAACTAATGCTTAATTAATTATTCATGAATGCATTGACTCCATATGTCTCCCCTGTAAGATTATAAATTCAAGGGGTAAGGATTTTCTTTCAAAGATGGAACATGGTTTAAAGTTGGAACCCTTTACTTGGGTTCATACCCCTGATTTGCTGTTTTCTAGCTGCATTATCTTGGGTGAGGTACTCAACCTTTCTGCTCCCCAGATTCCTCACCTGTATTTACTTCATGGGTTTGGGGTAGAAACTAAAGAAATCTCAAGGGCACTTTCAATGGTGACTGGCAATAGTAAAGATCATGGTCATCTTGGCCTCAGTCTACCTGAGCACTTAGCTCAATGCCTGGAATATAGCAGATCGTGGATGCATGGGTTGGTGGACGGATGAAGACTATTTTTTTGTGACTTAGCCTCTATGGTTAAAGGTTACCAGCTCGGCATCATTTCCACCCTATTCTACATTATTCTCTGCAGGTTGAGGGAAGAGCCTCAGAACTATATTCTCTGGAATCCCTTTCCAGTGGGGCTGTGTGTTAGATTTTGCCAATAACAAGTGTTTGCCGAAGGTTTGAAAGAGAAAGAGAAGGAAAGCCATGACTTGTTCAGAGGCGGCTGGGCAGCGTGTAGGACTTTGGCAGAAGACAGGTGAAGGGTTTTGTGCAGCTGCGTCTGGGCATTCTCCCGAAAAAGCATAAACTTCATTGCTACATGAAGCCAAACCCAACCGTGGCAGCTAGAAGCTCTGATTTCTGCACTATGGGTTTCTTCAAGGCAGCAGCAGCTTCCCTGCCTTCATTTTTTGGGGGGGCGGGGGGAGCTCTTCCAACAATTCTATCAGTTCCTAATTGTCTCCATTAAATCCTTTCCTGCTCAGAGTATCTCATGGGCTTTGCTTTTTGGACTAAACCCAAATGTTACAGGCTGAATTTTGTCCTCTCCAAATTCCTAGGCTGAAGCACTCACATCTAGCACCTCAGATTGTGAGTGCATTTGGACATAGACCTTTAAAGAGGTGACTGAGTTAAAATGAGGCCATTTGGGTGGGCTTAATCAAGTCTGACTGGGGTTCTGATAGGAGGAGGACATTTGGATATACAAGGTGACACCAGGGATGTGCTCCCAAAGAAGAAAGGCCACTTGAGGACATTGCAAGTAGGTGACTATCTGCAGGCCAAAGAGAAAGACCTCAGTAGCGATTGATCTGTTGAGACCATGAGTTCAGGTTTCTAGCCTCCAGCACCATGAGAAAATAAATACCATCCTGGAGTGTTTTGTCATGGCGGCCCTAGGAAACTACTAGACTAGTCTGAACAGTAACTGGATTGTTCGAACAACGAGTCTAAATCGTCCCTCTGATTGTTTGGGGTGAGACAGTGTGGTTGGAGAGGTGTTGAAGGTAGCACATATTTGTGAGTCACTGGAAAAATTCACACCAGGTCCAGCTCATCCAGAAAGTGCTGCTCTACTAAAGCCATGAAAATTTTATCTCCTGGCCTAGATCAGAGCTGAGTTCGGTCAACACCCAGAAGAAACTGGCCCGGTGTGGATGTCATGCAACGTGGCCCCTCAGTTGTTTCTGCACACCCGCAAAGAGTGCCATTCCATTCCTCCCCACCTCCAGGCCAGCCCAGGGCCCCGCTGGCACAGATCTTTGCAGCAGCGACGCTGGACCAGTTGCCGGTAGAGAACATTCAGTAGGGGAGTTTGGGTGTCTTTATCTAATTCAGTTTTGAGGGTAAAGGAAAAAATGGAAACCCAAAATAGGGTATGGGGAGGGCACTGGAGAAGGACTGGAAACCAGAACTGAGTTCTGAAGGCCTGTTGAGAAAGAGAGATCCTGAAGAATCCTTCCTCAGAGGAGGAAGTGCACTAAGGGGCCTGACTGACAAAAACTGTGCTGGGAGAGCCTAAGAGGAAGTGGTTAACTCTACTTTTGAATCTAGAGGGGTGATGGCCTTCAACTCCCCCACCGAGGCTCACCCTTCCCAAAGAGGAGGAAGGTCACAAATAGAGGCCCCTATCTCATGGGCTCCCAGGGCACGTAGGCCCCTGCGGCACCTCCAGATTAAAGGGATGACTGAGGGGACTGGCCTTGCTGCCCTTCCCTGCATCTGGTATGGCGCGAGGGTTCTCAGGCGTTGTTCTCTTCCGTTTTACCGGTGAGGATTCCAGAGGGTAAACTCGCAGAGTTGCCCAAGTACTGCCATAGCCGGATTGATTCCCACCCAGTCTTACACTGAGATCACCTCTTTCGCCATTTTGTCATACGGACTCCCCGAAACCCTCGGAGGGCCTACCCACTGGACATCCCCCATGCCGAAGGGATGTGCTGGGGCACGACAGATACCACTTTCAAGTGCCCCTGCCCACCAGAGCAGCGCTGCCTACGGGATACTCACACGTACCGTCCGTTCCACTCTGTGGAGCTTATTGAAAGTAAAGGAGTACTTCTGTTTTTCCCAGGGAGTCTGAGGATAACCAAGAAAGAATAATTTGTGTGTAGGAGTTAGGAATAAAGGTTCTTCTGAAGATATTTCAAAGGTTTTCTCAAATGTTCCATTACTGCAGTGAAACCAAAGTTGTATTACGTATTTACGTGGGTGGTTTTCATTCTAAGATTGTAATTCTAGCTTTAATTAGATCAGAAACAGAAATCAGACTTTAGCTGAAGGAAAAGAGTATAATTTTTAAGCAGAGTGGCAACTGAAGACAGAGACATTTATAATGAAAGTAAGCTGGCCATCTTTTTTCCATTATTCAAGAAAACCTTGTAGTGATGTTGGTTCTCACTAAATACTTGGTTAGATTCTCTTTATCTGTTTTATTTATGTCCTGGTCTCCTTGCCCACAACCGGACCCTCCATGCTGACATAAATGGAATCACACCACTAGGAACCAAAGTTCAAATTCCAGTCAAGCCAGTTTCAATATGCTTAGATGCAATTTTCACCTCTTTATACCTAATTCGAGTCATTTATGAGATGTGCATAATCTTCCCTCAGTCTGGAGGGTTTGCCCCACCTTATATTTTAAATATGTAAAATCTCTTTAATTTCCTAACCGTGCCTTTTGTACTGTTTTTACAGTAAAAAATATTACAGCAGCACTAAAGGGATTTTTCAAAAAACAAAAAACCAAAACCTCTCCAAATAACAACTGATTTCAGTTTTGTGTATTTCTGCCCTTTTGTTACTTATACTGATGTATCCATTTAATGTTTAATTCTCAGGCTATGAGATAAGCTAACACTGCCACCCACCCCAGCGAAATGCTGTTCTCAAAGGAGGGTGTTTCCGGCATACCACTGCCTTCTAAATGAGAACTGAAAAGGGATACTCCTGCCCCGTGGGCCTCGCTGCTTTAGGAATCCCTGGTTACTCTCTCCTCATTTCCTCCCAGCCCCCAAGTCCCTGTTTTTTATTTACTAACGATTCCAAAACTAAATATAAATCTTCTCCTTTTGCATAACAAAAACAAACGTTTTATGAGGGCAAAGATAAACTCTGTTCATCTCAGTGTTTAATACGGTGTTGGGGCGTATAGCATATTCATCAGCAAATAAAAACTACAAGGAAAGGAGGGATTTGTGTCCTTTTTGGCTTCAAATCTATGTCATTGCTTTAGTAATCGCATCTCCTAAAATCACAGATTAAGTGGTAAGGAAGAAGAAATCACTGTTGCCACATGTAACACTTGTACATTTTATTTAATTAAATCAGCCATTGTACACATTGCAGCTATGTATTGTTAGTGTTGTATTTTTTTTTCCATTAACTAATACATGCCCTCATAGATATATTCAATTAGTGTTATCACCATGGGAACAAGATGCTGATTCATCAACTGAAAATTCACTTCTTCTCACAGTATTCAAGTTTTTTGATTACACAGCAAAAATCAAAAATCAAAAAAAGGTGAATAACCATTATGTTGTTACACAGACGTCATCTGCACTGCAAAGAACACAACAGAAATGCTTTTCTTGATCTCCAGTGAAGGTTTTGACAAGAGGGCCATGGTGTGTCTCAAAAAGTTTCACCATTGAGCCTCTCTCATTTTGGCTGCCAAAGAAAGCTTTATTTCCTATCCGACTGCCAGAAAGTGCTAGCATTTGAGGCTTTAAGAGATTTGGCTTGTGGGAAACCTCCCTCCCAGGAAATTTTCTCCCTTGGCAACATTACTTGAAATGATGAAGTGCCATTGTTTGTCACATTTGTTTTTGACTTTCGGAGCAATGAGTCATTTTTGCACAACAGGAAAAGACCAGATAGAATTGGAAAATGTTCAATCCCTGGAGGATAGACTCTTTTTTTTTTTTAATTTCATCTTCATTGAATATACTTTTCTTTAACAAATAACTGATTCGAAATGTATACTGTTTATATGAATATATTTGTGAATATATATATATGTTAAAATGCTACACAGCTTCAACCACTAGAGGAATAAGGAATAGGACATGGAAATCACTCAGATGATTAAAGTTCCTTCTCTGAAACAAACAAAAAAGTGCACAAATGCACTTAAGAGTTTCCAAGGGAGTTTGGATTTCAAATAAATAAATCAAAAATTTTAACCAAAACCAAATTTGTAAGGATTTCTCAACCTTGTCTGCAAGCTAAAAAACAGACCCAGCAGAAGAGTGAAAAGTGCTTGCTCAGGGTCAAAAGAATGAAAACCATCAGTGTGATTAGAAGAGGACTTTTGACTGTGGTTTCGATTTTTAAATGCTACATGCAGGTATTGGAGAAGATATAAACCCGGAGGGGGGAAAGAAAACCACTCCAACACGGTGAAGTTTAACCTTTTGTGTAGGGGGTAAATCTTGTTTCCAATGGATTATCTACAGTGCAGTGGCCAGGAGAAAGTACCACCAATAAGACAGCGTGGTTTGCTAAAGCAGCAATGAAAACTGGAAAACTACAGTAGTTATAGCTTTTAAAATACCCTGCCAATGTGTCCAAAATCTAAAAGACCTGAAGATGCTAGAACGCCACAGGATGTGGTGGCTAGCCGCTGAATACCTCACTGTTTCTTTCCTTTTGCCTTCTGTTCCCCTTCTCCCCTCCCTCATGTGGCCGTTGGGGAATCATAAACCAAGGCTGGCCAGCACCAGCAGTAAGTGCTTAGTTAGGATAGTCCTTGAGGTTATTAACCATCTTTTACTAGGAGCAACGGCTACTCTGGAAGTTCTAAAGACGTGGTAGGTCTGAAGGGCTGCTTTTGCAGTCAAACTGTATTATCACTCGATTGTGTTAGCAATATGGTAATTAACCATTGTTCAGCAATTTCTAGAGGCCTTTTATTCCATGATGCCCAGTGTAGTTATGATAGGCAGTGGTTTTAATTTTAATATGTTGTTCATCTGAGCATTTGAGCTATATACATGGTACAAGGATATCCCTCGGAAGGACTCCCGGACATCATCACTTGAAGAGGTCTGTAGGTGAAGTTCTTCTGATCGATGGATTTTCGTGGAGCTTGTGTAGGAGCAAAGAACGATGGAGGTGGCCAGTTCCCAGTTTAGCACAGACACAACAAAGTAGTGGATACAGCATCCAGACTGAAGGATGCTATCTTTGGTCACAAATCAGCTTACAGTTAAAGAGGACGGGGAAAAACTGAAACAGAATGCGGTGTGTATTTGCTAAAAGTGAAAGTGTCAGGGTATCCCATTAGGCTGGGGAGGTCACTCTGCTAATGAAACGGGAAGTTGCATATTGAGTGAATGCGTGGTTTCTGGTGTGAGGACTGGGCAGCCCCTCATTTGGCCTCTTGCTTCGAGTCCTCCTTGCAAAAATACCGAAGGAGTTGCTGGAGGTCGCGCTGGAGGTCATCTTGGTCTAGTGCTTCTGGTACATCCTCCAGGTGCTCCAAGTAAATTCGTTTTCCATGCTGGTCCTTCACCACAGCCCTCTTCTGTGTACTGGCTTTACTCATTGTTGTCCTGGAGGAAAGCAGACAAGAGAGAATTATGCTTTCTTCACTGAAACGCAGCCACCATCTTTGGAATGGGGGTAACCATGACATGAAAGCACTTTACTGTCCTACCTATGGATACTTCCACACTAGCCATCTTTCCACATCTTTCTTTTAAATGTGGCCTCTCCTGTCTGACATGAGTCATGAAATGTTCTAAAGTCTTTTGGAATAAAGAAGGTTTTTTAAATCCTTAAGAACTATTTCAAGTAACTAAAACCATGCTTTAATAGGATTCTCTCCAAGAGTAACTGTATAATCATTCTTGTTTTACTAAGGTGCCCTGATTTGGGTGGCGTAGTCGGTTGGGCATCAAATCTCCATTTTGGCTCAGGTTGTGATCTTGGAGTTGTGGGATTGAGCCCCTCATTGGGCTCCATACTCAGGAGGGATCTGTTTGAGAATTTCTCTCCTTCCTTCTGCCTCTTCCACTCATGCTCTCTCTGTAAAATAAACAAATAAATCTTAAAAAAAGAAAGAAAGAAAGAGCGAGCTTGACTATTCCTGAAACAGGGATTCCATATGTACTTTTTGACAGGCTGAGAAAAATACTTTTTGATTTCTTAAAACATCTTAGCTGGGGGTGCCTGGGTGGCTCAGGTCATGATCCTAGGGTCCTGGGATCAAGCTCCACATGGGGCTCTCTGCTTGGCGGGGAGCCTGCTTCCTCTTCTCTCCCTCTGCCTGCCTGTCTGCCTACTTGAGATCTCTGTCTGTCAAATAAATAAAATCTTTAAAACAACAACAACAACAACAACAAAAAAAAAATCTTAGCTGACAGCTTAATCTTTAGAGTTGCATCCTGTTCTAGGAAAACTTTTCCATGAGCTATAGATCTTTAAAAACTGGAATCTTATTCTGTCAACCTAGAGGAAGGTGACTGCCAATGAGAGATGAGGGTCTGCCCAGGTGTCAAAACTTCATCTAGAGATGGTGGGGAAGACAGAGGAAAGAGAAAAAAACACCGAGAGACAAATTCTTTCTCCATCTGCTCAGATCTCCATGGACTTTGCCCATTTTTGGTCTTCTATGCCTTGAAGAGTTTGCTGCTTTCTTGGCTCCCTCCTGACTAGTGATTCCTTGACAAAAGGGGCTCTGATGTACTGTGATATTTTGTACTACCATTTTCCTGCATCCCTACTTGAAAATGATTATGCTGTAATCTGTACACCCTCTCTTCTTCTCACTACTTCTTTAAATATAATTATTCATTCCGTTACTATGTGGTGAACATTTTTATGTGCCAGGCACTATTATTAAAATGAATAAGGATAATGAGTCTCAGAGATTTTAAGCAATGCTCCAAATACAAAATAACATAGTTAGTATGAAGCAGGGCCAAGACTCAAAGGTTCCAGAGCCTGAATCTGTAACCATGATGTTACGCATCTTCACTGAAAACCATGGAAGAAATGAGCAGTGTTTGTGACTTTACCCAGCATTTTTCTTACTGGTTCCTAGTGTTAAGGAGCTGGAAGTTCTGCCCTTACCATTATTCTACCTTTTAACACTGCCATGCATTGAAGATCATCCTGATTTTTTTTTTAAGACTTCTATTAGCCAAAATACTTTCAACCTTCTTTTGACCATCTTTGTTTCCTTCTTCCTTCTTCTCGCATGTTCTCTTCTTCTCTCCCTTCCTTCAAACTTCTCTCCTTTCCTTCAACACCACACAAGTTATTTTGTTTTGTTTTGCTTTAAAGATTTTATTTATTTGACAGACAGAGATCACAAGTAGGCAGAGAGGCAGGCAGAAAGAGAGGAAGGGAAGCAGGCTCCCCGCTGAGCAGAGAGCCCGATGCGGGGCTCAATTCCAGGACGCTGGGATTGTGACCTGAGCCAAAGGCAGAGGCTTTAACCCACTAAGCCACCCAGGCGCCCCTCACATGAGTTATTTTGTATCTGAAGACAAACTTAAATTTGTTCCTTTTTAAAAAAAAATATTTTAGAGAAAGAGAGAGCTAGGGTAAAGGCAAAGGGAGAAAGAGTCCTCCAGCAGACTCCCCAGTGAGCATGGAGCCCAATGCGAAGCTTGATCCCAGGACCCTGACACCATGATCTGAGTCAGACGCTTAACCAACTGAGCCACCCAGGCACACCAAATTTGTTCCTCTTGATAACAAGATCAAATTTGGTTCCAGTGGTTGAAATTAGATTTCTAACTATTCAGCCCTCATAATTTTCATCTCCCAAAAGGCAAATATCCGATTATTTCTGCCAAGAGCTAAAGAAGCCTTCATTGCATTGGTGGTGGTGGTTGGCGGGGTGGGGGCGGGTAAGGGGGTGGGGGAGTGATAAGTTCCTGTCATAGGCAGACTCTGGTATTTTGTGCAGATATGTGTAGATGAATGTGTTTGTGAGTACGCATATGCATATAACTCAAGCAGTGGAATAAATCTACTCATGTATATGGCGGGGGGGCAGTGGGTATGATAAAAAGTCTTCAGCAACATACAGGATAAACGTGTTATACATGACAAATACAGTTCTCGAACTAAATAGCTATAGAATTTAATTGAGTTGTCTGTATCCCTGGCTTCAAATTCACCAGCTGTAACTGAGATGACTGAGAACTTTGGATTAACTGGTCCCTAAATGTAGTCCAATTTAAAGAGCTCATGATGCTGGGGTGTGCACATGGTTTATGTGGTTTTGTTGAGTAACTGAATAACAGACTTAAAAGTTCAGAGTACAAAAAGCACTTTATCCTTAATTTACATAGCATTTTTAAAGTTCTCTGAGCAATTACACTCTTCAGTTCTTAGGTGCTGCTGCTGTTCACATGGGACTGGAGGGCGGAATTGTGACAGAACCTTTAATTCACTGTTCCTAATTATTATGTTCTACGGGCTAAAAATAGCTTTGTAGAGTACTATAAATGACAATCTTTTCTTCTTTACAATGAAGTGGAAAGCACAATAGTAACTTGAGTTTCCATTGTGTCTTTTCACTGCGAAGCTGAGAGCACATCATTAGCATGGTGCTGCTAGAGGACCTGAGAGAAGGGCCAGGAGATGAGGCAAGAGGCAAGGGTGCTCGAGTTCATACATCAAATGGGTGATAGGGACAGGCTGACCAGGGAGTTTCACAGCTGGCCCCCTTTCTTAGGCACAAAAGTGAGGTGCTGACTGCTTTTATGGCACTTTCTAAACTTAGTAGAGTTCCTGGTTTCAGCATTGCTAGGTACATTCAGGTTTGGGGATATCAAACTCATGCTCATGTTATTTGCCACTTACATGCGGAATCATGAAACAGCTTATAGCTTTTGGAAGGAGGTAAAAAAAAAAATTTTTTTTTAAAAAAAACCCAAAGCATGTACCATGCAGTTATGATTTGCTAAGACTGAACTGAAAGTAGCTGGTCACAAGTTTAATTTGCGAGCAGCTGACTAGATTCCTCCTCATATGAGCTCCAAGTCTATCAACACGATGGAGGATCCCAGCCAGGCGGCCTCAGCGCCTTGCTAAAACCCAGGGAGTGACTGTGTCAACTGGTGTCTCGTTCTCCTCAAGCCTTGCTATTACTTTCAAAGCATCCAGAGGACGCTACAGGCATGACAACTGACAGATCTACCACTTGACAAAAGTGTACGATGCAGAGAGAGTTGGAAGTTCCCAAGGGATGTTAGGGTATATGTAGGGGCTGTTTTTATTTTCTTAAAATTGGGGAAAAACTCCAGGTGTTAGTTGGCAAAGCATAACCCCATGCTACCCCAAACCTTTTAATGACTGATCCATCCTCTTTCAGGATTTCATCCTCTACTAAACTGGGGAAGTGCACTTTCATGTGGCTACCTGTGTAAGTCAAAGCCTGAAGAAGAAAGAAGACAGGACAAAACCCATCGTAAACCATAGACTTAAAAAGAATCTATTCCGGTGCTTAATTGATAATGAGTATAAAAAGCTATACTTGAAAGGGTAAGTAAAAACAATCTCGGGATCAAATAAAAGAATTGAGTTTTATCTAAATTCCTCCCATTTGTGAGGGACATGTACTACGATGCTTCATAGATGCTGGTAAATAACGTCTGTACTGACTGACTTCTGATTTGCTCCTCACCTCACCCCTTCTTTTCCCGGTGGAGACTCTACCAATAAATATAATGATTAGAGGCAAAACAAGCAACAAAGGAATAAGACCCAAAGTGTACAACTCACACAATTCATCTTCTGATTATGCAAGGTTAAGATATTTTCCTTAAAAGTATTTAAATAAGGTATGCCTTTCATACCTCAACACATTCATATATAATCTCAGCGCATATTGTGGGTAAAGAAGAGGACACACATGTAACATTTAACTTCAAAAGGGCTCAATAGCAAAAAGTGTTTTGTAGATATTTGCATAGGTCCACAATCCCTTAGTCAAACCCTTGGGGCCAGATGTGTTTCAGAACCCAGAATTTTTTCTTTTTGGAGTTTAGAAAGGTAATATGATACATACACTGTATGTTCCAATACCACAGAAGGGGCTGGGGCAGTATCCTATAATCAAACTCACACGTGTATCAACAGCAAACCATATGAATATTCACTCTAGGGAGGACTAAAACTCCTTTCAAGTCCTAATAGCTCTGTATCAGTTCGTATTAAATTCTGCCACCAAATTAACTCGCTACTAAGCTACAAAATTTGTTTCAGTTTTCAGAATTTTTGAATCCTAGTAAGGGTCTGTGGGTCACCGTGGACCCATTTCCTAGTTCCTGAAAATCAGAACTTAAATAATCATAAATACTTATTTTATTTCTAGGTTTAAAATAAAACTGGATCTTCTTTAATGTCAATCTTCAGAAATATTTGAGAATATTAGTTAGTAAAGATAATTTGCAACCTATTTATTTCTTTTTCTTACTAATTGGGAAGTTACTTCTGGGACTTCCTAGCAAGATGTACAATCATGACCTAATTCCAGAGATTCTGATTCTGATTCAGCTGAAGCGAATTCTGGTCATCTAGATTTTTAAAAGTATTTAAGATGACACTGATGAATACCACAAGTTGTGGAAACATTACCTCCCTGTACAAGTTATTCACATAGGAATTCTACTCTCTTGAATTTTTCTGCACCTTTCCATGAATACACATATGGAATGACATGATGATAACCATTTTCTTTTTTAACACAAAGCAAACATAAAATATACATACACCACACAAAAACATGAAAGTGATAATGCTTCTATACCTCTTCAAAGTCATCTTTGGCTGAAGGAAGATCGGTGGCTAAACTAGAATCACCCAGATGTTTCTCCATCCTCTCTCCATGTACCATAGTTGTTTTAACAACTTTGCTGACTCTACGGCCTTCCACTGGTTCAGCCTGAAATTGTGAGGTACTGGACAAAATGCTGGGCTCAGACAAAGTTACCTAATGAATGAAGGACACATGATACATGGTTTCTGATTGCCACAATGTCACAGTGATGAATTCTTTCATATAAAAAAAAAAAAAACAAATAAAAAACCCCCAAACCCTACAATGATATATACCGGTCTTCCAGAAAACAGTATTTTGGAAAAGAGAAGCAGTTACAAAAAGAAAGAAAAAGCCTGTAATCCACTGGTGATGCTTCTGTGGAAGACTCTACGTACACAGCACCAAACTCATGAGTCACCTGAACGGAAACCCATCAGGAAGTATTGTAAATAAGAAACCAATTGCTCAGTGCAATGCAGACGTAACAGCCTGTTGATAAACTCTCTCCTCCATGTTTAAATGGTTTTGACATTATGAAGATAAAACTAATCCCCATAGGAGAAACTCTCAAAGATATGAGAAACCAAAAGAATAGATTTCTGGTAAAACTTTGTGCCTGATAATAACATTTGGAGGATGTGGATGAATGCAAAACAGTGAGGGTGTCACAAATTATACATCAAAGAGAGTCAATGTTTCTCAAAGAGAGTAGAATGGAAAGAAAGAAAACTAGAGGTCAGGGAATTTCTGGACCCTGACTTTAGTGACTCTGAAATGCACAAGTTTAAATACCAAATATTTATCAACAGGGCCCTACAGAGGCTGCCACGCTGTCCATGGAACAAGCGCCACAACGCAATTGTAAGGGACTTTCCGTGACATACTTCTTGCCAGCCAAAGGAATTCTGGTCTTTTAAAATTTGACTTTTGGATTTCTATTGTTATGTATACAACCATGAACTGAACAGGAAACAGAAATAAGAAAGACCAAACAGAGATCATGAATACAATGGCTACAAATCTCCTTGATGGTTATTTTAAAATGCCACAAAATCATGAAGAAAAAAAATGAATGTACAACTGAAAGTAGGGTGCCATGTAATGGAGAGCAGTGGGGCCAATGTGGGTAAACAATGTCACCCACCTCTTCTGACTCTATTTCACACTTGTCCATAAAATCACATTGGAGAATCAGATGTTCTTACCTCTGACTGTTCGGTGTCACTCTTTAATACAATGCGTTTCATGACTTTGGAATAGCTATCTCCTTCCTCAATGCTGATGGGTCCCTGGTGCGTTCCCTGCATCGTAACCTCCTCTTTCTCTGTGCCATCAGAGGACACATACCGCCTAATGACTTTCCTAGTGACCTGAAAGATATTTTATTCATGGATCTTGTTTTTGAGGGACCGTACTGGGGGACTGATAAGTTTTAAGCAGGAGGTTTGAAATCAGTCACATTAGGACAGTACCTTCTTAACCACAGTATGTCCATGCTCATCAATGTATTCTTCTTCTGTGACTGTTTCCGGGGGTATGTCAGGCATATCATCTCCCTAAACAGTTGAGAGAAAAGGGTCACTTCTGTGTTTGGCACTGATTCTGGGAAACTCTTCCCAAGGGCTTATAATGGGAGCCATGTTAGAAAATGAAGGAAGCTACTGAGAAGCACTGCTGAGATGCCGAGTCCTGTCAAGTAGTATGTTTAAAGGAAAGAAAGAAAGAAAAAAAGGCGGGTGATAACATGCTTAGGCGAACTGGACCAAAGTTAGGTATACAACAAACACACAAACAAAAACGGACAAGCGAGGTGAGGTGGGCAAAATGGAAGAAGCGCTCTCACGCCTGCTGCTCTCTCGAGGTGGGCTGCCAAGGTCATCACCACTGCATTGTTTTTTTTAACAAACCAAACTTAGGAGAGTTAGGGATCTGCTTTTGAATGGCCATGCACTCCCTAAAGAGCATGCCGAGCCCTCATTGCTCCAGGTCTATACCACTCTCTAAGGGTTATGGGGACAGAAGTGTCCCGGACGTGCAGTAACATAACAGCTATTACCTGAATAATCACTCGTCGGCGGACAACCCTGGTAGTTACCATCGCCTCCTCATCTGAGCTGGCCTCCAGCTCACCTAATTCCTCTGTTAGCTCCTGGTGGAAGCATGGAAGCATGGTTTTGTTTAACACGCTAAGGAATGTCTTCACTACTGGTTTCTGCTTTAGTTCACACTTGTTTTCTGAAAGTCTCATTCCTGGAGGCTTTGGTGGAAAAGCCAGCAGGGCAAACAGGTGTGTATAAGAAAATAGATTTTTTGTTCAATGAATGAAAAAAAAAATTATGGAATTCTGAAAGCTGTCTGAGTGCCCATCTGTCAAAATCTGTCAGAAGAAATGTGCAGCTTGTCCACATCACTGCTTGGACTTAAACTCCTGATAAAACCACCAGATGTAAACACAGAACTCAAGCAACACAAAAAAACATTTATAAGCCACTGACACTCAGGCTTTAGGCTTGGAATGATTAACCCACAGGTATAGAAATAACTTAAGCTTTTAGCAGAACTTTCTGCAAAAAGCCACAATTTCCTAGTAACTGTTATCTAGCCAGTGGAGCATCTCCCTGGCAACAAAAAAGGCAGCCTATGAATACTAGACTCATTTTGCAGAAAAGTTAAGATGGACTGGCCAGTCTGATGTTATGGGTCTGGCCCAGAGTCAGAGATGGAGCTGAAGACATAATTTTAGATTAGAACACGTATCTCGGGAGCAGTCTATCAAATCGCTCTTTCCTAATAGGATGATTTTGTTTTTTTTTTTAAAGAAGACTCAATGAAATTTTTTCGACATATTTTTAAATACCTGATGTATTTCTACATGCTTTTCTGCGAAAGGAAGATATGTAAAATTTAAAGCATATTATACTTTAAAAACATTCAGGAATCTGCCGCCTAGAAATATGATCAGCACGAAAAGTGACTGAAATTGGATCCTCAAGATAAGGTCATGAGAAGTTAAGAGTCAAAATAGGAAGCATCACAGAGGTAACTGGACCATTTATTCATTAAGAATAAATGGAACAGACCTGTGTAAAGTGGAATACAGAAGGACTTATCAAAATTTATTTATGTGCATTGAAAAAAATAAATGAATTATGCAGATAATTGTTTGAAATCTATACTTCATTTAGCCACTGGATTCTTAGGCTAAATTTCATTAACTTCTAAGTCCAGATAGCATCTTTGAAACACTTTTACTAGAATTCATTTAAGCCAAGAAGTTGGGAGATGAATAATTCTGTGCAAAAGTAAACTTAAAATAAAATTCCATTCGTGGGATGAATTTATTATTTAAGGTAACTGCCAAAATTGGGACATAGTTCTCATTTGCCTGAACCTCTCCTAATTATAGTCATGATTTTAGACAAATCCTGCTAGCAGATGTCATTCTCATAGTGAACCAAAATAAATGTAGGCCTTAAGCCCACAGATAAGTTGTATCACTTGTTTCCCCAAAAAGTTTCAGTTCTTTTATATAACTCATTCTTTACTACTGAGACATATATTAATGCTTTAAAAACACTTTGAGGTAGAAAATGTTTTTGAATTCTGAAAGGAAAAATATATAATTTAATTTATATTAAATTACGTTTAATGCAAACAGATTCTGGGTCCTCCTTCCCTCCCTGAGAGTCATTTTGATTCAGGAGCTCTGAGGAGAGCTCAAACCCCCGCCGTTAATGCTGAGGGATATAAACAGTTTAGAATGCATTTTGAGAAGAAATGGTTTAAATGAATTTCTTAAGATGGTCTCCACCCTTCTTCACAATATCAAAACTCACATAAGGACAAAGGAAACAGTGTGACGTCAACTCTTGCCCCTGTCAGGGATTCCGACATTCTGAATCAGCAGTAAGTTTACGTACCATGTCCCGTTTCAAAGTCCTTCTTAAAACAGACATAAGGAGATCTATTTTGGAAATAATCTTTCCTTTAACGAGAACAACTTGTTTCAGGAGGTAAACCCCACAGGACAGTCACAGTCTGCCTGCTCATCGTTTGATGGCACAGGCAGATCTAACCAGAGTCTGGCTCCCACAAGTTGCCGTGGCTGGCATCTACCTGAGGCCCTGTGAATCCCTCCCACTAGTCTGCACCCCTGTGGTTATCAATTTTGAAAAGCTCTATTGGGTATCTTGTTTCATCACAGTGTTCATTTGCCTTAGCAAAAAGTTTTTCAGTTGTACAAAAAAAATTGTACGGCTCATGGTCAAATAGCTAGAATTGGAATGTGTATCATTTTTTTTCTAGATTCTCTGGTCCCAGGTTTTAAAAGGGATTGAGGAGTTCACATGACCCAGGTTAATTTTTTTCAGGGAAAAAAATAAGCCAGCAGAGAAATGGAAACTGGGGAAGGTTTGTAGCTTTGCTTCCTGTGGGCAAGGAAAACGAGGAGATTCTTACCTTATGGAAAGCTTCATCTTCATCGAGCCTTTCAAGATCCTGGGGCTGGTCATTAGCGGACTCCACAATCACCAGGCTGGTTTTCTGAGAACTCTCCTCCCCATGTTCTGGGGCTTCTTCAGGTTCTTGTATGATGGGAGAGTCTCCCTGCTCACTAGATTTTGGAGTCTGGAGGTATGGCCTCTGCTCCTCAGGAGGGGTCCTAATTTCCTCAGGGGTCTTGCTGGGAGAGCCAGATACAGCCGTGGCCTTTTGAGTCTCTGACGCTTCTGTCCCTGGGGTTGTCACACTGAAATGGAAAAGCCAAGCTATACCAGAAGAGTATACACATTCTTCCTACTCCCAAAGCAAGAGAATTAGAAGGAAAATGGAATTTATCTTCATGGTCCATGGAAGTTAAAATAAGTTTTGTAAATGTGGCCAAGAAATGAAATTTGAATAAAAATCATATGTAAGATACTGTATAGAGTTACAGATCATTGATCTAGCATTGACTGGGAAAGATGTATTCTAAAGATAAAAATTATTCCAAAATGTATTACCATTTCCTAATCCCTACAAAGTATATAAATTATAATTTCATCTTTTCTTTGATATCTCAAGGGGATCTTGAAGATTTGAGGAGGTTTATATAAAAAAGTTCTGTAGATAATAAGGCTTTCGAGACAAGAATCAAAGTTTGGGAAAAAAAATTTTAAGAACCAATGTATAAACCCCAAGTTAATATCTCTATCGTAACTGTAAATAGAGAAAGAGTCTTATTATATCTCTGGAAAACTGTATTACTTGACGGAGAGACCTAGTTAAAATTTTTTCTACTGATATAATTTGGAGTTACTCCAAGGCAATCTTTGTAATCTCATTTTCTAAGAAAGAGAATTTTCTGCTTTTTCTGTTTAACTTATTGCAAATTTCTGTCACTCCACAGATATTAAGTGCCCAAAGTGCCTCTCTGATATGCCCTCCTTGCTTCCCACCTTTTTCTTTTTTTTTCCTCTCTTCTTTCTGCTCTCCCCTAAAATCTAAAGGTGGTTGGCAGGTGGTGGCTCAGTGGGAAAATGGATGATTTTCTTACCCACTTCACCCTCTTCTCAAGTTCCAGTGACCCCAGCACAAAGCTCACTTAATGACAAGAGCAATGCTATGATGCAATCTCCTGACACACTATTCTCGGATTTCAGGGCTGGGGATGCATTTGCCTTTTGCAAGATCTGTTTTCTTTCTCTAAATAGCAAGTGCTATTCAAACAACTCTCTTTCTCCTTCGCTTCTAGAAAGGCCAGAACTTGAGTTCTGAGCTGCCTGCTCTGTAGTTGTTTCCTTTAGCCAGAAGCTCTCTGGAAAACTTCTCTTTATTCCCACTCCGACCACACCCTACCTTATTTTAATGGTCTTTCATTCTGTGTGAATCATCTGTGCTGTGTTTCCAATTCTACTCTTAGCCACCCTACCACCTTGGAGAAACACACCGAGGGCTGTTTCACCTACATTCACTGTTCACGCTCTGAACAAGCTATGGGAAAACTGGCACATACCAGAGCATTTCAGTCCTGTCTGAGGGGCAGGCCTCTTACGAGCAATAAGAATGAGGTCCACATGAAATCGTATAGTTGAGGGGCACCTGGATGGCTCAGTGGGTTAAAGCCTCTGCCTTCAGCTCGGGTCATGATCTCAGGGTCCTGGGATCGAGCCCCACATCGGGCTCTCTGCTCGGGGGGGAGCCTGCTTCCCTCTCTCTCTGCCTGCCTCTCTGCCTACTTGTGATCTCTGTCTGTCAAATAAACAAATAAAAAAAAAACTTAAAAAAAAATCGTATAGTTGAAACAATGCTTTCATGGGCACATCCTTGACCTGTGACCCTATGAGATGAATATGGTGCATATTACTCTAATTTCGAGATGTGAAAACAGAAACCAAAAGGGCTTTGGGACTTGCTCAAGGTCACAGAACTGGAAGTTGGTGCAAGCAGGCCTCCCACACAATGCTGTCACAATTCTGTCTCAGATCATTTGCTCTTTGTCTGTAGTTCTGGCCCTTGTTATCAGTGGGGTTCTTTGCAAACTATCTGAAAATAATTCACAGCAGTATATGCCTGGCACTCCTGTCACACTGGCTTGTTCCTTGGAATTACATAGGACAGGCTTTTCTCTTGAAACTCACAAGTACTCCTGCTGACCCTCGAGAGAGGACTCTTCAGGCCGGTCTTGCATTTTCCCTGAGAAATCCTGTTGGGCTTGCTCCTTGTGAGTCTGGGGAAAGAGATCTGTTGCGGAGCTGTCCCCCTCCACTTTGGGGATGCAATCCTGAAAAGTGGAATAACCGACGGAAATGTCTTCCTCTGAGACAATGGGAGGGTGCTCGCAGGACTCGCTCTCTTTAGAAGCAGCTCGCTCTTCTTTCTGCTTGTGCTGTGCAGTGCATAGGTCCTCCTGAAGGGCTGAGAACCCTGTGGGGCACAACAATTTTAATTCAGTATTTAATAGCAGCTCACTTATATTAAAGAGGTAAATATTAAAGAGTAACAATAGGTAATACATTCTAAATACTGATTATGCCTCGGGCACTGTTCTAGGTGCTTTGGAAGTATTGACTTGTATTAACAACGCTCTGGGGTGAGAACCCTTTTCACGCAGCGCCTCTCAAGCTAGGCTAAGGAATTTTACTATATCCTGAAAAATTTTTGGCAGAGGTATGACTGATGTGCATCTACTTATTTATTCACTCAACAGATCTATATTGAGTATCAACTACGTAGTAGGTGCTGTTTAGATGTTAGACATATAGCAATGAACAAGTCCTCACTGAACTTTTATTTCTGCAGATATAAATATATGATATATTTTAGAAGAAAAAGAAACCAGGGTAAAAGTACAGAGCAGATAGGGCTAGTGTTTTAGATAGATTGGTCAGGAAAGAGTCCTGTTAGGAGACGATTTTGAGCAGAGGCCTGAAGTAAGTGAGAGAAACAGGTACTGAGGTATTGATGTTCTGAGAGGAGAACAGTCCACTAGAGTGGAGGTAACAAAAAGTAGCAGAGCCCCACAGCCTGAGAACACGTAGGGTGCCCAGGGAACTGCAGGGAGCCCAGGTCTCTGGGTTTTATGGAAAAGGAGAGAGATGGGAGATAGGACAAGCTTTCACTGAACAGTAACACACACCATTACTGAAATCTAGAAAAAGAAGCTACAGAAAGAAACTGAGGAAGAGTAGCCAGTAAAATAGGGGGAAAAAAACATGGAGGGAGGGTATCATGGAAAGTGAATCAAGAAAATATTTTAAGAAGAGATTAATTTTTTGGTCAAATATTACTAAGGGGCATATGAGGTGAAGATTGAAAAATTACTCACTGTATTTGGCAATGAGGAAATAATTGGTGAGTTTTATGAGACTGTTTTCTGTTGGGTGGCGATGACAAAAGACTGACTGGCATGGATTCTAGAGACAGCTCTAAAGAGAACTGGAAGACATGAGGCAGATAGAGGAAGTTTGGACTTTATTTTTGGAGAGATTTTCTATAAAATAAATGGAGAAACAGAATAGGGAAGAATATGGGGTGAAAGGAGTTGCTTTGTTTTGTTTTGAAGATGGGCTCAATTAAGGCATGTTTTAGTGCTGTTGAGAATGGTCTAGTTATAGAATGCCACAGAGGACAACTATAGCAGTGAGGTCCTTAACTGGACAAAAAGGGATGGGATCCAGAAAAAAAGAAGAGATGATGGTTTTAGCAAAGCAAAGACGTTTTACAGCAGAGAGAAGGCAGAGTACAGACATTGAGATGCACTTAGGTTGGTAGATTTGTGAAATAAATGGACATTTCCTTCAGATGATTCTCATTTTTTCTAAGAAATATGAAGCATGGTCATCAGCTTTGAATAAGGAGAAGAGAAATGCTGGAAGCTGGAAAGAAGAGGAAAATTCTGGGTATAAAATAGAGATGAGAGGGAAGAAGAAAGAGAGTGAGCGAGCATGTGAATAAATGAGAATGAGAATGTGAATAAATGAGTACTGACAAGATGGCAGAGCCAATGGCTGGAGGTCCCAGTGGGTCTGAAGAAATGTTGGTGTGGAAGCAAAAGGGGAAGTAAATGTAATGCTTCAAGTTAGGACGCTGGAGTAATAAAGTCAGTGGTGATGATATAGTCTTGGTTGTGAGCACTGAAATGGTTAGCTAATGTAGAGTAACAGACACAAGTATCAGAAGCCATCAAGGAACTGAGACAAGGGAAATGGACAGGTCATCCATGTTGTTATGAACTGAGTGATTGTATCCCCTTAAAATTCATATGATGAAACCCTAATCCCAATGCGATAATATCTGGAGGTGGTGCCTTTGGACTGTAATTGGGTCATGAGGGTAGAGCCCTCAGGAACAGGATTAGTGCCCTTATAAGAAGAGGCCAAAGAGCTAGCTAGGTCTCTTTCCCCCACGTGTGGACATAGCAAGAAGACCGCCATCTGCGACCCAAAGGACAGTCCTCACCAGAACCTGACTATGTTGTCAACCTGATCTCTGACTTCCATTCTCTAGAATGGTGAGAAATAAATTTCTCCCGCTTAAGCCACCGAGTTCATGGCATTTTGTTATAGCAGTCCCAACTGATTAGGACAATGGTGAAATAACAAAGAATGAGCAGTATGGGTACCTATAAAATGAGAAAAATGTGTGATCACCAAAGTCCACAGACCGCCCTCCAAAAAAAGGGAAGATGTGGTCCAGTTGCCCAAATTAACCACAGATACAACACCCACCCACACCCACAAACTGTCTGACCTTCACTATGATCCAGTGCAATTGTCTGTTCGATTTCTGCATAGCTATGACTGATGCGCTCCTGGAGAGGCTCTGTGCTGGCCTCCATGAGATGAACGATATCCATTCGGTTGATCTTAGTGAGGCATTCAATGAGACTGGTATCTGGGATAGTAGAGAAAACTCATTTATTACTTTTGAGGGGTAAGTACTGTTTTTAAGATCTCTTTCATTTAGTTGTCTTACTAAAATTTTGATATTTGTATAGGAAACAACCAAAGCTTAATTAAAGGTCTTTATAAAAAATAAGCAAACAGAAAAGATACATGCATAGAAAGGTGGGAAAGCATTAGGCATAAGCTCTAAAATAGAACTGCCAGATATTATATGGGACACACTGTCAAATTTGAATTTCAGATAAAACAAATAAATTATAAAGTATAAATATATCCCAAATATTGCATGGAGGGTACCGCTACTAAAAAACTATTTGTTGACCCTCTGAAATGTAACTGGGTGTCCTCTAGTTTCATTTGCCAAATCTGGCAATCCTACCTAGGAGAATGGCAAGAGAGGGAAAGGCAAATGTAGACTGGCTATAAATAAGGGAGTTTTCTAGGTGATCTTCAGAGAGACATTAAAGGAAGTAGCAAATTTAGACTAGCTGAAGAATGAGATGAAGTAATTGTCTTTATACTTCTCATTTGATTTGATGTGGTCAGAATATTATATGCAAATCATTATAAAGAATATCTATGTGACATCTTTCCCTCAATTAAGTTATTTAGGAGTAAAGGAAGTAGGAACTGAAGGCAATGCACTACCAGTAAAACAATGACAAAGGAACGGTATCCACTCTCAATATTTAGACAATTTTAGGTCTTCAGTAACATTTCTATTAGCAGCCAGGGTTTCCCCTAAATTGACATTGTTCATGGGAATATAGTGTAAGAACTGTTACGCAAGATGCGTATTTTAGAAATGTCATAGCTTGCTCTCATTTGCTTACGGCAGTATTTCAGATTGATGGCATTCGTTATTTTATTATTTTACTGAATTTAAATGAAAGGGCTTGTTGAGAAAGACTTAGAGCTCAACCTTTCGCCTAATACTTTTCACATAGAGCTCCCCACCTACCTGTAGCCTGCCTCCCATCCCTTTCCAGCCAGTACTTCAATAGTGCATGGCTCTGGTCTTGAAGGGAGTTAGGGTTCTCAATTCGGATTTGATGAATCTGCTCCTCAGTGAAATCCAGTTCTCTTGCTAATTCTAGAAAAGAAAATACTACTCCATAAACACCAGAACTTCAGCGTCTCCACACCTGGCTCTGTGATTTTGTAAATGATGCGTTCTTTCTATTGCCATAATAGTGTTCGTTTTCTCCCCCTGTGCATTAGAAGTGACTCTCAAGATGACTTTGTTTTTCTGTCTCTAACTGTGGAGGTTCTCCTTAAAACTAGGTATGGAATTCGTCCGGCTTTCTGCTCAGCAGGGAGCCTGCTTCCCTTCCTCTCTCTCTGCCTGTCTCTCTACCTACTTGTGATCTCTCTCCGTCAAATGAATAAATAAAAAATCTTAAAAAAAAAAAAAAAACTAGGTATGGAATTGATCACATTCACAGTGGAAACACTACATTTGAGGCAACGGATGATAAAACGTGCCTAATTCAGGCCCATTTAATTCCAAAATGCAGACTGGACCGTTAATACAGGCTTATACTCTTAACCAAGGTAATGGAAAATAAATTACTGAAAACAGGAGTAACAGACTTTCTCACTTTTAATCATCATTAAATAATGTTTTAAGTACTATAAATCCTATTTCTGGATATTTGGATAAAGACTGGCTGTGGTTATATTACATTGGTTGGATAAACTTTCTTTAATTTTATGTCACTTGAATAAAAGCTCTGGGAAGCATTAATCGACCTAAGGAAAAAGCCACAAAATTTTCCTTTAAAGTCTACCATTAACATAGTACATGGACACTTATACACTGTGGTGTGTATGTGTGTGTGTGCAAATAAGTATCCTTTGGATGGCAATCAGCAAATATCTTTCAGAATTAAAAACATACATACTCTTTATTCAGATATTCAATTCTACTTCTAGTAACATGCCCTATAGAGATTCTCATGAAAATACATCAATGCACTACGATATTTGTCATTAACAGGAAACAACCTAGATGTCCAGCAATAAAGGCCACTGATAAAATTATGACACTATCACACAGTAAAACTAAATAGCGTTTCTGAGAATGAGATAGATATGTCTATGCTGATGGAATATTTACAAGGAATATTATTGAGAAAAATTGTGCTTATTTTAAAATACTACACCTAGATGTGGGTACTGCATATTTTTTTCTGAATACATGAGAAAGTGGAAGCAGTTACTTTTTTTTTTTTTTAAGATTTTATTTATTTGACAGAGAGATCACAAGTAGAGAGAGAGAGGAGGAAGCAGGCTCCCCACCTAGCAGAGAGCCTGATGTGGGAACCGATCCCAGGACCTTGAGTTCATGACCTGAGCTGAAGGCAGAGGCTTATCCCACTGAGCCACCCAGGCAGCCCAAGCAGTTACTTTTGAGGTATGAAGCTAGAAGACCAGAGGCAGGTATGAGAAACTTCTTTACACTTTCAATTTTCTACCATTCTATGGTTGTGGGGTTTGAATTTTCAACAAGTACATAGATATTACATTTTATGCACAAACACACACATACTTAAGAAACAAAATAAATAATTCCAGATGTCACCTATTTAATTAGTCAATCAAGGATATTTTGATGTCCTTCCTTCCCCCTAAATCCCTCAATTTAAAAAAACCTGATCGTATTTAACAACTACTTAAATGTGTAAAAGTGAGGAAATGACTATTCTCTCTGCCCTGTTATTATTTTTGTTAAGGGTCTTAGGGATTTCTATTCATAATGATTTTACAATTCATTTTCTTTTAATAATTTTACATACATTGCAATTTTTATACTTAAATATCCTATTTCTCAGAAAATTAGTGAAACATCTTATTCCTATGTATTTCAACATGCAACCAAAGCAAATTTTAGTACTGTTCACAATGAAGATATCTGATATAAGGTATCTAAAATAAAGAGACCTGGGTTAAATCTCCAATTAAATTTTGTGACAACTGCGTCTAACAATGACTCTGAAACACAGTAATCCCCTCAAAATTTGGATACCCATGGCTCCCAGTTGAGGAGAGTAACATTTGGTATATTCTCAAAATTCCCCAATTTAAAGGTCGATTTTTCTAAATTCCAGAGATAACAGAAGGCCTGCCTGGATTTTCTAGTTCAGAGTTTATTATTCTTTTCACTATTCCATGTGGTCTCACCCAAGGAAACAAATACGTTTTCATTGTTAATGCCACTTGGCTGATGCAATTGTGTTTCTTAAATGAAGCAACATCTGTTGAAAAAATAAGTCACGCTAATTTTACCTGTCCAGCTGAAGCCAAGATGATCAGCAATATAAGCCAGTCTTTCCTCGATCCGTTCCTGCTCATCCTGTTGATCTACAGAAGGTCAAAAACAGAATGGCCAAAAGTTGTCTACAACAGGAGAGCAACCACAGTACTGATCATCCAAAGAAAGGAAGTCACTTGTCCAAATATTTGATAATAGCACAAATTAGCTATTATATTTCAAATCATTTTAAATTGTGTGTTTGTCTGATTTCTGGAATGCAATGGGGAATCAATTTAATTATAAATCATGAAAACCAACTGCTTCCATATCTCTTTAATCAAGACTAGTCACTGGACATATTATAAAAGCTGTTAATTTCTAGTAATCTTAGGACTTTCTTTTTAAATTATCTGAGAGAATACTGCCCACCAGAAGACAGTCGTCTGGTTCATCAAAAACTAGAAAAATCATAAATGGGATGCCAAAGTAGAGTAACTGGTTAGGACCTCCTATTATTGCCTGTGGCAGCATAGATCACTTTCGGGTTATGTCTGAAAGAAATCACATCCAAGATTTATAAGAGACATAGATCATGAGTTAATCAGGCCATCCTGGGTTTTTGTTTTTGTTTTTTTCAGTCTGGCCAGAGAAATTTTCCTTGGTCCTGGTGACCCTGGAAGAAGGAAGGATAAAAGCGTATATACTTGTGTCTGTTGTATCAATAGGTATAGATGTCTTTTGTGTGATATTTCTGTCTGCTTACTACTAGGTAAGCTTATATATTATTCCCACAAGCTGTCATTTTCCCCTTGGTTTTTAACCTCCATTAATTGATGGGCAGCATTTTAGGTATCATGACATTTTCCTATGACACAAATTTAAGAATAACAGTCTTTATTGCAGAGATATTGGAAGACCAGAGGCTACTTCTCAAAGCCATCTATGGTTTCCTTTTTTATAATTCAAAGGGTCATCATCCTCTCACAGTCACTTACATCATGCAAAGTTTGAGTTTTTGTTGTCTGCTGCATCTAATCAGAATATATTCTCCATTCACCTAACACTAAAACAAAGAGCATGGTTTTTTGTTTTGTTTTGTTTTGTTTTGTTTTTTGCTTTATATTTGTTTGCTTTGAGTGTTTACCAGTGGTATCTGAGATCCAACCTTTTGAATCAAAAACAGATCCACAACAATTGGGATTTCGTGATAATGTGAAATCTTCTTGGGCAAATGGCTTCCTAATGATTACAAATTTATTAAGTTGAGTACAAATTATTTTAAAATACTTAAGGGTAAGAAGAAAAAGCTATGAATCCTTACCATATAAAACAAAGCCCAACATATTCATGTGCAAAAGCGCAAGTGCCTAAATTGAGGCTAAGCCTGGGATTCCAGAACAACAAAACTCAAAGCTTGCATGGCCTGACGTGCAGCGGCTCGAGAAAGGCAAGATCACCACTGCCTGTTTATTATGTTTATGTTTTCCATAAGCATTCTCATTACTCAATCTTGAGATTGTTTTCATAGACAAGAGTACACAGAGAAAGCACGAAACACAAAGGGCTTACACAAACACAATAATCACTACAGAAAGCTTAAAGAAAATGAGACACAAATCACCAAATAAAAGATATAAAAAAAAAAACTATATCAAATTTATGACATGCGTAGCACAGGGAATCCCAGTGGCTGGCAAATACCTTCAGCATGGTCATGGCCATTTTCATCAGGGATGCGTTCAATCAGAGTCTCAATGGACTCATCCCAAATAGGCCTTGTGTCAAAGATGTCCTCAGGAATTGAATGCTCGGTCTCAACAGGTGGCAGATTTTCAATTACTGAAACTTCCAGGGCACTACTACTTTCATCATCCGAAACTAATTCTTGCTCCCTTTCTGACTGTGTAAGTCTATCCACTAACTTGGAAGCCTCATCACTAATCTCCTCAAAGAATTCTATGGAGTTCCTGTAAAGGTCAAAGAAATGCTCCTTACTTTCTTTCGTAGGGCTCACAGCCCCCTTGCAGGAAGATGTGTTGCTTTTGCTCTTAACTGGCAATTGGGATGTAAATATCTTTGGTCTGGTGGCCCCCTCTTCTGATTCTAACTCCAGCTCCTCTGCCCTCTCTCTGTTCTCTGTTTCTGTCTCAGTGTAACTTGTCGTTTTTACTAGACATTTGGTCTCTGAGTCCAAAGCACTGGCATCAGATTCAGATTTGCTTCTACTATCTGGTGTTCTGCTTGTCATGTCCTGACCCTGAGGAGCCACTGTTTTCTGGAGAGAGGAATCTAGATGCGAAAGTTGCTGCTCTACTCTTTGGACAGGTGCTTTCACGGGGATTTTAGACTTTGGTTTTGTTTCATCCTCTTTACTTTCCTCATCCAGGCTGGGTAAAAAATCTTCAGAAAGGGAACTCTCATTCTCCACAGATGGAGGCGCTGGGGTTGATGTGGGTGTAGTCCTTACAGGAATTTTGGATTTGCTTTCAGTAGAAGGCACATTCTCCATGGGTGCAGTAGGGATTTCAATTACCGATTTCTGTTCCTCTGGGGAAGAATCAGGAGAATCATCATTCCGATCTGAATGCACGGACCTGGTAACTGTGGAAAAATCTAACTGAACGTGTACAACTGGTTCAGGGGAGTCAGGGCAAGATGGCTTTTTCACACTAGACTTAGGAGGCATGTCACCCATTTGTGTGGTGGGAAGGTCCTCGGCGCCTTCAGAAGGAGCCTCTTCTGTTGATGTTTCAGTGGAGGTTGAATTCCCCATGTGGGTGTTGAGTTGAGCATCTGAAACAGACTTTTCCTCTACTTCCTCACTCAGGTCATCTGGAAGTAAGTCTGCTTCATCATTCATTGTTTCTTTTGATTCTGAGAGAGCTAGTGACTCAGCTGATGTCTCCCGTTGTGGGAGCTCAGCCCCAGGACTCCCTTCCTTCATGTCTTCAGAGAGAGTCTCTTCCCTGGATTCTTGCCCAATTTGGAAAAAGTGAAAACTTTCATCGGCATAGGACCTTTTGGTCATGTCAATGGCGCCACTTCGGGTCATCTCAAACAATTTTCCTTCCTGAAAGAGAAATGGGTTTTGCTCACTGGTCGGAGTCCCCTCTTCAGTTGGGGTCCTTGCAGGAGTTGTGTCAGGGGTGGTACCCTGTGATTGTCTGTCTACCATCAAACCAAATATCTTTTGTTCTTCCTCTTTTACTCGAGCCTCAAAGGCTTCATCATCCTCACGGATTTCACTCCAGGAATCAGAATCCACGTCTGTTTTTGTGATGATGACTTTGCTGATTTGGCCACTAACAACTGCTGAAGTATTTGGTACAGAAGGCTCTAAAGACGAAGGGGCTTGATCTGATCGCTGTTCCCACAAGGTGCTTTCTTGTTTGGATTCTTCTTCCATGTTTTTGTGCTCAAAATTAGATTCTTGGATTGAAACAGTTGTACTGGAGGAGCTTATTACTACCGTGTCTTCAACAGAGGATGTCATGGTAACAGAATGCACTTCCGAAGACTTAAAACTTGCATGTCCCGCATCTGTTTGACTTTTGCTTTCTTCACTGGAGAAAAAAGATTGGGAAGGAACATTTTCATAAGGGCTTATTATTTGAGGATCGTAGATTTCATCAGGCTCAGCAAGGTCAGACACTGGGACATCCATGGACAATATATCTGTTTGAGTAGTAATTGATGAGTCTTGCATGGAAAAGTCCTTCGGTAAGCTCTCAAAAGCTTGGTCAGTTTTTATGTCCTCCATTTTTGTAGCAGGAGATAGAAAAGATATGTCTTCATCTAATTCTTGTCCTTCAGATGCTGGACAGTGAGGCAAGGAGGAGGACAAAGACGAAGATCTTTCACTGGGGCAATCTACTTGTAGAGATGCCACTGGAGAAGCATCAAGCTCTTCTCCTTCTGTGTCTTTTTCATCAATGTCTTTCAGAGGTATTGATTCCTCATGGATAGCTAGCTGCTCATTGATATCCTCCCTAGGGGAGCTATAGAGACCTGAAGATACGGGAATGACTGAGCTGCTAGGACTCCTGGTCTCACACCCATGGCCCTCACAGACTTCTGGTTGATCAGCATCTCTGTTCAGATCATCATAAGACCCATCTGGGCCATTAGTAGAAATACTATGACTCTCTTCAGGTACATGGGATTCATAGTCTTTTTCTTCTTCTGATTTACCACACTCTTCCTGAGTATCCTCATTCATTTTGAAAGTGTATTGTTTAGAAACAATGGGTTGAAACTGTACTTCTTCAGGACTGGAATTGGAGTCTACACTGGATGGAAGTGGAGAAGGAGGTTGTACTCGAATAACTGGCTCTGGTAAGAGGCCTGTGTCACCACCGTTTTTCAGCTGTGCCAACTCAGGTTCACTCTCAGAGGAGGAAGAAGCCTTTCTGCTCTCTGATGTTACTACCACAGGGACATTGCTTTCATCCTCTACAGTCTCCGTATGTTTTGGTTCATCCACATCTGCTAAACAGTCAGCATCTGGGTCAGAGGATGAAGAAGATTCTTCTTGCTTGGGTTCTTTCTTGTAGTCCCTTTTCTGCTTTGCTTCTTGTTCAAGTTCGTCAAACGTTTTGATTTTGGTTACCATTTTAAACATTTCCTCTTCAGGTGTGAATCTCTTTTTGTCCTCATTTTCCAAGTCATCCTCCTCTGCACATTCATGAATTACGGCTGGCTTGGGTGTGCTTGCATCTGTGGCTTTGGGTGTGACCTCATAGCTAATTTCTTCTGAGCTGGGGGTGTCTGGAGAGAGGGGGCTCTTCCCAGAGCTCTCTACCAGTGACGTCTGCTCAAGACTGTCATCCTCGGCACTGCCGTCTGGGTCTCGGAGCAGCCGGGACCGCACAGAGGCCACCTCCGTAAAGAGTTCTGTTTTGGCTACGGCTGCAGGAAGAGGGAAGTGACTTGGGAGAACTCCAGCCTTCGTCTTTGGTTCTACCGGGCTGCTTTCCAAAGAGTCGCGGCAAGGGGATTCTTTCAGAGGACTCGGCTCCAGAGAATCCGGAGTTTTGTGTGAGGAGTTATCCTCCAGCACAGGGCTGGCTTCCAAGGAGTCTCTATGGCTCACTGCAAATGATTCATCGGCACCAGGGCTGAGGACCTCACTGTCTCGGCTGGGGAGTGCAAGTTCTAACCCTTGGGGACTTCTGGCAACTCCCTGGGGCTTTGATTCTGTTCCTGTGCCTGTGTTTACAAAAGCATCAGGCAGTGGAGAGGCCTTTGTCTCATCTGAGGGCTCAGTGGTTGTGGATTTCTGAGCTTCAGAATCAGTGTGCATCTTCTGGGCAGAACCAACATTCGTAAGTTGACCCTCATCAGAGGATGCTTCCTCAGTCACTCCTTTGGGTGTTTCTTTTGCTAGTAACACACTACAGCTGCCAAGGGAATCATCTTCTTGTCTGGGACATGTGTCTTTGGAAGGGTCTGGGGTGGCCTCCTTCAGTGAACACTCAGCTGAGGGCTCTGTGCCTTCAGTGACCACGGCACCTTGTTCTTCAGAACCATCAGTGACGTCTTTGATTGAGGGATGGTCTTTTTCCGAATGAGCTGCAGTTGGTGTTTCTGACTTGGTTGTTTCGCTTCTTTCCCCAATTTGCTCCTCACTTTTCTTTGGTGAGAAAGAAAGGCTTTCTGGGCTTGTCTCAGGAGTCTCTGCGAGGCCCTCGTGCTTATAGCTTTCTTCTGAACTAATCTGAGGGGTCCCTTCCATCAGGCTGCCACATGGAGAACCTGCCACCCCTTCAGGCTTGAGGCTCTCAGAACTGCCATCCAAAGCACCACTTTGTAAAGACAGAGCTGGAAGAAATTCATCTTTCATGTAATCTAGTGGAAATGTCGTGTTGAAAGGACTAGTGAGTACCTGATCTAAGTGAAGCTGTGCTGCTTCTGTCTCCTCAGTCCTTCGGAATTGTTGGTATTTGTCATTGTCTTCCAATTCTTGCTTAATGACGTCAGAAAAGTCCGTGGAAGTTTTCCTATCTGGGCTGATCTGGAGGTCCATGTCTCCGTGTTCATCAGTCAGCTTTTCTTTGGGAACGTTACTCTCTTTATGGCTTTCTTCTTCTGGTGCTGACTGAACAGGTTCAGGTGTTTTGTGGCTAAGGACTTTCTCCTTCTCTACAACTAGATCTTCTCTCTTAAACCCTACGGAGGAAGCACGGACTGCTCTCTTGGATTCGGAAACTCCTGTTACCACAAATCTCTGGCCTCGTTTGATCGTCTGACTCTCTGTTTTCTGTGTTTCTCTGTGGTTTAGCATCTGCCCCTTTTCTTTTTCTACCCGAGCTTTGCCTTTCTCTTGTGGCTGCTTTTGCTTTGCTGATTTGTGCTCAAACAGTCCAGTCTTGTGTTTAGAGGGGTCCTGACCTGACTGGAAAGCTTTCATCAACTCCCGAACAGACATTGTCTCCTCGATTCGTTCTGTTTTTGAGGTGGGGGAGACAGGTGGGTGCTTTTCTGTTTTCCCAGAAGGCGACACGGGCAAGTGTTTCTCAGTTTTCCCGGAGGCTGATACAGGTGGATGCTTTTCCGTTCGTCCAGCTGGTGACACAGGCAAGCGTTTTTCGGTTCTCCCAGGTGATACTGGTGCATGTTTCTCCATTCTTCCAGAGGGCGAAACAGGTGGGCGTTTGTCCATCTTACCTGAAGGTGAAACAGGTGGGTGTCTTTCTGTTTTTGTAGATGACACAGGGGAGTGCCTTTCAGTTTTTGTCGAGGGTGACACAGGCAAGTGCTTCTCGGTTTTATTTGATGACACAGGGGAGTGCCTTTCAGTTTTTGCAGAGGGTGACACAGGTGAGTGTTTCTCAGCTTTACCTGATGGTGATACCGGAGGGTGCTTCTCAGTTTTTGTAGAGGAGGAAAGAGAAGAGTGTCTCTCTGTTTTAGAGGAGGGTGATGCTGGTGTGTGCCTCTCTGACTTCAGAGAGGGTGATGCGGCTGGATGTGTCCTGTGGGTTATCTTTTTTGGCACATCCTCTTTGCCTTTGACTCTGACAGGCAACTTGCTTCGACCTTTTTGTTCATCTTCCACTCGTTTCTGAAGGGCCTTTACTTTGTCCTTTATGGAACCAATGGGAGTCTCTTCTATCAAAGGTGAAGTGGCCTTAACAGTGGGGAGGGGTTCAGGGGCTAAACCTGCATCATCATCTAATGACTCTTCTGAACTACATTTTTTAAGTTCACTTTTTTCTGCACTACCTTGTACACTTTCCTCTTTTTGTTTTTGTTTTTCTTTTAATTTCCTTCTTACTGGCTTCTTTATTCCCAGGCTTGGTTTGTGCTGTTTCTGGGCACTCTGCGTCTCCTGTGGGGGTGCATCTTTCCCTTCATTTTCAGAGCTCCTGCCAGTAGCCAGAGCGTCACGTTTCTCCCCTGCTATCCCTTGAACTGTCTGCGGTGGCTTTTCATGAGGAGACACATAGGAATTTAGATCCTCAATAAGGTAGTTCACTAGCCCCGTTGAGTCTTTCTCTACTTTGATGTTGCGCTCTTTATCTATTCTAACTTCTACGCATGGGTATTCGGTGATTTCTAAAGGTGCTTTTTGCTTAGCCTCCTCTATTTCCTCATCACTGACAATCACCCACTCCTCTTCCTCTAATTCTCTCTCCGACTGAGACCTCGGCACACTGCCTTCATCTCTCGCGCAGGTTCCACTTCTCAGGATTTCATTCACTTTCTCTAAGTCCTCTTTAACTCTTTCAACAATTTCAAAAGGCTCTCCTGGCTCTTCCTCAGCAGCCTTCACCAGCTCCTTCACTTTGATAGAACCTGCCCTATCAGATACATCTGTGGTCAAGATGGCGGTCATTTTGATCAAATCTTGTTTCATCTCAGAAACTTCAGAGAGCAAGTCCGGACTGGCTAGGACAGGAACTTCATTAACCAGGTGACTTTTCAGGACAGATGTTTCTGTAGATTCTGTCTCATCATCTTTGATGTGAATGAAAAACATTGAAAGTAAAGTGGAAATCAAAAAAATATATTGGCAAATGTAATCAGGACTGAAACGACACAGTGTCTTTTCCTGTTTTGGTGGGAGGGACAACAGAATGGGCCGGGAATGGTGGATCCACAAGGTCTCAGGATACAAAAGCAAAGCAAGGCTAACGGAAAAATTAAAAAAAAAAAAAAAAAAAAACTGAAAAGGAAAAATGAGCAGGAAATAACTTGCTTAATTTTCTCACTCATAGCACATCCACACATACAACAAAGCTATAACAAACAGCCATGACAGACAGACACACACACACCATCACAGATCGAAACAAAGAACAAACGCAGTGAAATTACACAGAAATATCTCAAGATTGTTCAGATGTTACAGATCAATGTTGAAAAAAATATAAACATGGGGAAAAAAAAGGAAAAAAAGCATTAGAAATTGCAGAAAGTTGATTTCCTCTAGGAGAAAGCCAGTAGTAGCAAACTCAGATTGCCTCCTAATGATGTATATATGTTTTTTAATCATATGAAAATCCAGAATTCAGTGTTTTGTTCTGCCAATATACAATGACTATATAAAAGATGTCTGAATCAGCTGCAAACCGGCATTTCATCTAAGGAAAATTCACACCTAACAATGAAACGAATGGTCTTGTGCTAAGAGGCATGGTCCTTTCCTTGGAGCAACCTCCTGGTTTAGACACATAAAGGACAGACCAAGGAGGGAAATAAAGGAAAGGAAAGAAGAAAACAACAAAACAACAACTGTGATTAAACTTATAAGTGAGTCCAAAGTTAAAATGTGATGCGTGGCAATCCAAATCAGAGACAGTCACACGGGACACACGCACAGTTTATGTAAGCCAAGTTATTTCCATGCAAAGCAAAGGTGGAAGGAAACTGGTGGGAGCTGTGGCTTTGCTGAAATGCGTGGGCAGGAGGATGGTTAAGAAATTAGAACAATATGGAAACATTACTGTGGTGAAGCGTATTCCTTTCCCTACAAGTCTGTACATCAGTGCTGAATACAGTAGTATATTTGAAGGACAGGTAGTAGGGACCTGCACCCATTCAAAGCAAAAAGGAGAAGTTGGTCAAACTCTTTTAGGATTTGCTCTTGAAAAGACTTAGGAAAGAGTTCCTTCACTAGAGCCCTTCTTTATGGATTATTTTACACCTAGATGAAGATTATTTAAGGATTATCTTTAAACTAAAAAAATGCATCTAAGTTTAAACTTTAAAAAATATTCACAACACTTAGGAGTCATTTAGGAGAATCTGTGGCATTATAGCAATATAGTAGCTTTTCCCCTTTTCTTTTTTAAGTAACTGAGCCAGAGGGATGTATTAAACTTGAATTTCTACTAGCTAGTGTTCAAGAGACTAAGGAAAGGGCCATTTAAATAGACATAGTAGTCCTGAAGAAGAAAATGGGATAATAAAATATCTTTTCTTAAAAAAGAATTAAAGCAACAATAATGTCACTTTTTTAACAAATAAGGGTCTTCTCTTGAGAGAATCGGTATTTGTTGAGGAGATATACTGTGACTATGCATATATATATTAAAACAATTTATATTAATGCAAATTTGTTCAAGTACAAGCCAAATGAAAACATCCAGAACCTCAAATAATCTAGTCCTGAATGACGATTTAACATAAGAGCAAAGAAACTCTCAATTAAAAGCATTCTGGGGGTGCCTGAGTGCCTCAGTCCATTCAGAGGCTGCCTTCTGCTTCCGGTAATGATCCTGGAGTCCTGGGATCGAGCCCTGCCTTGGGCTCCCTGCTAAGCAGAGAGTCCGCTTCTCCCTCTGTCCTTCACCCTCTGCTCCTGCTCTCTCTTAAATAAATAAATCTTAAAAAAAAAAAAAAAAAAAAAAAAAAAGCATCCTAATAACTTACATTGTACTAGGTCTTCAAAACGAACGAACAAAAAAAGCCCCAGATCATTGCATAGGGCCAGGTGACCATATTAAATGTGCTTCTAAGTTTTCTCCTTTTGGGAATAGCAACCTGAAATTCAGTGAATCAAAATGAACTTTTAAGTGAATAAAAAAATAAAAATTAGTATTTTTTTTTCCTAAACTCTTTGGGGGCATAGAAGCAAGAAAGAAACCTGAAAATTTTAACTTCTTCCACACAAGAAACCAGTCACCAGAAATAGGTCCCAAAACTAAAATGTTAATTAATTATTACAAACCCAAAATGAGTTCTAAGATCGCTCCCTTAAGGTCTGTAAAAACCAGTTCTCTCTGTACTAAATTATGTTTGGGATTTGCATCATTCTTTAAAATTAGCCCTATAATGGTACAATGTTGCGATTAGTAATTTCATCCAGGAGGTTTTGATTTTTGCATTCTTGGTTTTTTTTTGTTTTTGTTTTCCAGAAAGTTTCACAGAAGTCTGTTAGACCTCAGCCCTAAAGAAGTCCATTACACTTCACCACAGTAAGAGGTGCGAGGTCGTGGGGTGGTGGAGGCTGAGCTTTAGCTGAGAACTATTGAGACAGTATCACTTTCACAGGTGTAGCCTACAAAAATAATGAGAGCTCTCCCCAAGTCAGTGTTGCTTAATATAAAAAGTGATACTGTCATGTCAGTGCTTAAAAAAAAAAAATGAGATGACAATGTTATGCTAACAAAAGGACAAAAACGGTAGGGTGGGTTTCTAAACAAGCGTAACAGCAATAGCAGGAGTAACAGGGGTATCAAAAGAAAGTGAATGCTTAGATGAATAATCATTGCATTTTACTGCTAATTAGCTCACAAATTAGATTTTTTTGTAATTTAACTGGCCAAGCTGCTTCTCTAAATATACATTAATGATTAATAAGGACAATATAAAAATATAATTATTATAGTGGTTAGTAATGGCATCTAGCTGCATTTTAATTCATGCTTCTCTTTAGTGTAGCCAGCTTTCAAACAAACTCAATTTTATTTAAAATCTTACTTTTTTCTGATGTCATATCGATCTGAAAGAAAACATACATAAATTGAATGGTTACAAACTGCACCTGGTTTCCCCCTGATGTGCAAATAAACTCCTATTCGTGACCACACCCATGGGGAGATGACAGAATCTAGAGAAGGTCAAAGTAATTTGCTACAGTTCTTCCTGAGAGTCTCCTTGATTCTCATCCTAACTTTGAAAAAACAAATCTCCTTTCTAGACTTTATAGGTGGAAAGCATTTTTTAATGTTATTTCCAGCAAGATAGGATCGAGGGTGCGTTTAATGTTAGAAATACATGTGTATGAGGGAAAAGGCCAGGAAAAGAGTGAGGGGGTGGGGGGCGGTTAAACAGTGTCAAATTAGTTGAGAAAAAGACAGAACGAACAGCATGCCAGGGTAATACATTCTATAGGAGTTTCATTGTCATTAATTACAAGCCAAGATTCCAAATCCTGAAAAGAATACCAACTGGATCTATTGTCCTGCACAACTCCTGAAAAGTACTCAATAGAACAATCATAAACCTAATGCAAGAAAGTCACTTAAATATAGCAAAAAATGGTTTTATAATTGCACTGCTTTTCTAAGAAGGTGTGTAGGTACCATTTTGAACAGGTTTGGTAAGGGGGTCACCAAGTGCAGGAAGGAAACAGTATGTGAGACAAAGAGTGGCTGGACAATCGAGGGAAAGGATGACATCTGTCCTGTCACAATTACTGCACATATAGTTATATACAGCAGGACAATGAGGCTATCATCTCCCCTCTTGTCCTGCTCCGCTGCCAGGGCAGGAGTCAGAAGTAAATTCAGGGCAATTCTCTGCACTAAAAAGGCCTTACATTTTAAGCTGGTGGGTACAAGGGTACTTATTATATTTTTCATTATATGTTTTTGTGTTCCAAATCCATCAGAATAACACTAAAAATAGAATACAAGTACATTTGAAAATCTTTACGTGCAACTAATAACAACTGCATTTGTCTATCTTAGAAACAGGAACCGATATGTAAATAGGAAAGTAGACTGAATTTCCTATCATTTCTATGATGATGTTTGGGCATTCAAATCTTTATAAGGGAAACAAACACAAATGTGCCTGAACTATTAAAGAGGTCTTATTCAAATGGTTCTTTCTTCAAGGCAACCTCTTGAAGACTCACTTTCTTCACCTATTATAAGACAGCACAGAACTCACAGGGCAATTGTGAGGATCAGTGTTAATGAGGTACATGGAGCACTTAATAAAGAGTCTACCTTCTAAGAAGTGCTCATTATTAGTAGAGTTCTACATTATAATATTACAGTCTAATGGTTGAACTGCACACTCCTTAAAGTTTTTAGTCTCAGTGGTTCTCAGACGTTTTGGTCTTAAGACTGCTTTACACTCCTAAAAATTACTAAGGACCTTGAAGAACTTTTATGTTTCATATATACAAGTAAATTTCCGTTTTATACATTAAAACTGAGAAAATGCTAGAACCCAAGTGCACACAAGGACCCACTCCAGAGTCAGAGTGATCATGTCATCATATGCAATGTAGCCTCTGGAAAACTCTATAGCTTATAGAGACATGGGAGGCAAAAAACAAATAATGTCTTAGTAATATTAGGGGAAAAAAAAAGTTTTGACCTCCGGGTATCGCCAAACCAACCTCTGAGAACTAAAATAATAGCTTGGCCTTCAGGAGTCAGTAGAGAAACATAAATTACTGCACAGAGACAGGGTAACAATTTACAGGGAAAGCTTTACTCTTCCTTGAATTCAGTCGATGAGATGAGAAAACAGAGGCTCAAAGAGGTTAACTAAAACTGTGACCCTTCAGTTACTAAAACTGTATAACCCTTCTAAGAACACAGGTTAACTACGTGCTCTTATTAGCGGTTATAGCAAATAACAGCCATCAACAAGTGACAATGTCATACAATTACCTCTTCTTCCTGTTCTTGATCTGACTCTGATTCCTTGCAGCCCCAAGATGCCATGCAAGATGGAAAAAAGAGAGCAGGAAGAGTAGAGAGTATTTAGAAGAGAAGATTAAATACACTGCCAGCAAACATCAACAGGCAAGCATATAGTCAGCATACTCTTGTTTTTTCTTTTGACAGTTTATAGAAGACAGGCACAAAAATTTAAAAGGATTGATTTAAATACGGAAGTCTGTAGATTCAAGAAGCAAAAAAACCAAAATCATAAGTACACTAATTTATTAGGCAAAATAACTAAAATTACAAATACACTTATTTCAAATACTAGGTTACTAGAGCCTTAAAGCTTGCTAGCTAATGGATTTGATGCGTATGTCTGGAGAAATGGTGATGGTATATCCCAGTCATTACAGATACTGGCTGAAAACGTTAAAGGCCACAAATAAGCATATGGTGAAAATATTTCAAATACACAGGCAATATTTAGGAGTTCTATTATAATAAAGAACTACTCAATTCTAAAGTTTATCCGAAGTACATACAATGTTTGACATTGTTTTCCTTTTCGTTTTGAGTTATGAACTGGAAAGCTATCCTGGACCATCATGGCATTAATGATATGTTTCAACTTAGAAATACAGTGTAATAATAAAGTCAATGCTTTTATAGAACACTGAAAGTTCACTGAGACCAGAGACAAAGCTCATTCATCTGTATATGTCACTCAGGTGGGCTGCCCAGAGTATGTATTCTGTTGTGCTTCTTATCGGGCCTTCCTCTTTGGTGACTCACAATTCTACAAACCCCAAAGTACATTTTCCATCACTGGAGTGAAATGAGATTATGTTCATTTGGGTGGATATACCTATTGCTGTATTCCAATTACTGGAGTAACACATATGTTTACATCTACAGATAATATTTCATTTTTATCATACAATGAGAATCTGCAATGTTAAACCATGATGCTATGAGGTTTTCTCTGTGTGTCTGATCTCTATTTACAAGAATAATTGGTTAAGAAAAATAGACCATGGTGGGTAAAAAGAAGTGTCGAACATGCTTTGTTTTGTGAAGTCAAGATTTAGGGTTTTAAATATATTTAAATATATAAATATTATAAATTTAAATATATTTCTACATCTCCTCCTCTTACCTGCCATTACTTGTCCCCCTCCCCAACCTCTAATACACACACTGACAACCACTACAGCCCCCTATGGACCACCATGGCGGGGGGGGCGGGGGGGGAGAATGGGGTTTCCCATTGAAAAGATGTTTGTTAAAATTTTTTTAAGTAATAAAAATTAAGTTATCCCCAACATTTAATTCGTTCAGTTGTCTTCAACTTCATCAGAGTAAGCAAGGAATTCTGTAATGGAGAGCAGTCTGAATAGAAAGTAATATCTGTTAAGGAGAATTTGGGTCAGGAATTGATGAATTGTTCCTTTTCAACAATGTTTCAAATCTATCTCTTGTAACATGGGAGCATTTTGTACATTAATCACGTTAAAAATAGTTGAAAAATTAGTTTGATACCCCCAAATATTATGGATTACAAGATGAACAAGTATTTATTTTAGCAATAAGATTAAAAACTCATGAGGTTGCTCTGAATTTAATAATATATAATCTACCTGTGAACTGGCAGTGAACAGAAGCTAATGGACTCATAATACATTGCTAGGGCCAAATGGACTAGTATCATCCCAGAAGGGCACATAAAAACAATGAAGACAAAGCCAATTTATTTTTAAAAATTAGTCCCAAATCTTAAATTCATATTTTCTCTTTCCTAGCCAATATGTATTTATAAAAAAATTTCCATCAGAGCAAATTTAATGCAAAATAAAGGAGAGCTACTTTTTTTCCTTACTTAAATGGAAAATCAAAAATTTGACAGGGAATCAAAAATGATTGCTCCACGCGCTTGCATTCAGTGCTTTTGTTTGACTTATTTTAAAGGATTTGAAAATTAAATCCTATAGAGACTGAATTGCACTACAACAGATTGGACAATACCTTTGTATAAATTGGCAGGGTGATGTTTAAGTTGCAAATAGCTTGATGCACCAGGCCTCTTGTGGATTTTGGCTCTTTCATAAATGATAGTCGCCCGCAAGGTTCCTGAGTCGTGTCGCGTACCTTGAACAAGAAAGGCATGTGTACTTCACCCACATATGATATATGCTATTTATTTTAATTAGATGATACTCAAAGGATGAGGAAAAAATAAATTCATTTGATAATGCCAAAGATTTAGAGGTGTTCCTTTCTCTATTTCTATATTCATTTAGAATGATTTTTTAAAGAATCATTCAGCTTTTAAAAAATTGTGGTAAAATACATAGACCATAAAATTTATCATTTCCATTTTTACACTTAGCATTTTTAAGTGTTCAATTTAGGGGCATTAAGCACATTTACAAACTTGTGCAATCATCAAATCTTTACTATGCAGAATCTGTCATCATCTCAAACACAAACTCTGTACCCATTAAATGATAGCTCCCCATACTTCTCTTCTGCCACCCTGAGTCACCTCTATTCTACTTTCTGTCTCTAAATCTGCCTCTTCCAGGTACCCTGAATGGATAGAGTTATACAATGTTTCTTCCTATTGAGTCTGGGTTATTTTACTTAGCATGAGATTTTCAAGCTTTAACCTGTTGCAACATATATCAGAATTTCATTCTTTAAAAGAATTGTGTTAAAATAGACATAACATAAAACTGATCATTTCCACCATTTTTACATGCACAGTGCAGTAGCAATAAGTACATTCACACTGTTGTACAACCATCACTGCCATTCATCTTCGGAACTTCTTCATCTTCACAAACTGAAACTCTGTTTCCATTAAACAAGAACTTTCCATTCCTCCCTTCCCTCAACCCCTGGCAACCACCCTTCAATTTTCTGACTCTAGGCTTTTGACCTCTCTAGGCACCATAGAAGTGGAAACAGAGTATTTGTCTTTTGTGTTTGTTAATTTCACTTAGCATATATCCTCAAGGCTCATCCCTGTTACATCATGTATCAAAATGTCATTCTTTGTTAAGGCTCAATAATAGTCCATTGTACGTGCAGACCATATTTTAGCCATTCACCTGTCAATGGATATTTATGATGTTTCTACCTTTTGGCTACTGTGAATAATGCTCTTATGAACACTGGGATGCCAAGTAACTGTTCAAGTCCCTGCTTTTGGTTCCTTTGGGTATCTACCTAGAAGTGGAACTGCTGGATCATATTCTAACCTAGGTTTAAATTTTTGAGGAATCATCATACTGTTTTCCACAGTGGCTGCATCATTTTGTATTCCTACCAGCAATGATCAGGGTCCCAATTTCTCCACATCCTTGTCAACATGTATTCGCCATTTCATTTTATTTCATTTATATATTTATTTTTTAACAACTGCCATCCTAATGGGTACAAAGTATTTCATTTGTGATTTGAATCTGAATTTCCTTAAACTTGAATTTCCTTGAGCATCTTTTCGTATGCTTATTGGTCATCTGTTTGCCTTCTTTGGAGAAATGTCTAAGTCCTTTGCTCATTTCTGTATTTGGTTGTTTATAGAATGACTTTTGCACATCAACAATATCAAGTATTAGCTTAATAATACAGCCATTAGAGTTAAATGGATCCTTTACCCCTCAGCAGTTATAGTTCAATGCGGTGATTTCTAAGAACCTATCTTTAATCATGTAAAACAATCAAACCAGAAATGGCACAACAAAGGACTCAACAGAGATCTTGGGAAAGCTTCATAGACTAACAAGTTTAGAGATTTACTGACATATCCTTGGAAAATCATAAGGGTTTAAAACGGTCATTGCTAACAAACTGGGAATTTGTAGTCTGGAGTCACTGCAGTAAAAAACTGTTGGAAACCAGCCTCCATCTTGTGAGAGTTGAGCATTAGGACTTTCAGATCAGTGAAATAAACTGTGAGAAGCAAGGGGAAAAAATGAAGAACTGGAGAAATAGAGCACAGTATTATTACTTCCTTTGCATTTTGCCATCACACATTTTTGTCCCTTTTTATAACTGGACTCTGGAATGAAATATGTATATATCACTGCCAAACTCCTAACTTGGATTAATATTCTTAAACAGAGAAAACAAATTCACGGTGTACTGAAGCATCTCCACAAATGTTTGTTGGATGAATTTATGAAAATATATCCAGTTCACAGCTCTATCTCGGATAACCTGTTACTAGATCAAGTGAGATCCTGGGTTCCTTCAGAGCCTTTATTACAAAGTATTGTCACTTAGGGACTCTTTTGGTCTCCACATGAAATTCATACGTTTTTAAAATTTAAGAATAAATATTTAAAAGAGATGATAGCAAAAAAGGAAAGAGAGACTTTCTGTAAAATTTGGAAAAAATGTAGCCAGTTTTTCTAATCAATGAATTGGCTATTTGTCTTAATTCTCAGCCTTGAACACCATCTATAAGTAAAAATTAAGGTTGAATTTGAACTTCAAAAATAAAAGTGGTTGGCTCTATAGGACTTTAAGATTTCACAGATATGGTTTTAAAAAATTACTTCAATGACTGAAAAGCAAATATTATCTCCTTCTAAAGGAAATTGAATCCTCACTTGATCTTAAGTAAACTGCATTAGAAAAGGCCATGTATATACTACCTTGACAAAGAGAGGAAGTCGGTTTTCTTTGAAGGCAAAAAAACTGAAGATATGATGTTGGCCACTCTTGGTTAATGGCACCAGGTTGCCAAAACAATCAACATAGATGGGTTTTCCTTCTAGTACCTGGTGAAAACAGACAAAGTAACACAGGACATAAGAGCTATAATTATTACTTATTATTTACATTAAAAAGTGGTGGTATTACTTGGTACATCAAAATTCTTAAAATATACATCTTTAAATTGCTGACTGGCATTTTGTCTTATCTGAGACAAAGCACATGCTAATACTCTCTCTTCTTACTGGTACAGGAATCTTCAAATGCTTGGTGGCATTTAATGTTTTCATTTCTAACACTGTTTCATGTTACCCACCCCATCCCCCAAACTGGTATCTCTTTGAGTCCTAAATTTAAATTTATAATTGGGTAGTTTTTGACACTGTAATGAGTTAGGTTACTTGACCTCAATATCCAAAGGCCCACAGGAAGAAAATTCTGAAATACGAATAAGTAATATAGAAAGCCCTGGATTTGATACATTCACATTTATACAAAGGATATGCTTCCTGTTTTCTTAAGTATTAAAAATAATAAAAGCAACAAGGAAAGGTAAAGATACCTAAACTATTATAGTAACTTACATACTTTACCAGTAACTTGTAATTTGTCCCAAGATAATTTTATGAGAATCCCTTTACCTCCTCACATACACTGTATATCCCTATATCCAAACTGGCTAAAAATGGCAGATTTTGGACCTTGACCTACTAACTGATCAAAGTGTGGACTGGTCTTTTTTTCCTTATGGCTCTATTTATTAAATACTATATTAAATATAATCTATTAGTAAGGGCATAAACAACAGGTTAACATAAATTATTTTTGTAAATACAGTACCTCTACATCCCTGCTTCTGGCCACCTCAGCAAAGTTTTCTTGTTGTTCTAGGGTCTTATCCACTTTATCATCAGTCATGCAGAAACATCTCAACCTGGCTTCAATGGGGTCATGTGATTTGGCAAACACGACAAATTTGGCCATATACGGTACACAGATAATTTCCCTATACACTTGTGATGCAAAGGTAACAGATTCCTGGATTTGTCGACAATCTATCAGCCAGAACCTACAAAATGGAATAAGGTCGGTTACCATACGAAAAAAAAAAAAAAAAGAATAAGGTCAGTTATCTGAAATTTAAAGTATAAATATAAATAAATATAAATATAAAGTATTGGATAAGAAAACAACAGTCCTCTCATTATGATCAAAATAGTCATTAAATGTTTTTTGGAAAAAGAAGGGAGAGAGGGAGAGGAGAGAAACTAAAGGAAAGACAAAGTGAAAGAAGGAAAGGTATAAGGATAGATAGGAAGGAAGAAGGGAGGGTGGGGAAAAGAGAAAGATTAGATGTTTAAGATCAACTAACAAATGCTGTATTTATAATTTTCTTCCTTGGAGGATCATCTGAGTATTGAATCTTCTCAACTATACCTCAGAACTTTAGAATCTTCTAGCATGTAAGCTCAGTGTCAGACATGACAAGGATCTCACTGAATTGAGAGTTTCTATTTTTCCTTGATTCCCTCTCCTATTCTTTATTTCATTTCCTGAAACCCTTTCCAGTATAATCTACCCAGCTTTTCTTCATTCTTTTCCAACAACCTCTCCAGTTGTCAAGGTGAAATAATCCCATTTTTAAAAAATTGCTTTTGCTCCAGAACTTCTAAACATTGCTGAACATAATTCCTAGAAGAAATCATCTGTTTTGTGACCAATTTATGAGTTCTAGCCTCAGCTAAGTCTATGATTTGCCTGGCAACTTTTTCTTCAGATATTATTTTATTCTGTTTAGTAACTTTGCTAAACCTTTAGGACACTCCTTGAGCTCTTGCCTCACCTGAGGCCCTATGAAGGGTAACTTCACTGAGAAAGCAGAGGCCACAGTGGACATTTCTTCAATCTGGTATGTATACACGCTTTCAAAGGTTGGTTCACATCCTCTTGCTCTGAAACTTTTCCCCACCAATGATCACCCTCCCTCTCTTGACTCATTTCCCATAATCTTTCAACATTCCTGAGATTTCCTTACCATTTTACCAACTCTTTTCTTCAAGTTCTTGATCCATCTCTTTTTTAATTGACTTTTGATAAAATATATACAAAGTTCATCATTTTAATCATTGTAAGTGTATAATTCATTGGCACTAAGTACCCTCACAATACTGACTTCTTGGGCTATCCCACGAGGCCTCCCATAAACAATGCACAATCCTGCATTACTTCTGAACTACAGACTAAATGGATCACTGTTGCTCTCCCCTTTCTTTCTGCATTCTATCTCAGCATCTTGGCTCATGTTACTCTCTCTTCCACTTTCATTCTTCCCATAAGGTTCCTACATGTCTCATGAGTCACCTCTTCTATTCCAATGCAAATACCCTCCGCTGAATTCTTTAGTACCTCTGGGGTACTGGTCATTCAAAACTTGCCATTGTCTTGCATTAGAGTGTAGAAGCCCGAGTGGCAGATCACACTGGCACACGGAGCCCAAGACTCAATAGCTGAGCCTGAGAGGCTGAAACAACAAAAACGTGCCACCACACCCAGGTATGCCACGTGCCGTTCTGAGTTGTTCATGAATTTCTATTTTTTTCTTATATCCTTGAATAGAAATTTAAGTTTTAACTACTCTCGACTTTAATTTTCTCATCTGTAGAATGGCCACAATACCTCCTGTTCTTTTAAGTCACACAGTTGTTGCAGTAATCAAATTAAATGGGAAAATGCTTAGCTATCCATGAATCCCAATGCAAATGGGAACCGATAGTTATCAACTGAATTAGTGTGTACATGACATAAAACTAGGTAGCTTCAGCTTTTAAAAGATGTGTGAAATGTAATTGGGTCATACATGGGTAATATGTACATGTGTTTGAATGCGTAAAAGTCACTGAAACCTTTAAACCATTCGAGCAGGCCCTGGTGGGCTTTGTGTTTTTAGTATTCTGCTGGAAAAAGTAGTTCAGGCTATTTTTTGACAGCAGGAAATTTATCTTTCCTAAGACCTTTGGGACTGGAAAAATCAGTGGTGGCTGCTAAAACCAGAGTCAGGGTCACAATCCTTTCTTTTTCTTAGATTTTAATCTGACTGGTTGTCCTTTATTATCTCATCACCATTTCATTTGCTGGAGGGTCCAGTTTAAAATATGAAAGTAAATGCAGACAATGTTAAAAAGCAGACCAAAAAGAGTCAGTTTCAAAGAACATAAGAAACAAAACAAAAGACATATCAGGCTTTTCTGGGCTGCATAACCATACCTGGCAGACACATTGGTTGTAAAGGAAACACATTCATTGACAAATGTTAAGGGCGTAGTTCCTGTAATATCTTCCCATTGTGCAGGAGTGGTTCCACCTGAAATAATATGATCGTTTAAAAAAATCAGGCAAAACTCCAGACTTTGAATTGTAAGAGAAAGTCTTTGTGGTTCTGGCTGTGTTCACCCATGTCATCCCATCCACCCCTCAGAATGACATATTGGGAACATGTCTAAAAACCACATGCTAAAAAATGACACACTGAAAACAAACAGGGAATACTACCTTCAAAGGAACTTCATTTAAGGGAGGTTCTTTGAATAACTGCCTTAGATTACCTACTAAGTGTTCAACTCTCTGACTTTTTTTTTTTAATGTTTCAAGTTTTTATTTAAATTCTAGATAGTTAACACAGTGTAGTATTAGCTTCAAATGTAGAATTTAGTGATTCATCACTTACATACAACACCCAGTGCTCATCACAAGTGCCCTTCTTTTTTTTTTTAATTTTTTTTATTTCTTTTCAACATAACAGTATTCATTTTTTTTTTGCACCACACCCAGTGCTCCATGCAATTAGAGGGCACAAGCACCCTTCTTAACACCCATCACCTATCTAGCCTATCCCGCAATCCCACCTCCCCTCCAGCAACCCGCAGTTTGTTCTCTGTTGTTAAGATCTGACTGATACTTTGAAGCTTTTATTGTAATTGCTAGGCTTTGAAGATCATTTTAAATTGTAACAGCTGATGATTTTAAAGCAACTTCTATCAACCAAGGAGTTGAATACTTTGTTAAAATAACAAAAGATCCAAATAATCTTTTGTTCTTGAACTTCATATTTTCTGGAATTATTTTTAAGAAATAAAATTTCTTCTCAATTTGCAGTTGAAGGTTGGCAAAAAAAAAAAAAATGCTTGGAAAATATTAAGAGCTCAGTAATACTGCAAGGTGAGGGAACAGATGAATGAGTGCTGAAGGATGGCCTCTGTGCACAGAAAGATCACCATGGAGGTGGACATGGACTTTCATTCAACTGGGAAATTACCTTGGCATAGATAAGGATAAAATAGTCTTAAGGCACTGTAGGAGGAATGTATGTTCGAGATGAGAATAAACTGCGACACTAAAATTCCTTAAAGAAGGAAATGTGTTATCAGAGAAAGTTCATGGAAACTTATTCTAGCAGGCCTCTAAAATAGGAATTCTTAGCAGAACCATATAACAGAGCAAAACACAAAAATCCAAGCACTGTGGTTAACATGTTTTTTTAAATTAACAAATAAATTTAAGGACATGTTTCGTACAATCCCATCTGAGGATCTATGGCTGGAATAACTAGATTCGATGGTGTCTAGGCCCAGGTGGTATCTTCATTTGATCACTTACAAGGGCAGGTGTGTCACAGACATTTTTCAGTCTTCTTTCTTTTGCTTCCTTGCCATTATGTTGCACATTATAGAAAGGTTAATCATATACGCATGGAACAAAAGGTATGGGAATGACAGCCAGGAATGCTGATAACAACCACAAATGGGTAATTGGGAAAGTGAAAATGAAGCATAAGATTTCCCTTTATACTCACTGTAGCCTGTGCATTTTAAACTCTTGTCATATTATTAAACTTATGGGATAAGGTGTCAATGGTTTGCTATCATAAGTACAGAAAAAAAAAAAAACACTAGTAAGAAGGGAGAATTAGAGAGCAAAATAAGGGTGAACATTCCTTTCCATATGGAGGAGAAATGAAAAAAAAAAAATGCTAACAATACCTAAACAGCCAGGGATGGTGATTATTCCCATTGACAATAGTGTATTTACTGAATGCCAACACAATGTAGTTATGGTTAAATAGGGAAATTATCAGTCCAATGATGTAGTCCTAACACAGGTTATTTGTGTGTATTTTTTCCTCTCAGCATTATGGTGATAATATTGAGCAGAAAAAAACCAGCATTCTAGGAATGTCTTTCTACAGTGTGGTAATTGTCCAAAAGCTACTGCAACTTCTAACTAAAAAGACCAAAATTCAGCTAATTATTAAAAACCTTTGTTTTTTCTAAGTTATTTCAACAGATCAATGATAAAGACAAACCCATTCCTAGACAGATGTCTGAACTTCTGAGCATAATTATTCAAGATGCTATTTATTTTTCATATAAGATGAAGTCTTACATGGAAAATATAAGATGAAGTCTTACATGAAGGCGTAAACCTTAGGCCTTGAGGTATGTAAATTTGGGTTTGAATTCCAACTCTGCTGAATATTTATGGTATGATACCAGGCAAGTTATAGAACTTCTCTCAGCCTTGGTTTCCTTTTCAATGCATAGGGTTAACACTTCCTCATAGAGCCACTGTAAAGACTAAAATGCCAATGCATATAAAATGTCTAATAGTTTGGCATACAAGCTATATCTGATAAATACTAGTTCATTTTCTTTCACCTTTCACTTGCCTAGTAAATTAGAATGCTTTTCCTGAATTAATGCATATAACCTCACAGGTATCTAATGACAAAGGTAATTTAATATTTACCACACTCTGCTTCTTCTTTCAGAACTTTCTACTAGCAGAGTCTTATGTGACTCACCTGTTATGCTGCATAGTAATCTTAAGGTTGGTGCATCTCCCCCAAAACCATTCAACATGACATCACTTGAAGCTTTGGGGACAGGAATGGTCATGGTAATTGGCTTGTGAAATTTTCTTCTTCTAGGTTCCAAAGTGACTATAGGGCTGAAGGTAGCTTTGTTGCCTAGAATCTTCTTAACCAGCTCACTGTGCATAGGTTGAGCCTTTTTAAAAGAAAATAGCACAGTAAATCAATATGTATTGATATATATTGATATCAATATATTTCAATATGTCGATATCTATGTCAAATTTCTTACTCAATGCATCTCTTCTTAGCTCAAAAATCAGTCTGGTGACTTCAAATACAGCAACTGTAAGTTTAGTACTAAGCTTTCATATAAAACTTTAGGAGACCTCCCATCTCTAAGGGAAGCTGTTGCTCACGTGTGGATCATTTGACACATTAACCATATATTCCCCACCTGAAAAGCTGACTTTGAATCACTAGAGTAAAAATCCATGTTGGGTTAACTCGTATCCAACACGGGCATACCTGTAAGCCCACACGGATCCTCTTGGTCAGCGCCCCCTCTGGGAAGACGGCCTGCACCTGCGGCACCACGGTGCTGCTCAGCACGCCTCCCTCCGGGCCAATCAGGTTGCTGTCCTGTTTGATGCGCGATACCACCGCAAAGTACTGTGGGAAGTCACGGGTGATGATGCGGCAGATTCGCTTCTTTTCTAGGTCTTCTGGGCTATCCAGCACTGAGACAAGAAATGACCCATTTTATATAGAAAAGATTTCCTTCCAAAACAATTCTAGCAAACTCCAGGGCACAGTTAATAGTAAACAAGCATAGAAGCAAAACAACTTTTTTTTTTTTAAATAGGAAATTTTTTAAAAAGCAAGACTATCCTAACAACACCAGAAAAAAAAAAAATAAAAATAAAAACAAACACACACAAAAATACCCCTCCAGTCTTTCAAGACCTATCAGCATTTAGTCTGCACGTTTTATTTGTCTGAGGAAACTAGGTCTTTCCACGGCACTGTGAAAAGAAAAGCATCCAGTTCCAGAAGCAGTAGTGCAGGGCCCAGCACCCTCTGTAAATGAAGGGTTTTGAGGGCAAACCTGGAATGGAAACAAATCTGTCCTATACTTGCTTCATGTGAGGGAGAGGAAATGGCTTCTGGATTCCTTTTCTTTGCAAATTTCAAAGTTAGCTCAAAAAACCAGTTACTGCAGTTTTAAGAAGAAACACAGCTTTTTCAGTTCTCAGGGCAAGAGTACAGGGATAAAAATCTGTCCCCTAAGGGTAACGTTTGTGTTTGTGTGTTTATTCTAGTGACATGGTTGTCTCTGAAAGAGTCAGATGTTTAAAAAAAAAAAATCAGTGATTATGAATTCAGGGTTTGAGTATTCCTCTGAAACCATTAACTTACCAAAAATATCATCTACTGTCAGGAAGATAGGATAATGGGCTCTTTGTAAATTGCATTAGTGTAGATATCTAGGGCAATACGAAAATCGGACTGGTTTAAAAGGCAGAAAATTTGCACTAAGGGGATCACTGAATTTTCAGGGATCACGGAGAGTTGTGGACTGGCAAACACTAGCACATACATACAAAAGAACACATTTCCAAACACAGAGAACATAAAAATATAAAAATCTGATTCTTTGTTTAAAACAGGTTTTATACACCTATGGAGAGTTATACGAGTACTCAGTGAAGGACAAGACACCAGTGCTTGTGGCAGTGTTAATGACAGGTATATCTCAGAGGAAAGTATCCTAAACCTAAATGCAGATAAAGGAAATGGCTCCAAGAAACAGAAGCAACTAAATATTGCATGGAACAAGCTTTATCGGGAAGAAGTCTGATCTTTGAATCGTCCTTGTAAAGGACTGATCTATGCATCTAGAGGGCATAATTTTCCATCAACCTCTTGGGTTATTCCACTTTATTCCACCTCAGCAGGATGCAGAAACATACTAAAGCGGCTGCTGTTCAGCTACACTTACTATTCAGAAGCCACGCCTGAAGCTTCTGGCTGTAGTCTACAAGCCTGGTAAACTTGACAAATTGCCAGACCACTGTGTGTCCAGTTCTTTACCGCTCTTGGCGCTTAGGCAAAGAAGTTGCCCTATTTGTGTAGTTACTGAAAGTGGAAGCATGGGGTGCCTGGGTGGCTCAGACGGTGAACCATGTGCCTTCGGCTCAGGTCACGATCCTACAGTCCTGGGATCGAGCCCCACATTGGGTTCCCTGCTCCCCACATAGGAATTCTGCTTCTTCCTCTGCCTCTGCCCCTGCGCACTACTCGTTCATTCTCTCTCTCTCTCTCTCTCTCTCAAATAAATAAATAAATCTTTTTTAAAAAACAAAGTGAAACCCATCTCCTGGTATTAGGCCTGGAACTTCATTTTTGTGCAGCCTAAGGAGACCAGACAATGAGCCATTTCCCTTCAGTCACACTGAGATATTTCAACCTGTGGCTAGATGGATTTGGGATTTACGGAAGCTGGATTTGGGATTTACGGAAATCAAAGTCCCAATGGGGGGGAAAAAAAAATTCTTAACTCTATGTGTAGGTGTGTATATGAAATTCTACCCTGGCTGACGCCTTGCTTGAATTACATGTAGAAGTTTGAGTGAACTTAATTCTCGTTATCTCCTTAATAAAAAGTTTTAAAAGGAAATCATATTATCCTCTAATGCACTAAAATAACACAAAGACCACACATACCCAAGCCCGCTTCCCCTCCCCGCCCCATACACATACACACCACCCTTTCATCAGAAAGCAACAGATCATTTTAATTCTTCCTCTTTAGAATTCTTTTAAAACCCTTAATACGAAGTACCTTCATCCATGCCATTAAGGATTTCATTCAACTCGTCTTCAGTGTATTCACAGTAATGCTCTTTCCAGCTGTCCCCGTTCTCACTGCGCAGGACCACCAGTTCCCGCTCCTTTCCTCGTAGGGCAGCAAAATGGGGGATCTCCACGATCACAGGCCTGACATAGCAAGGCAGAACATTCAGTGTGGACAAGAGCTGACCAACAGCAAGACAAGCACCTTGACTCTGTCTGTTGCAAAGTGACCTGGAATTGTTCTCTTTTGTGGGACGGGGCATAGCAGGCTGTCCTCCAGAGCCCACTGGCTAGGAGATGGTCACAGAGTAGCACTCCACCTCGGGGGCACCAATCCTTAGGGACATGCTGCTACCTTAAGCCAAATAATGTTTCCCTGTGAGTGCATGTGGCATTCTGGAACTTCTCCTTTGATCAATGTAAGTATAACACATTTAACCAAAAGAAATGTGCATGCATATCCATGATGTGTGCCAATCTCCTAAAACATTTTCTACAAGGTGCAGATGACAAAATGGTTTGAGAAGGAAAATGGCTCACATGTTGCATAATTTGATGTGTTGTAAATGAAAAGATGTCAGGAAAGTTAACTACTCAGGAACTAAAGAGACATGCACTCATGGTTTTTTGCTTTTTTTTTTTTTTTTTTCATTCAAGGGAACAATAGGCATGTGTACACAGTGTGGCCCTAACTGAGCACCTCAGCAGACAGCCCAATTGTGTCCCATGCCTATTAGACTCAGGATCCAGAACATGCACAGCCCTGAAGTTTTTAGGTCGCATTCACTTTCAAAATTTATAGAGGCTTTTGATTTTTCAGTCCAGGTTGCTTTGATACAGACTTCGAATTTATTATGACAACATCATAACTAGCACAGAGTACAACTAGGCAGATCTCATGCTTTAAACAAAAATGAAGGTCACAGCACTTTAAGGGAAAAGATATAAAAAACATCACTCAAAAATAAAAAGTCACATACCACAAGGGTCAGAAATGGTCCACTAAAGATAGGTTATACAGAATTTAAATCATAGGGAGGGACATGTCATGGGCACAATGACAAAAAGAGAAATCATATTGCAGAAGGAGAAGAATGGGGGCCAGCAGCCATCAATTTGTTTTAAGTCACTCCTACCCAAGGAATTTGGTTCCAGGAGGCCCCAGCTGAAGGATGCGGCTGACCAAACTTTCTCCCTCATTAAGTGGGGGAGGAGCCGTTGGCAGGTGAAGTTTACTGAGTACATCCAAAGCAGCAGTGAAAGAAAGAACATAAGTAAGCTTCAGGTATTGTTTTCCACAGAACCCCGGCGTCACCGGCTGATCAACAGGGTGAAGTTTGGTTTCACACTGCTTTTGGTTCTGCCCCCTCCATTGGTCACAAAGAGCAAGGAACTGAGACCCAGAGTGTACAATGGAGGCGAGTGGAAGGAGACACTTAGGTGTTGTTGGATCTGTCCCTAGTTACGTTCACTGCCAGGGCACGAGCCAAAAAAAATAAACAAAAAATGTGCTCCACAGGAAAGACAAAGCTGTTGGGAATATAATAAAAACTCTGACTCTGTAGAGAGGGCAGATGTTTTCATGGATATTCCCCAACAGATGTGAAGTTTAGTAAAAAGCCTAAAACTACGTGGGCATAAGGGAGGGGAAAGGGCCTGGTACAGAAGATGAAAGGGATCGTTGGGCAATTACTCCAACCATACTGGCATTTCCGATGCAACCCAGAACTTCACAGGCTCCTTCTAAGTCTCTGGTCATTTAGGAGGGCATGGGAGGTAGCTTCTATAATTGGGGAATACAGACACCCCTTTTCAGGTGTGAACATAATTTGCAGCAACCTGTTAAATCATTTGCTCCAAATTACAAGGCTTTAGAACGTTTCCCCAAGTTCTAAAGCAAATCCGCTCCCCCAAACGACACTGGCAAAGAGTTCATGATTAGTAGGATTTTCTCCCAATTTTTGAGCACAAAGACTTGATACGACAAGACTTAAATACAATTGATTTGTTTCAAAATATTTTGAAACTTGTCCCCCTCCAAAACTTGATCCTTTTGTTGGTTTTCAGCAGTAGCCAGTCATTTCTTGGCACACTGAGACACCACTTCATATATAATAGCAGTGGTACAAACAGAAGGAAGAAATGCCAATCCCTGCTCAAAATTGCTAAAATGAGCCTGGCAGAAGTTGGTCTTGATTTTGTTGTCTTAATGAAAACTACAACTACAGAGACTGTTGGTATAATTTTAAGACTCAAGATAGCAATTTTGATAACAGAAACGACACATCAGATGGAGTAAATTTTTGGGTATCTTATAAAGACAACGCTGCTTTCCAAAGATAATCATTCTGTTTCGTAACTACACAGGACTTTAAATGTATGTTTGGAATAGAGTAGTACTTTTTCTTTATGACTTTACCATGTGAGTCTCGGAATTAAGAACAACAACAACAACAAAAAATACCTACCATCAGTTAAAACATGATTATTCACATTGGGAGCCTAGAAGCTATTGTCCCATCCAAAGAGAGGGAATCATAATTTCACCTGAATGTCGAACTCATTAATGCCTTACAATAAGAGGCATGTGATTGGAGTCAAGCACTGAGGTCCTACTTGCCATTTTTTAAATAATTTCGCAGGGGCCAATCTTCTTTTATAATGTTATCTATGTACCTTGTTTCATTCCAGCCTAGTGATCTCATGTAGAGGACACAAGCTCATCGGTGACTAAGTGGGAGGTTTAGCAGAAACCCTTACCCAAGGAACTGAGCACCAGAAGGTCCAACTTCGATCAGGCGACTGGCCAGGCCTTCTCCTTCCACCATTGGCGGCATTGTTGCCAGTCTATGGCGTTTGACCAGACGGCAGGTGACTCGAGTTGGGGCAGTACATTTCCGAGGTGGAATAATGATACGGAGCCCATTGTGTCTGCATCCTCGCATAGCACCACCTCGGGCATCCACCATAAAACTAACCAGGAAACTAAAAATTAAAATAGAAGATGAGCTGCGTTTTGAAATGCTGGAAGCAGACAGTCGAGCTTTGTCAAGTTAATTTTTTCTCTTAATTCTTTGTTCTTTTTCATTTATTTGCATGGTGGCACACTATTTGTCCTTAAGAGTTCTTTCACTTTACGCCAATGCCTTTATTTCTGTTGTGTGGTTGTTTTAGCCTTTGCATTCTTTTGATCTGTACCTAAAGAATTCTGCTAGTTTTTATTGACAATGGTGATATTAAATACAAACTGGGAATTAAAGATCTGTCCAATTGACTTAGGAAGTGGAATAAAATTATATAATGAACACTGATGAGTCTTCTTTCATTATAAATGCAAAGACCTCTGCTTCTGTCTAGGTGTGTCCTGAAAAATCCACATGCTAAAATAATGTAAGGATAGAGTAGAGAGGAGAGATCAAACTGCAGTTTTTCTAAACTAATCCAACCTGACTTTTCAAAATTATATTTTGTCCAACCCATTTTAATATAATTCTAGGACTTAAAAAAAGATCCATAGGCCTTCTCCCAAGACCAAGCTCATGTTCACACATCCTGCTCCAACATCATTTCACCCAGGATGCAGGTTATTAACTTACTGCATTCTCATGGAGAAGGAAAAGCAAAAATTAATTGTTTTCGATAGAATCAGCACTGGTTGACATGTACTTTTTCAGTTCTTAAGTAGGAAGCTCTCTGCCATCCTGGTCTAACTGAAGCAAAGATGGGGTGGGCAGGAAGTGGGATTATAAATCCCCTCCACTCTGTTTTGAAGTGAGAGACCCTGGGCTTATGCTGATGGAAGAGATCTGTGCCTCATGATTTCGCCCAAATTATAGTAAATCTCAATGTGGAAAATCACAGCTAAAAATTTAGAAATGTAAAAGGCTTCTAGCACTATTATTTTGTTATTTTACTAAGTTAATTGTTCATGCATAAAAGAACTATAATCCGAGTGACTCCTTGTTTTAAGTGTACCAAGAGAAAGGCTTAGTTTTAAACTTTCATGTTATCTCTTGTGTGATGGTCTTCATGGATCCTGATAGAGTTTAGTTTGACTTCTTTTCACTCTGATAGTCCTAACACTCATTAAAGTCTTGGAGGTACTCACTTCCTCAAGGAGTGAAAATTAAACCAGGCAATCCGAGTGTTGTACACATATACACAAAGACACAAACGAACAGTGTATATACCCTTACACAGATTACATTATGGTCTCTCCCAATTTTCATCGCATTTGCAAGATTTTATACGCCAAACAAAGAGGAAAGCAACATAGAGGTGTATTACGGATCTACTTGAGCTTAACCAGCCCAAGAACTACATCAGATTCACCACGTGTAGATATTGCATCCATGACAACATTTAAAACATTTGGAAGATATTTTATCCAAGTAAGTTATAGGAGAGAAACACAATACATTGATGTTATTTTTAGACAAGTGATGAAAAATATGTTAGCATCTTCTTCATCGCACTACACAGAACTCATGAAGCATGCTATTAAACAGAAATCCTGTTGCTAGTAATAAAAATGGATGCAGAGGAGCTGGAGTGCCTTCCTGAAGCCTGTCATGCAGAATGAGACCACGAGAAGAGCCGTCACCATCCTTCCCGCATGCAGGAGCCAGCCTAGAACTACCATTCACACCAGCCTTCTAAGTTTTTAGCATAGGGCAAAAACTGGGGAGTATAATCAATGGTTTAGAACTCAAGAGTGGATGTTTCTGGTCTTTATTAAAACACAATGAAAAAAGGTTGGTTGCTTTTCTTATTATTAGTCTAAGTATGAATTCTTTAAAAAAATTCTATTAGTTTTTTAAAAGGTAGTATTGCTCAAAAGGATGGGAAAAAACTGATAACACTTCTAGATGAATACACAAGTTTCTTCTCCATTTTATTTGTTTTGAATGGACTAGGCTATTAATGTCAATTTTTATAAAAGCTAGGGGCAAAGACACTAAGTTTTGATCAGTGCTTCTCGAGATGCATTTCGGTATTTCCGACTTTCCCTAATCGTTTTTTCATCTTTTGATTACTATCACCACTGATGAACAAAACAGGGACTCAAACTCCTAAGAAATTATTATAATACATCTACTCAATTTTACCAGTCTTTCTACCTTTTGAAGGCATTTAGGAAGCTTTCACACTTATGTTATATGCTATTGTGTTTCCATTATATTTATTCCAGTGATGACTTATGGCCTATATGATGTCCCCAACTAGAAAAACATGGAGAATGACTTCTAGGGGTGCATCTTCTAAAAACAAGTGAGTGACAGTAGCTATGTTCTTAGTTGTAACAATGTTTCAATAACTACATGTTTGATTCCTTTCTCTGATTTTGTGTCACTGACTGTTCCTCTTGAAATCCTCTTTTGTTCTCGTTTACTCCATAATTTCCCTTTCCATGTCCGAGAAGGATGCAATGTTTGCTACCCTCCTGTTGGTGGGTGCCCTGCATGGAACTAAGGATACTGAAAGTGAAAACATAATGGTTTCTGCCAAGTAGCTCTTACTCAAAATTACTTTGCCTCCTGGTCAATAAGTGAATTATGACCACATACAGGAGCCATGTAAGTACCACACTGGCCATGACCTTGTTCTTCCAATGTTCCCCCAGCACCTAGAGCAATGTACATGGAGCACATAGTACGCAGTCAATAAATAATTGTTGAATAATTGAATGAATGGAAGAACGAAAAGAGCAAGTTGTAAGAGGTTGTATATATTTATCTCTAATAAAGAGAAAAGGCAGCAAAATTGAAGGTAATTTAATTGTTTGGTCTCTAGACAGCCAATCCAGTCAGAACTCATTCAAATTACTACACTCTGATATTTCAGCTCAAAAAATAGCAGAATCACTGGGAAGGACTACACTCAATGTTAAATATTCTTCTTCTACAGGTCTTTTCCTGCTCCCAAATAAGAGACCTGATATGAAAAAAAGAAAAAAAGAGAGACTCAATATGTTTATTTCCCCTGACAGATGATTGGTAGAAAATGGGAGCAACCAAAAATCAAGAGTTCAAATATAACAGGAAACAATTCCCTTAGGAGTGAAAATTTCATGAAGAAAGAAAAAAGGTTGGAAAATCAAAATAAAAGAATTTAAAGACTGAGATCTGCAAGTAGATATATTTAACTGTAAGAGTCTCAGCATCCTCTAGATCTGGAAAGTAATACTTAAATACTGCACCCAATCACAGCAAATTGGGAAAAGAAAGGTGCCAATCTGCATAATTCAGAGAAAAGAAAAATCGCATTTCCAAAGAAAACAAGCCTTGTGTCTTTCTCAACTAATTAAAGGAACTAACAGACTAACAAAAGTGACAAGTTTTAGTAAGATAATTGTCCTTAGCCAGAGAAGAAGGGGGAGTAGAAGGAGCGGAAGGGAGGTGGAGGAGAGGAGGAAGAGGCAGTGAGAGAGAGTCAGAAGCTGGAGGGTTGAGAGGAAAGCAAAAGAGAAAGCGGTCAGGAGAGAAACAGAAAGGTTAGAAGAAAGAACTGAAAATTAGTTGTCAAAATGAATAGAAATGTTTATAAATTCAGCAGAAAATACTCCATAGAAATCAGACTCAAATAATGTAATTACAGAATAACAATTAACAAAAAAACTGAATATGCAGAATTGTACACTAAAAGAATGATTTGTTTCAAATAAGAGGGAATAAGAGAAATAATGATTCAAGTGCTAATGGAAAGTCTTTTAGATAAAACATGCTAGTCAATCCCAATAGTCTATAATATACAACTGGGTAAGCATTTGAACACTTTTATTAAAAACACCAGAATATCAGAAGGTTTCACAATTTGGATAGGTGGTAGAATTAGTAAGGTTATTCTGCGATGTAAAAAACAGACTGTAACAGACCATTTACTTTTTTGTACCACAGGAAAAAGTGCAGGGCTGGAAGCTATGAGTCATGAGATGAATCAGCTCACATACTAGAGATGATTAAGTAAATATGATTTTCTCATCTCTTCAGGAGATTATAAAGGGGACAAGATAAACCTGCAAACATTTGGAAATAAACGGAATTAAAGTAAAATCATGTAATTAAATACATCCAGAGGAAATGATATATGTAGGGACTAATGCTTAGCTTTGCTATTTGTGAGCTTGAAGAATGAAGCCTCATCTGTCGATGAGGGAGAATCATAATATTACCACTAAGGGTGCAGTGAGGATTCAACCATGCATGGGAAAAGCATTTAGAATTCAATAATAATTCAATAAATGCTTGTTCCCATCACTTTCCTTGCCCTACACCCAGATGATTTTATGTGTTTCAAATGTCTTAAAAATTACAGTGCAATACAATTCCTAAAAAAGAAACTAACTTTTATCGGATGTCTAAAATGAACTGGGAACTTTGCTAAAGCAGTTTAATATGACAGTGGAATTTTTACTAGTTTATGAACTTCACTATTTAAGTAAGCTATAAAGGTGCTATTATCACAGAGCACACACAAAATCCAGCAAGTACCATGCTCTCTCCTGGACGCCAGCTATCATTAAGTTGATCTCTGTCTTTAATTGTTGCTGTGACATCAAGCAAGTTACTTCCTGTCTTCAAGTTCTAATTTTCTCATCCACAAAATGAGAGACTTTGGCCAAATAAACTCTATGGTGATCTGGTGTTAAAATTCTATGTGCCATTTCCTGTTAACTAAAGTTAGGAAACCTACTGAAATGTTTCATGACTGTCAGATGCTTTGTAAGAATTTTTATTTGGAAAATAAACTGCTTTTACTCCAAGAAAAATATATTATTTTTGTTGTACGGTTAAAACAGTCAACGAACAGTTTTGGAGAAAATATGTACACACATTGCACTCAACACTGACTGAAGACTGTACAGACAAAATTTATCACAGAATATACTCAGCTTTAATTGCGTATCTTACTCTCCAAAGGAAATTCAGCAATCATGCAAAATAGAAATTCTTATTGACGTTTTTCTAAATTGTGAGAATACAGTGTTATCACAATTTAAAAAGAATAAAAAGCAAAAGCAGTCCACCATTATTATGCAGATGATTTGCCTGCAAATATACAATTTGATTAGCTAAACAGATACATGCTTTCAGAGGAGGCAGCAGAAAACAATGATTCTGGTTTTTTGAGGACAGCGTCCTCCACCCCAAAAGTTACTAATCCTTAGGTTTACTTTTAATTTGTCCAGGACCATGGGGTGGGGACAGGGAGGAGATTACAGCATTCAGAGTTAGTTATTGGGTGAAAATAGAGGGGAAAAAAAAGTCTTCAGGGTGCTTCAGTGATCCACATACACATAGCAATAGGACCTTAAATTAAATCTGATTTCTGGGTTGATGTGAGAAAACATCATGAACTCTTTCTTCTCTGTAATTCCCTTAATTCTTTCCTCGTCCTCTGAATTCCTTAGACTGAAAAACGGATGGAAAATCACTTTGAAAAAAATTGGCTCTAGTTTGTTAAAATCACCAATTATTTATTATCCACTGTGTTCATGTACAGAGACATAATATTTAGTGTGTGTTTCAGAAAAAGTAAAAGGAAGGATACAAAATTTCCAAAAGTGGAAAATAAAAATTGTGTTATCTGTAGATGATCTGTAGCATCATGGTACATGACTGTATAATAAAAATACTAGCATCAGCAGTCTGATAAAAACCTTTAAAAATAACCTTACTGAAATATAAAGAATAGATATTTTTAGAACACTGACTAGCATCACCCTATAGCACAATTTCCAAAATAGCAAAAGGTTTCACTTAAAGCTGTAGTAGCAAGGAAAGGCACTATTAATAAACTTTCAGCCTTTGGGTCACCTAGAATATAGCTTAAAAAACAAACAAACAAACCCTGCTAAGTGACACTTAAAATCATAATCTTTAATAGAACTTTAAAATAGCTCACCCAATTTGCAGAATTTCCGGAAATGACATTCTTCAGCTCTATGGAGCACTTTTTCTCACAAAAAGAAATGGAGACATGGAGACCCATGGCCAAAATAGGCTTTCACAGTAGGTCTACATTAATTTTGGTGCAACCCCGCCTGATTTCCAAAGGGATTAAAAAAAAAAAGTACCCACTTTCTTTCCACAATAGAGGAAGGGAATTCAGCAATGGCCACGCTTTGGAGAACATAAATCTGTCTCTTTCTCTGGCTAGGTATCTTCACACTAAAGCATCCTGAGATGGGGTATATGCAGAAGGAGATGGTGAAAGGGGCAGAGGGGGAGGCCACATGGTCAGAGAAGGAATTATGCAGAAGTTCACCTGCTGTTGTCACGATCAAGACATGGAGAGGAGCGGCTGCAACAGAACAGATACTTCAGCACAGAGAAGGAATGGATAAAGTGAAATATAAAGAAGGAAATCAGAAGTGACTTTCAACCGAAATATATTACTTATACACCAATACAGTATTCATCGAAAAAAGGATGGAAATACAAATGAGATATAGTTCTATGCAAATGCGGAGAGAAGAGCAAGGTATGGGGGTTCACGGTGACTCCCAGTTGAGGGACCTGGGGATATGACAAAATCGCTGGATTTGGATTTGTGGCCTTATTCAGTACTGGCTAGGGGAGGCCATGTGACCAAGTTTAAGGGTCTACAAGGTTACAAAACATCAAGGGTTCTTACAATGAACATCACAGAGTCTTCTACTTGATGGGCATAGTGTGTCTCCAAACTTTTCGCTCATAATTTTTTTTAATACTTTCAAAATAATGGTAATGCCCTTTTGGGCTTCTACCAAAGAAAGGCAAACAAAAGGGGCACAATTTAAAGAATAGCCTCAATCACAAACAGTAGCATTTACTCTAAGGTAGAGCAGGTAACATGAATTACCTATAGTAGGTAACAAAAAACTATGCAAACAAAGAGTGCTTTTCTTAAGACTTTCATTCCCTGATTTGTGCTTTGCCGTCCTCACTACTCATATTGTCTAATCCCACTTTACAGTCCTTTCATGCCTCTTCTGCCCAAGTCTGCTCTTCTGCAAAACCCTCCCTAAATTTTCATACGATTCACTTGCATTTTCAGCACTTGACAATATACAAAAGGATACATGCTTAACGGACCAGAAATCCAACCTTACAAAACAGTTGTTTTGACACTTAAAATATAATTTCCTTGGGGTGCCTGGGTGGCTCAGTTGGTAAGTGACTGCCTTCGGCTCAGGTCATGATCCTGTAATTCCCAGATGCAGCCTGGCATCAGGCTCCCTGCTCAGCAAGGGGTCTGCTTCTCCCTCTGCCCTTTCCCCTTTCATGTGCGTTCATTCTCTCTCTCAAATAAATAAATAAAAGCTTAAAAAATAATAATAATTTTCTTCATCCCAAGGAATTTACCTTCCTGTGCCTTAAAAAAACTAGGGTGTTTGAAATACATAAACAACTAAATTAACTGATCTAGGTATGTGATAAATATTAATACTGTAAAATGAGAAACAGTCTTGACTTTCTTGAGGTTCTAAGATCAACTTCCACTATTTGAGCCAACTGCCTTCACAGGTTTTTTTTAAACTGCTTTTATTTTTTTAGAGTAGCTTTAGGTTCACAGCAAAATTGTCAACATGTTTTTATGAAAAAGAAGTCCTTTAAAAGCATTTAATTGTTGGCACTTGGCTGGCATTAAGGAACTATAAAAATAACACCACTGAAATAATAACATTTAAAATGGATTACAAAACTATTACTAGAAATTGTGCCTTTCATTTGTTAATTCATTATGCACGTCTGAAATGGAGAAGAATTATAAAATTCAAATTCTTGCCCAAGCTTATGTTGGTATGATCATGACTGGGATGCTAGAAATGACTATTGATTAGATTGTGAATCAGTAACACAATCCAAAGAACAAAAACAAAAATTTTTACTGTCAGTCTTTCTTTGGACAGATGTTGGCTGTATATATTGGGCAGAACAGATTTTTTTTAAGCACTGATACCTACTCTCTTGTAGCCATGGACAATTAGTCATTGGAAAAATAAAATTACTAATACTGCTTATTGGTAAAAGTTGTGTCTTCAATTTCTCAAAAATCCCTTTATGGAATCAAATAGAACATTATACACAAACTCAGTATCATGTGCATAAAAAAGCTGACTTTGTTATCTCCTCTAAAAATCATTTATTTCTTACATTTTGGGCAGATTTTGAAGTGGCTTAAGAATTCTCCGAATTAATTAAGGAAAAACATAGTTCCTTAAAAAATACATAAAAACTACTACTACACAGGTGTGTCATGTATAATGAACAAGTTGAAAAAAAGAAATCATTAGATGATATTATGAAAGTTATTCATATACTTTAATATCATGGTAGCTTTCAAATACCATGACACTCAAAATCCTTGTGTTTTCAACATAAGTATTCATCCCACTAGAGTCATCTGTTGCACTGTGTTCAAATTCTAGAGGCCCCACTAGATGACAAATTACCTGATAAAAATAGCAGGTTAAACGTTACTATTATAAATTGTACTATAGTGGTGCTGTCATTGAGAGGATTCAGAATACATTCTGCTTAACTGAGTTGGAATTGGTGAAGGATCTGGAAGATGTATATGAGGGTTGTGTAAATACTAATGGCTATAATCTATTGAGTACTTACTCTTTCTAGGAAAAATGCTAATTATTTAAGAAGCATTTAATCCATAAACCTCCTCCATGAGGTCCATAATATAACAAACTCAGATATTTTACAGAACCTGCCCAATTTCACATACTGAGTGTCAGGGTCAGGATTGGTCTAACCCCAAAGCACGCTCTTAACCACCATGTTATCTCTCTCCCACGGATCATCTTCCAACCATAGAGAAGTGTGTTTCTTAAAAGTAAGGGCTAGATCTTGCTTATCTGTTTTCCTGACTGCCCGGCACAACGTTTGGTACTTTGTAGACTTCAACAATGTGGGAAGAACAAATACGTGAATGGAAGTGATTTAAAAAAAATTTTTTTTGAAAGAACCAGGTATACGTTAATTACCTAGATCTCCCCGGTAATCAAGCAAATTTGTTCCTTTCTAATGGTGTGGCGAATACATAAAACACACATATTTGGACTATTGGTGCTTGTAGAAAATGCCCGCGCTAAGGCCCCAGCAACAGAGATTTGGTTGTAATTGGTTTGAGTTGGGGCCTGGGTATATTTTTTTAAAGCTCCAAGGTGATTCTAATGTACAGCCAGAGTTGAAATTATTTACAATCAGTAGTCATGTTTGGAGTTTATAAAAAATATGGTATATTACAGATGAAGAGATTAAAGACCCTTATCTCAACAAGTGGTTAACTTCTAACCACTGGATGGTCTTATTGCATCATTATCAACTAGAATTGCTTATGCATTTATCTAATTTTATACAATCAGTTTGCATATTGATGTACTTAAGCTAAGTATTTTATTGCCCTTCAGCAGTTAAAAGATTCTAAGAAATTCCTTTTTTAAAGTAAAGTATTTGTTTTGAAAACTGAAGGATTATCACTTAACACCTTGACTCTTGCAAATTCGGCTACTGATACTTAATCACACTTTGCCTAAAATAATCTTGTCACTTCGTAGGCTCCATAGTCTTCAAATATTTTATTATGGTTTCTAGATTCTATTATCCTCTGATACTGTAGGTCCAAGCCTCTTTTCCCCTTAGGATGGTTGAGAAATTTAGTAGCATAATGCAATGTTATGCTTTTAGAATAATGTACAAATGTCAGATTTTAATTATTTAATTTTATATCTAAAAATATGTTAGTAAATTTGGATGAGGTTTAACTTGGTTTTTATTCCCTTGAAATGACTCTTGCATCACGATTTTTTTATTTTACTTATTTAACAAAGAAAAGAGTATTATGATTAATTTCAGTATCTATATGACTAATTTTATATTCTAGGAGCCTATAGTAGAAAATTAGACTAAAAGTTCCCAAATTTTCAGTGACAAGTATCTTTAAATGTTTTTCTGAGAAAATATTTTAGAATAATAAAAACAAGGAAGGCTCTACCACTCAAAATAGTTCTGGGGATTATGGACAAAGAGTTTGGGATAGTAAGTTAAATCAAAGTACTGCACAGATAAAATAAAAGTGGGGCTTTTTAAAAAGGAAAATGACAGTGACTAAGTGAAAAAAATTTTCAAAGTTTATATATAATAATAAAATTATTACACAGGTTGAAACTACCAAAATGTCAGGGAAAACCCAATTGTCAAGAGGGTTACAATTTGAAACTCCTTAAGAAAATTATTTTCTGCATAATTGAATTCTTACACCTTACAAACCTCTTTAAGTATGTTTAAAATTATTAACTCAAAGTCCTACTTTTTCATGAGTTTATACAAACAGGCAGCATTTCTTTAGTAGTGATATACATATTACCTGGATGACTTTTAGAAGGTGGCTGAGAAGCTAAGTGGTTATCTTTTTTGACATATCCCTACTTCAAACAGCATATGAACTCCTCTATATATTTGTGTGATTCAAACGTCCATAATCATTATTTTAAATACACAGATATGTGAGAAAAGGCATTTATTAAACTAGTCAGTTAATCTTAGTACATAGAACTTTCTAGAAACCAAATGATCCTGCTCCTCTTTCTAAGGTGTCTTTAAGACAAAATGTGTACAGTAAGGAGGCCACTGGTTTATTCTGGTTAGTGAGCAAGCTGTCTGATGCAATTCTACTAGTTATTTTAAAACAACAGTCAGTTTTTCTATGCTGACTTCAACCCTTTTTGCTGGTTCATTTGTGTAGGTAGAGTCCACACTGGATAAAACTTTGTTATTTACAAGTTTAAACAAAGGTCACTTCCCCTGTAAGCTAGCCATCAGCTAAAGCTACTGGACAAAGCTGTTATTTTCACACTCATCTCTTTTTACCTCTTGATCTGGATACAGAATATTGATTTACTCACCCTGAATGAATAGGGCTGGAAGAAAGAGCCACGTTGTCTAAGTTCTCAGTGCCCCAGCTGAGACGGTAAGAATTCCTTTCTGCCTCCTTGGCTAGAGTTGACACCTAAATACAGAGAGCACTGGATTTAATAAAAAATACTTTCCTTCACTTAAATAAAATATAATGAACTCTAAAAAGTGGTATCACAGGAAGGTGATATTACCATCTTTTCATTTAAAAATATAAGACCGAGTCATTAAAACGTATCTTTTATAACACATTGCTATTTAAATTATACTAATGACGTAAGACCACATTTGTGTAATCGTCTTGGCAGAGAGCAGGTATTCCCATCTACTTCTCTATATCCAACCAGCCGAAACTGATAAAAATCACATCTAAGATTAAAATATTCCATAACAATCTCTAATGGTTTTCTAATAACAGATAACAATTTTAAATACAAGGTATATTTTCACAGGTCCTTTCACTTCCTACCTTCAATGCACCCTATCTCACTTTTTCCTTTACCAGAGATTTTTAGAAAGATATTCATTTTCACATCTAACCTCCACAGAAGAATTCAGTCTAGCTGAAGTAACAAGCAGTGTATAGATATCACTTGAGAAAAGCCCTCCAACTCTTATCCCAGCTTATCAACTGAATTAACACGATTTCTTTTCAGACAAAAACTTTCTCTGGACATTTCCAGCAACAGGTACCGTCAGAAAGCTCTCCAGAAAGCTAAAAAGTCACGTACCTGGTGACTGGGGATGACAACTGTGTCGTCAATCATGGCACTGTCCCTCAGGTAAGAGGCATGGCTCAGGGTGTGAGACCTGTCGGAACTGAAGGATCGGAGGCTGGTAGGTTGGCAGGAGGCCATGGTCATATACCAACAGCAGGAGCAGGGTTGGGAGGATGGAAGGATGAGCCGAGCAGGAGAGTGAAAAAAGCGCGCTATTAGCTAACAGTGCAACTTCCAGGGGGCCACGAATTGCAACCATGGGAGAAGGAAACACAGGTCTCTGTGTCGCCCTACCTCTCTGTCCAACAACCAAACGAACACATCTTTTGACTGGTTCCTAGCACTCAATGGCAAGGGCACAAGGGAATCCAGAAGTTAAAATTTGATACTTCTAATCTGATTTCTTTTCTCCTCAGAAATGTCTGAAACCAGCAAACTGTAGCTCACTTACTGCCAGGACCAGAGATTCACACAGGAAATCATGCCAGAATAGACTGGCTCAGTCTGTGTTAAACGTTAACCTCCTGCAACTAAGAAAAATATGGGGGGGGGGGGACGAGACCACCCTCAGAGAGCACAGAACGAAAGCGCGGGTTTCCTCTTCGCTCATTTTCCATTCTCTGCATGCCTCATTCCCCTCCTGTCCAACTGCGAGCACTGCCCGCGGGTGCATTCCCCTGGAAGGTACAGAGTGAAATGAACTGCGGCCAGAGGCATGCTTCCTGCGGAAGTGGAGTTCCTCTTGTTTGTCTCTGGTGTCTCCAACAACGCTATTTCAAAGGGCAGCATTGTTCCCTTTGCACGTCCTCTGTGTGGTGAGTGAGACACCAAAGAGTGCTGGTTGCTGTGGCAATAAGATGCAAGAGCGCAAGAAACCGAATCTAAGCGCCAGCCCAGGACACAGACACATCTGTCAGCACAGAAACAAACTGCCAGAGACACAACCAAAAACGAGGCTTGGCTTCAAATGGGATTTAGGCCTTGGGAATCAAGGGTTTCTACTTTGGATACGTCGGAATTTCCGAGTTCTGAATTACAGATGCAAATGTGATGGGCAAAACCTGACATTTGCATAAGTGCAATTCATTCCTTCCTAATCAATTTGTACGATCAAATGACAAATAGACTGATGTCTCACAGAAGCTGTATTTTATTCGTATTGGTCTAGGAATTAAATATCCACGTTCAAAATAGTAGCCCAAAGCCCATAGGGGAAAAGATATGCAAGCTTTCACAATATTTATAGAAGCAAAGTTTCATTTACTTTCGGCTAGTGGGTATTTGGCCAGTGAAGCACTGTAGAATTATGGACTAAGTGTCAGGTTAGCATATTTCTTAGTAGAAGCTATTTTCATTTTTCAAATAGACCTAATATTGTAAGCTGTATACTGTCATTTTTATGAGGTGTCAATATAGCGAACTTCCATTATCTTTGAGGAAATCATCATTTTGGTAGATAATTCATAGTAATTGAGGGCCTGCTCCTTCCTATTCTGCTGTAGTTTTTTTTTTTTTTTCAAATAAATATTTTTTTTAAATGTTTCTAATATTATTATTTTTTATTTGAGAGAGAGTGAGAGAGAGCATGAGATTCGGGGAAGGTCAGAGGGAGAAGCAGACTCCCTGCTGAGCAGAGAGCCTGATGTGGACTGGATCCTGGGACTCCGTCACCCGCGCAGAAGGTGAGGTTGCCTAACCAACTGAGCCACCCAGGCGCCCCCAGCTGTAGTTTTTATGTCCCCAAAACAGACCTGGAATATTAGAAGGCAAGTGACATGAATTAAAGGAGTTGACTGATCCTGTACAAATCTTTGCTTATAATGAAATGAAATCTAAATCTAACTTGGTAACTCACAATTTTATGTTATACAGGGTCTTAGAGAAGACTGAGGCTCTGGCAGCCAAGGCTGGGGCCACCCAGATGCCTTTGTGTGCCCAACAGCAGGGGTTTCAGTCCTGGCAGCCGAATGATATTGGGGCTGGTTTTACAGGTGTGCAGTTGGGTTTTGATGGTGCACGTCATAAACAGGCTGCAGGCTGCTAGGACCAACTTTGGCCTAACCTTGAATCTCTATCTGTGGCTTTAGGATTCAAAAATCCAAACTGTAACTTTATACATGCAAAGGTGCTAAATTGATAGGGATGAACAGTGCAAAAGGAGCAAGAGGCACTGAGGTATAGGACTAGACATACCCGCTCACAACAGCAAGTAGAGACCCTGTCACTGATGTAACTGCCTAGTGACATAACTGCCACCACTGCAAAGGTCTAAACTTGGAAAAAACGTAGCCAGGTCCCAACTGCCACTTTTGGGGAGAGACCATAGCTGGGTGGATGTCTGTCTCTGTAGGAATGAGGTATGAAAGAGCTCGTTTGGCTCCAAGCACAGAGCTATATTTTGCAACTAATATGCCAACAATAAAGGTGGATTTTTGATATTTATCTACCTGATACCCAGGTCTCTCTCTCAATTGGTTTGAATCAGGAGGGGAAAAGGGGTATTGGTGTTATTTTTTGTCCTTCCTAAAGTCCCAACAGGAAAGAAAGAAAAGAAAGAGAAGGGAGAAGGAAAAAAAGAAAGAGTTGACTTACAACCAAAAAGGAGATTAGGGTAGAGAGAGAAAAATATTAGGATATGGAGACAGGGAGTGAGAAAAGTTGGAAAGAGAGGGAGCAAGGGAGAAGGAATGAGTTGGAACTATGCCTAACTATCTCTACTACTGTGTTACTGGCTTCCTGTTTACTGCCTTCTAAAATGCTAATTGGATGTTTAATCAATTTTATAGATTCTAACTGCTCTTTTCTCTGATATACAGAATTTACTTAAATAAATAAAGTTAGAATATTCTAGCAGTAGAATAATTACTGTAATGGAATAATGATCAGCAGAAACATCGGGAATAAGTCAAGTCTCTGGGCAAAAATTTTTCTATCCTGACTTAAAACGTTAGAAACAAGGTTAAATATTTTACGATCCAATACATTTCTTTTTCATTAAGTCAGAGGTCATCCCATTCAGTTAATAAATTCATAATAACACATATCTATAGGAGTATAAGTCTGTATGTGCTGTTCAATGAAGGACTGTGCCAAAAGTTATGGTCTTAAATTTTAATTCTCTGCACTATAGTAAATTACTTTATGGACACATAATAGGTAGTCTGTAATTTCATCAAAAATGTAATAATCACTATCTTAGTAAGCTGTGGTATTAGAGGTTCAATTAATGAAGCTTTTGAACCTTATTAAACTAGTAAATATCTAAAAATTTCAATTGCTTAATGCATGGAAAAGCTTCTGTGGCCCATTGATACTTAGCATTTTACACTAAATTTAATTTGTAAGCAATAATAAAATGGACATCAAATCTAAATAATAAGAACTTGGATATATTTTTATCAATTTACATTAAATTGTTCATATTTTTGTTCTCCTGCATTCATGTAAAATTTAGGCATCAGAATGTTTTTTTTTTACCATCTCCAACCATACACAGACGGGTTCCTTTGGGGAAGCCATGCTAATGTTTTATCAACCACAAGGTGGGGCTGTGACAGTAAAAGTCAGGCCAGAGTCTTGTCATAGACTCGTATTCTGGTAATATATTCACCCTTCTAGCTCAGTTATCCAATTCAATAGGTAAAAATCCTAATTTGAGAACAAATCCATAATTCTAGAATATAAGCACCTCCTGCCAAAACATACACACACACACATACTACACACATTGCACAGTGAGCAGGGAAATGTGGATGTATCCAGGAAGTGTCACAGTGTTTTCATGCTATTTAATACCTACCTGGGCATGGTACTATTGAAAGCATACCAAATAAATAACGAAAAGTAAAAATGGTTACCAAAAAAAAGAAAACTCCCATTGAATTGCATAAAGAAATTTAAAAAAAAAATCAGTGAAACAAGAAACCCATGAAAATGAGATGTTGCTTGTAATTCCATGTTGGAGATCATGAATACAATCTGGGGTTCTAGAAATGCTAGTGAGGACCTGGAGAACAGACCATGGTTGGTTTGTTCCATACACCATCTTTACATGCTGGTAAGTGTTCAGTTTAAGCAGAATCATCAAACCATGGACCCTGTTTTATGGAAAGTATTGTTCTAAATCTTCCATAACCTAGTACTTTCAAAGAAGGAAAAAGGATCAGATCAAGAACTTAACAAAACAGACCATGCTGGAAATGAAGGGTTTTTTTCCCTCTGACAGTGATATGACTATTTATAGATTATTATGACTTTGTTTAAGGCCATAAATTTCATGTTCCCCAAATTTGAAATCTTTTCCTAGAAATTTTAGATAGTGATGCCTCAGTCTATCTGTATGTCAGAACCCAGTATATAAAAAACCGGTCCCGTCACCAGTCCCCCCACTCTCACCTCAAGTGGCTCCCTCTTCTGTGACTCTTGACCCCAAGGACCACCGTCCATCTACGTCACTGAAGCCAAAGGGTCAATCAAACATTCTTCCTCTTCTTCACCCATCCCATGAAATCCATCACCAAATCTGGCTACTTTTACCTTACAGATATGCTCTCAAATTTGTCATTTCCCAAATTCTCTCCATGATTGCTACCACTAAGGGTAAAGGTCAAGTCTTAACAGCTTCAGCTAATATTCCTGCCATAGTTTTTCAGATGCTTGTAACTACCAGGTTTGGCCCTTTGACAATTCTCTCTAAAACTTATCCTTTAAGTGCATAGTCAGAGGGAGCCATCCAAAACACAGACAAGCTCTCCCCTCCTTCTCACTATGCTCTACCAAAACTGTGCTGTTCTTTCTCTCATATACCATGAGGCTTTGCTCATGATCTCATTAAGGCTTCGAATGCCCTTCCCACCTTTTCCTCACCATCAATACCCATCACTTCGTCTCGGTTTGGGCTCATCTCCTCTAGGAAGCCTGAGCCCTCGGGCTTTAGTTATACTCTGTGGGTACTACTGGCCTAGTTTCTCTCACACCCCATCAAACTATGATTTTAGCAATCAAGTCCGGTCATGTCTGTACCTCTAGCACCTACCACAAGGCAGCCCAGAAATGTACTTATTATATGCACACTGAATCATTAAAAAAAAAAAAAAAAAAAAAAAAAAAAGAAAGAAAGAAAGTAGGGAAGAGGCATTGATGTTCATTAGAAAACTCCAAGAAAAATTTGCTTTTGCTAATTATCCATTTAGAATTAACTACACTTTAAGGTATATATTTCTTAGACTACAAATATGTTAACTACAGCTTAGAATACAGCCAAGATTAAAACTACAAACCTAAGATTACTGACTAGTGAAAAACTTGACACTATATGGACAGCCATATGTTAACCTAAATTGGCAGTCAATCTTTTGATGAAGTACCATGGAATGTTCTCATTCAGCTTGCCTCAAAAAATAACAAACACCAGTTGGGTTAGTTTGTAATAATCAGAAATTTTATACTGCAGAATATGACATAAACCTCTTCAGATTTGTCTATAAAACCTGTGCTCCTTCAGATTTTGCTCAGATTGCTTTTGTATTCAAGATCTTGGAGGATTTGGGTCTAATTCTTTTTCATGAAAATCAATTTCAGGCACTTTCCTTCTGAATTTGTTTCTTTTTCATCCTTCTTCACAACACCCTTTCAGTCACAGAATCTATACCACTAACAAAAATACCTGTAAGGTAAAATGGTCCTTTTTATTCACCTGAGAAAAAAGTGGTAAATGATTACAAACACTATACTGAAATGTAGAGAGCTCTTTACTTATTGCTCTGCTTCTTACTAGTCATCTGATTTTTACTGTCACTTAAACTCTCTAGTCCTCCGTTTCCTGTTCTTTAAAATGGGTACTTCAAGTTGCTCAAGGATGCAGTAAGATAGAACATGCAGTACCTATTAAATATCCTTAATTATGTCTACTTTTTTTTATTATCATCATGAAAAAGGGTTGCATTGTCTTCTGGCTGATACCAAGGGTCAGGACTAGGGGACTACCTGTCAGAGCGGGCTCCCTCCAAGCTGTACCGCAGGTAATTCATGCCATCCAGGAACTGACTGCTGGGTAGCGAGTCGTCACCTAGTTCTTTCAGATCCTCGGGCCGAAGGTATTCTCCCCCATCGCCTGTCATTGTGTCGTCACCTTGAAGCAATCAGAGGAAGACGGAGGAAGGATTATTTGTTGAATGTCGTATTAACTACAAAATAGGGCAAAGATCGTGGAACAAATGTCAGAAAAGCACTTACATCACTGGAATACCGCACACCCAATAAAAAAAACATGCAACCAGCAAGTGCTAAAACTCAGAGAAACAATATTTGGCCCATTTTTCTATTGCTTATCAAGAGAAAAAGAATGACCTGAATTGTAATTCTCTTAATATCGGTCAGTTTTCTTTACTCATTTCTTTGTTGCCATAGCTGGTTTATAGCTGTATTATTTAACTTATTCCACTATGTAGACTATTGAACTTCCAGACATAGTTCCAATAATTTCGTACCTAATGTCCAGCATTAACAATCTCTTCATGTCATTGGCAATATGCTAAGAAATATCTACTGCTCGGGGCACCTGGGTGGCTCAGTCGGTTAAGCGTCTGCTTTCAGCTCAGGTCATGATTGCAGGGTGCCGAGATCGAGCCCTGCCTCGGGTTCCCTGCTCGATGAGGAGTCTGCTTCTCCCTCTCCCTGCCCCCCTGACTCATGCTCTCTCTCTCATTATCTCTATCTCAAACAAATAAACAGATCTTAACAACAACAACAACAAGAAACATCTACTGCTCTAAAACAAATATGTGATATAGTATACGGAGGGATATGATTTATAAGATTAACAAGATATGCACATTAGGGAAAGAACACTAGAACAAAGTGAGCAGATTGTGACATTTCAAGAAACAACCTGGAATTCAATTTTAAAAATATTACTGAGCATAAAAAGGATGTTTTGTTGGAAATTAGGTGGCTTCCCAAAGGTGAACGACAGGGGAAAAAAGAGAATTAACTAATCAGGTAGTGGCAGAAAGCAATGACTAAGTGTGGTAGTTCATATTCAGAAGACCAAATGCTAAGGTGCATTCCCTGCCTGTGACTAGGAATAGAATACTTTCACAAATATCTTTTTCAGGTAACTGAATAAGTAGTATCTCATTCACAGACATGCTGTACACCATTAACATACTGACATGGAGAAATAAATAATATGGCTGAGAGAAACTATTTTTGATGACTCCTTGAGACATTAATCACACACTTTAAGCCTGATGATCTATGTAAAGGACAACTTGAAGGACAACTTCATTCCTATAACTAAGTTAAATATTCATTATTTTTTTTTTTAAATTTCATTCATTTGACAGAGAGAGAGATCACAAGTAGAGAGAGAGAGAGGAGGAAGCAGGCTCCCTGCCTAGCAGAGAGCCCGATGCGGGACTCGATCCCAGGACCCTGAGATCACGACCCGAGCCCAAGGCAGAGGCCTAACCCACTGAGCCACCCAGGCAGCCCTAAATATTCATTATTATATTCTAATTTGTTTCAAGTAATTGTTCTAAATCAACACTAATTTATAAAGGTACAACACTAAAGAATTATAAGAAGGATATGTCTCAAAAAAAAAAAAAGAAGGATATGTCTCTGACATTTCACTGCTTATATATATGATCTTAAGATCTCAGGTATATATCAAAGGATTATTAGCTGTCTAAATTACTTAAAGCTAATGACAGATTTGAAAAAAAAAAAAAGACCTTCCAATAAATGGAGATGTAATTTATTCACCATTTAATTTTTCTCTCAAAGTCAATGCATTTAACATTTGACAGTTATAATAAGTCTCATCATTAAAAATATTTTCATGGCTTCTTCAGTGACACCATCAGATTTTTACTGAGTTTTAGCAGAATGAGTTAGGCTCCACAGAGTATTAATTAAAGGTGAGTTCTCAGAATTGGATAGACCTGGCTTCAAATTCTAATTCTGTTATTTACTGGCCTGTTAGTCTTCCAGAGCCTCAGTTCCCACAACTAGTAAATGGGAATGATACTAATAATCTATCTCACACAGTAGGTGTATGAATTAAATAACATAAGAATGTGTAATCAAATGCCAGATATACTAATTGCTACCTATTGTTTTTATTAACACAAAACGGTAAAAATGTGACACATCAATGAAATGAGTTCAATTTCATTTATGCAAAAATATTTGTAAATGTATATATCATAAAGAAAGAAATATAATTGTATTGTATTTAAATATTTGTAAATCTGATGGCTCCAAGGAAAACGTGAGTAAAGTTTTTAAAATTACATTGTTTAAGGGGTGCCCGCCCACCCTTACATATATTTTCTTCTCTAAAGTGTTCCCTCATGGAGTGCCTAGGTGGCTCAGAAGGTTAAGTGTCTGCTTTCATCTAAGGTCATGATTCCTAGGTTCTGGGATTGAGTCCCCCATCTTGGGCTCCATGCTCAGTGGGGAACCTGCTTCTCCCTCTCTTCCTGCCTCTCCCCCTGCTTGTGCTCTGTCTCTCTCGTTCAAATGAATAAATTTTTTTTTAAATCTATTAAAAAAAACAACAAAAAAAATTTTTTTTAACATGTCACAAAGCAAGATGTAACAATAATAGCAATCTACAGATAACACTAGAATCAAACACAAAATGCATGATGTTCATCAACCTTAAGAACCAAAAAGATGAGAGGAGAGTGAGAGATCCCTTTAGGATGGTGTGGGGGGTTCAGCAGTGTCCCCCCACAAAATTCACTTCTATTTGGAATCTGAGAATGGAGCCTAACTTAGAGATAGGGCTTTTATAGATGTGTCTTAAGTTAAGGACTGAGGTGACATCATATTGGATAGCTCCAATGAGAGTGTTCTTAGAGACACGGGAAAATGCCACAGGAAGGCAGAGATTGGAGTGATGTGTCTACAGGCCAAGGAACAAACACCAAGGATCACTGACAGCCACTGGACACCTGAAGACACCAGAAAGACTCTACCATAGAGTATCAGAGGTTAGTATGGTCCCACCATAAACTTTTCACTCCCAGAACTGTGAAAGGATAAATCTGAGCCACCAAGTTTATGGTAATTTCTTGTGATATTCCTAGGAAATTCCAGTGAAGCTGGAGAAGGAGTCACTGAAGAAGGATATTGGAGATGATCATTTGTTTGGATTCAACTTTAATGGACAGAGATTAATGCTACTTCAGATGAGAGGCTCATGTGTAAGGGGTCATGGAGGGCAATAAAAACAGTGGGAATAAAGGAGTAATACACATTACTTATTTAGAGAATACTACATGAAGTAACTTGGCAAAAGTAAATGTTCGTGATGGTAAGCAATGATGAAAAGTCCAGAAAGAAAATCAGTGTCTAAATAGTGATCAAATCAAGGTTAAACATTTTGTTATAAGATTTGTAGGACTTAATTGTTCCTCCTACTTCCTTCCTCTTATGTAATTGGTAAGTCTGTATATGGGCATACTTTATGGGTCAAGTAAGTTGGGGTCCCCCTTTGTTTATTTCTGGGAGAAAAAAATTCAAACATCAATTCTATGAATTGGTTTACCAAGCCACAGGCATTACCTAGTTTGCATATACATCTAAATCATTTCTAGGGAAAAAAAAAAAAAGCCAACTTGTTAACATTTGGGAAGATAAACTCTACTCTTATTTATGAGAAAGTGAAAGAAATAGTTGGCTGCAGAATCTGTCATGTAATATGAGGAGGATGGGAGGAGCCCGCTGTCAAGTGTTCTCAGCTGAAGTGTGACAAAAGCAGACAATGGATGGTTCCTGTACATTTTATCCTAACAGCCCTTCTGGAGTTCTCTTGACGATCATTAGTACACATCATTCTAGAGAACCGGTGGAGAAGTTTGTACAAACCGTCCGCACACAAACCCTTGAGTATATGGGACACATGGGTCACATTTCTACAGGTATTTTAGTTATGTAAGTGTTATCACCCCTGAGCCCCACCATGTAAACTTACTGCCATGGAGCTGAGTCAGCAAAGATAGGGATCAGCTCATGAGCCTATGAAGATGTACAGGATTATATTTGCAGCTGCATTTTTCGTCTGCACAGTACGATACTCTCAGATTGAATTCCCATTTCTATCTTTTCCTTCCATTTCTCTGCCATGTTGTCCCACCAGGACTTATATATAATCTGACTGAGCTATTATAATGGCTCTCACACTGGGTTTACATTCCCCACCCACAACTTGATGGTCATGTGCTGTGGCACAAACTACTTAAGGTGTTTAAGTCTTAGTCTCCTCCTATTCAGGTGAGCCTTTCCTCACCTAAAAAAAAAAAAAAGAAAAAACGAGGCTCAGTAGGTTAAAGCCTCTGCCTTCGGCTCAGGTCGTGATCCCAGGGTCCTGGGATCAAGCTCCGCATCAGGCTCTCTGCTCAGCAGGGAGCCTGCTTCCCTACCTCTCTCTGCCTGCCTCTCTGCCTACTTGTGATCTCTGTCTGTCAAATAAATAAAAATCTTTAATTAAAAAAAAATGAGGGGGAATCAATAGCCTAGCTTATGTGGATGCTCTGGGGATTAAATGAGACAAAGCCCCTAGCTTTGCAGATGTTTAGTAAATGTTTTCTCTTCTGTCAAAATATCTAAGCCTCCTTCCAATTTCTTCCTAATACACTCCTTTAGTATATCACTGCTGGTTTAATCTTTGTGATAATCAGATTTGTTTCCATCGTTATTCAAAATGTTTAACATGTCCTAATTTCCCAGACTTTTCAGGTAAGAACTCAAACATTCACAGTGAAGTCCAGTATGTTTTAATGCATGAACCAAACCGAATGACTGGATTATTTTGCTACTCTGTGTCTCTCTCATGCACTTTCCCCTCACAGGGCCTTCCACACTGTGTGGGAGTGTGTCTCTAAAACCTGTCTCTAAAACCTCTAAAAGGCACTGTGTCTCTAAACCTGTGTCACTTTCCTATAAATCTCTCAGTTTCAGCAAGTCCACGGGACTGTACTGCGTCTCTCCAACTTTAGCTTCCAAGGCAGATATGAAAAGTGGGTGACATAGTGCCTTCTGTTCTACTTCATTTAACTTCTACATTATCTCTCCATCGATTTTTTGTAAAGACATGCACTGTGTTCACCTCTGATTCCCCAACGGTAGCAGTTCTAGAACTTTACACACAATAAAATCACTTTTACTATCTGTTGATTGGATTCATGGGTGGAGATCCTGATTATTCTACCAAGTTAGCCTGAAAGGACATCTGTACTTGGCTTGAACATCCTTTTGAGTATTGATAATACTCACAACTATCAAAACAAAAGAGCTGTAAATTTAAAAAAAAAAGGAAGAATTGGCTAATACCTTAAAAATAGATGTGGCTGAACTTTGTCCATATGAATGACAGGTTCCATGAAAACATTTGAAGCCCATAAAACATTAAAGGGTTTGGCAATATGAAAGCCGAATTTCTTGGATCCTTCTTGGGAGATAGAATATTTTATATCGGTAGTTTTCCCCCTCTACATAATTTTAAAGGCTTTCATTTTTATTCCTAGTTACCTTCAAAAATCACATGATAACTATCAATTTCACATATTTCTAGTCACATCTAAAACTTATCTTCAGCCAAGAATGATATGAAGTTCATTCAGTCATGCAGTCTAACTTCGTTTTAACAGGTTCCTGGTAGTTAAATGTCAACTTAAAAATAATTATTTTTTCTCTTAATGTGTATTCTTAGAGGAGAGATTAGTTTTGGTAAAATATTTATATGATGCTCATTAGGTAATTTAATTATAGTAATAGGTCTCAACAACAGCAGGAACATCATTAATAGGATAAGCAATTTATGGCTTTGAGCTTCTGAGTTAATAAAATCTACACACTCACGTGCATACATATACAACTCCATCCACATCACACATGCTATTTCAAAAGAAACAGGTTAGTATTAGGCATGCATATTTAAATATTAAGCAAGTTGCTTCTATCCAGTTAAGAAAAATGAAAAGCAAAGCTTTCACTCCAATAGCTTCCTCTAAAGGTACCTGAATCACTAAGAGCTTCCCCATCAATAAAGTTGTCACCAAACTGTTTAAGGGCTGTTAAAAAAGATGATCCCACAAAAGAAAATGTGATGTGCATATATGAATGCTAAAATTAAAATACTGGCAAGTATTAGGATGGAACATAAAATTGTTATAATACTTGAAATGCTAACTTTGACGATTATTAATTTACTTTTAATAACCCAGTGACCCAACATTCGCTCCTTCATGTCCTAAGCTCTCACAAAAGCCAAGATAACTCACTACCTGTTACCGAACATTGAACGAACTAGTTCCAGATAATGACATCTCCTTGTAAAGTTTCACCTTCTGATTACATCGTGAAGAACCTAAAAATCTACTTTTACTATTTCTCAATAAAAGCAATTAATATTGAGAATAGTACTATTCTTTTCAGCCTGACTCGTTTTTTTAGTTCTTTTATCTCTGCAGTGAAGGATTCTCTAGTGTCCTCTATGCTTTTCTCAAACCCAGTTAGTCTCCTTATGGTTGTTATTTTAAATTCTGGTTCAGGGTATTACTTAAATCTGTTTTGCTTAGATCTCTGGCTGTGCTCTCTTCTTGTTCTTTCTTTTGAGATGAGTCCCTCCATCTTGGCATTTTATCTAGATCTCTGTCTTCTGCATTGCAGAAAGCCTGTTATGTTCCCTGCTCCTTAAAGCAATGCTGTATTAAGAAGAGGTCATCCACTGTCCGGGGCCTAGTGCTTCAGAGTCTTTGGGGTGTGCTGCATGCACTCTGCTGCTGGGTTTTAGCTGCTCTTTCCCTCCGATTAGTCCTTGGCAGAGTTTCTCTTTGTCTACAGTGGGAAGCGTGTGGACCTTCTCCAGTGTGTGGCAAGTTTTAACTAGTACTATTCTTTATGGCAATAGTCTTTCAAACATATACATATGACCAAAAGCTGTACTATGGAAATTTGGCTACATACCTCATTTGCTGCATTCATGAATTTTTGGCATGAATTTTTTTTTTGTTCGAGAAAAGTCAACTTCTTTAACTGAAGCAGAAGTCGGGAGCTGGAAACTCTTGTGGAGGGACAGACTTGCAGCACAACGCCCCATCCCCACCCCAGGCAGCCCCCTGTACTCCCGTTAGAGCAACAGACTTCTCAACGTCTGAAATCCACTACCTTAGAAAATTTTTGTCAACTCTAAAGCTATACAGAGCATGTTTTATGATTTAAACAAATTCTTATGTTGAATTAGTATGACTTACATGTTATTTTTAATCTTATCTAAGCCTCCTCTCCTCTGGAATTAAAATTTATTCTGATTATTTGAACCAACCAGAAACAGATTTCTCAATATGTCATTGAGAGTATACTTCAAAGTCTTTCACTTTAAGGCATTTTAATAAAAAAAAAAAAAAAAGCATGTTAACACAATCAAAACATGTAGTAATAATAATTGTATTATCAGGTAGATTTTTCTAACATATGGCCAATTTACAGGAGCTTTCCCCTTTTCCAGTCATTACTTTGTAAGACATTAAAGATAATACCCATTGAAAATAGACAAATCACTATCCTCTTTCCCCAAATGACAAAAGTAGATGTTTTGAACAGAGGTGAAAAAGTGACTTGAAATGTTAAGAGGCTGTCACCCACACTCACGGTACCAGCTTAGTCCCAGAGAAAAAGGATATCTTGCTTGCCTTTGTGTAAGACAATGAAGACCAAATAAAAGACTTACCTTCTTCATCAGAAACATCAAGAACCTCAGTCATTGTCTCAGGAACATTTAGCTTGTGTTTTTCAGTGATGGTCTGGGAAGAAAAAAAAATTATTGATATGCAAGTTAAAATCAAACAAAAGAGAACGCAATCACAGAGGAGGTCACATGGATAGCATCAGCAAACCGTAAGTCCTTGAGCATTTCATCTCCCCACATGTATGTTTTGGGAGCTTATTCTCTTTCATGAAAATTCATTTGTTCTTTTGGAAGATAAATGATCATTGACTCCAGTGAAGTCATACAACAAGGCCAAACTGAGGGTTGCTGGGGGATGGGGGGAGTTAGGATAGGGTGGCTGGGTTATGGACATTGGGGAGGGTATGTGCTATGGTGAGTGCTGTGAAATGTGTAAGCCTAACAATTCACAGAGCTGTACCCCTGGGGCAAATAATACATTATATGGTAATAAAAATAATTGATAAAAGAGTTCATTATTTTGAGTTCCTATTTGAAAAAAAAATTCTTTAATGATGGCATTAATTAATCATATTGAGAAAGCAGGTTAATGTTTTCAGGGCTTCCCTAAAATGAACTGAGTAATGTCTCCAGAAAAGTTTTAAAAAGAAGCAATGAGCCTAGTAATTTATAAAAACAATGCCATTGGAAAAGAAGTTGTAAACAATGTGCAAGACAAACTATTTGGGCAGAAAATGTGATGCATCTCTTCTGGGATCAGAGGACCAAGAGTAGAGAGTCAATCATCCTTCTGGTATTACACTGGTCTATAATTCTGGTTTGTTGCTTACTCCCCTTCCACAAAGGCACTCCAGAGTTGTCAAGTCCACTGCCTTCCATTCCTGATACACAATGTAAGGTTAAGAGACCAGATTCTGGAGACTGGCTGCCTGGGTTCGAATGCTAACTTTGTAATTTCTTAACAAGTTCCCTCATTTCTCTGGGCCTCAATTTTCTCATTTATAAAACAGGGATAATACTGCTACTTCATAAAATTGTTTTGAAGACTAAATGAAATAATATACATAAGAGCTCTAAAGACAGTGCTTGGAATATGTTAGCCCTCAATAAATGTCAGCTAGTATAACATCATTATTATCATTATAATTCAGTATTAAATTCCTCTTGTAACTGAAGATCCTCGGAACTTTTTAGTCATTCAGGCCCTCAGGAAACATTTTGAGTGCCTACCACATGCCAGGCACTGTTTTAATCACCAGGGATACCACAATGATTTAAAAAAAAAAAAAAAATCACACTACTTTAAATACCACCTACAGACAGTGAAGTCTCAAACTCCTATCTCTAGTGTCTGCATTGAAAATGTAGTAAGTGCACTGACTGGCATCATTATGGGAACTCTAAAAAACCTAATCTCTCAAAATAAGTCAACTCTTCAACTAAAGTCACTAAAATACAACAATAAATAGGTTATCTTAGGTTTTTAAGCTTTGCTACATGGATATTACAGACTTTTTTGAATGACACCAAATTCTTTTCTTTCAGAAAGTAGTAGAGAATTTCAAATAAATTTATGAGGAAATTCAACTAATCTGAAAATGTATTCACATCTACCTGTATAATATCTACGTGTCAGGAGGGACTGAAGAAATCATAATGCGATACTGCATTCTGTGAACCCTTTCAGTGGTTCCGCATTTCCTCAGAAAACAAGTAAATGGTCCAGGAGAGCTGGGTGATGTAGTAAGGAGAGGCAGGGAGACCTCCTCTCTCTCCTCATGCTACAGCCATGTTCACAGGTCACAGTCTCTCACACCTCAAATTTTTTGCATATATTTCTTCCTTTACCAGAAATATTCTTCACCCCTTTTCTTGGCTCATATTAGATGTAATTTCCTTGGAGAAACATTCCCCAATCCTCCCTGATGAGTCTGTTTCACTGTGATTGCCTGCTGCTGTGTACTGTCACGACACGGGAGACACCACACCCCACACAGTGGTCTGCACCTTCTCTGCTCCCACATGAGAGTGTGAGTCACTGAAGAGTTGGTCTGTTTCCAAAGAATCTGAAATCTAGCAGGTGCTTCTCAAATATATATTGAACAAATCAATGATACAAAATTAGGCAAAATATATGTAAAATCCACACAACAACTAAATAGATTTTCTTTGGGGTGATAAACCAGTTCAAGAATGGGAAGAAACCGAGAAAGTAAGGGAAGTCTCATGTTCTCTGGATGAAGGCACAATTGGAGAATAAAGTAATGAATTCAGCTTTCCCACATGTTGATTACGATATTTAAATAATTCCATAATGTCTTATTTATTGAAAACAAACTCAATTTTAGGAAAGACAAAAGCATTCATTCAAAATTCTGGATATTAATAGCTGGTCAATAAATATTTGTTAAACTTAAGAAGACTATTGTATCGCTTATTTTATTTTTTTAATTAATTAATTTATTTGAGGGAAAGAGAGTGCATGAGCTGGGGGGCGGGTGGGGGCAGAGGGAGAGAGAATCTAAAGCAGACTCCACACAGAGCGCAGAGTGGGATGCCAGGCTCAATCTCACATCCCTGAGACCATGGTCTGAGGTGAAACCAAGGCCGGTGCTTAACCGACTGCACCACCTGGGCGCCCCCCCATTTAATTATTTTAATAGTAATTAGCTTACAAATTTAACAAGGATAAATTAAAACCTATGTTCCGTATCCATGGTTTTTAACTCTAGCTACATATTAAAATCATTAGAGAAGATTTTAAAATACCATCACTTAGATACCACAGCAGGACAATTAAGTCAGAGTCCTGCAGGCTCAGCTGTGAAACAGTTGCTCAGATGGCTCTATCGTGCAGCTCAAATCGCAACCCATTTGGAAAAGTGTATAAACTGCAGAAAGTGATTTGCATTTAAAATATGGGAAAGACAGGGATGTCCTATTAAGCTATGATAATCCCTTAAGCATTTTCTGAAACTCTTTTTATAAGATCCTCAGTGTAAATAAAATGATTCAAAAATGTGAAGGGATAGCTACCATATTAGACTACACCAGGAAGTTTATTTTTGCAGAGATGTTCTAGAGTATCTGCCCTTCACAGGAAACATTCCACAAGAGGATGCTTCTCTATTTGAAAATAAGTGATGGAAATATTTCTAAATGATCAAGTGATAATGCCTGACATACTTCGTTTATATTTTCAGACACTGATAATAGGACTATATTTTCTTCGAATCTCTAAGAGTGGACTGGAATTTCTAAGAGTGGAAATACCATTGGTTTAGTTTGGTCATTGAATACTATCAAAGTTATTACCAGCAAATATTCGTGGCAACAGAAAAAGTAACACACAGTGATCACACTGGTCACAGATATTTTTCTGTACAGATAGTAAAAATGCCCTCTCTATGCAATGTAGTAAGTATAGCATGCATCTGTTCATGATGTAGTGCTTGACCTTTTAGAAGGCCATCAATAAATATTTGTTGAGTAGATGATAAATAAGTCTTCCTACTCATGAGTAATATTATAAGAAATAAATACATCTTTTCTTTAAAACGCAGTGAACTTTGAAAACTTGATTATCAAAATATAAATATGGTTTTACACAAATGCATCTAAATAGTACATGGAAAACAAAGATATAAATAAATGATCATGGGCAACTGTCTGCTACAGAACCTAAGAGTCTATAGTCAAGATTAGAAACCAATTTAAAGTTAAAATGGGTAGTGTACTATGCACAAATTTAATAGTATGTAATTAAATCAGATAATATGGCAATATAAATAGGATAGGATAGATGGAAGCCTTAATAAAGAGTTTTAATATTTATCACGATGTGGGAAAGATGTAAAAAATAAAACGAGTCCTTTACATGCTGTTTTGTAAATAGATATTTGGTTTGTTTTACACAACAGTATGCTTAACTGGCCTCCCCTTAGCCCACACCCCTCGTCAACCATTTCCTTTGTATCACGTACTCACCAAGTCACCACATCGTGGTGAGGGATCGTGTCTAATATGCCACCTACTAAGGCCCACACACAATGGCTCCCATCAGTAGGGTGACAGGCTAAATTTGGTTTTGTTCACAAACCTATTTATACCAACGGTACATGTTAATAGAATGTCTGTAATAACTGAAATAGTATGTAAACATTTTTCTACAAAAACCAATGTAAGTGGTTTGGAAACCTCAACAAAGGTCAGTCACCAAAAATAATTTGTACTCAATTAAGGTGTGGTTAAGACAAAGCAGACGAGAAAAAAAAAAATAGTATGTCAAAAGTTTAAAAAGTTCTGCCTGCAGTATAATGTTACTTTAAGATAATATACAGGATGAATGTGGGGCACCTGGGTGGCTCAGGTGGTTGTGTCTGACTCCTGATTTCGGCTCAGGTCCTTATCTCAGGGTCATAAGATAGAGCCTGGTGACAGGCTCTGCGCTCAATGCAGAATCTACTAGAGATTCTCTCCCTTCCCACCTTGGTGCACACTCTCTAAAAAATAATACATAAATCTTAAAAAAATACACACACACGATGAATACTCTCAAGACATATGTATTATAGGATATAGTATGCAAGACTGATGCTCTTTGTGCGAGAATGATCTTTTAGCCTCCTTCTAGTCAGTGGACCTATACTCAAAGAAAAGATCTTAACTCCATCTCAAAAGGTGTCCGATGACTTCATGTGTATTTACTGCATTGCTATTTCTAGGATTCCCATTTTAACTGATTTACAGCATCAGATAAGATTTAGGACTTTGAATATGTACATTTTCTTTACTGTCACAAATTTCTCCACTGTTTAAATGGTAATATAACTATAATGTCATTTTTATTTTAGTAGTTTATTCAGCAATTTATGATGTTATTTTTATTTCAGTAATTCTGGGTCTACATATCAGTGATTATATGCAACTTAAAGCATGATCATTTAAAAATTATGCAAATAATACAAATACTCAATGACAGCTGATCAATAAGCAGAGGGAGGAGCCCCATCTCGGTCTTCCAAACTGCCTTAGGCGATTGAGTTGGTGGCTTCTGCTGCTGGAAATGTGTCCTCTGTGCTCTGATGCCCATTCCAGCACACGTGCAATGAATGTGATCCTGGGAGAATGCTAAACCACCTCACAGCCCCTGCTGGGTTCCCCAAAGTAAAGTTAGAAAAGCAAAGGTTAAGGAAACAAACCACTACTCCAAAATGTCTCAAAAATTTCTGAAGCAGTGGCTTCTCCTTTACAGACTGCTGCCTTCCTCCTCTCTCTACACAATGACTTTATTCATACTGTGGGGTAAAGAACCTCGGAAGGAGGATTAACACTGGAAACTTTCTTTGATGGAAGAGAACTCATAGGGCTGCTCAAAGGCACACGGTGTAAATCTAGTGATGTGAGATTTGTATGTTAGTTGTGTAACTGTAATTTAACTATTATACTTAAATGGTAATAATATCAAACTAAATTCAATTTTATTAATTTTACATAATTATTAAATTGTCTAGTGTACTATTATTGGCCCATCACCAGTGAGCAATTCCAAATTCACTTTAGAAAGTAATATTGAATATGTTGCCTCCATGGAAATAAACAAAAAGCACTATTTAAATAGGTTGTTTTTAATAGAAAACTGGGTGAAAACACCTCTTTCACAAAATACATGTTAAGCTGCATTTAGTAAAGTCAAGATCAGTGATGTCAGAGTGGTTAAGAACACGGACTTTAGAATCTCACAACCTAAATTTGAATCCTAGATCTACCCTCAATGCCTGCCATATCTGTAATCACTAAATACTCATTTTTAATACCACTAATATCGTCATGGGAAAAAAAAAAAAAAGTATGAATGAAAATCTCTTCCCAAAGAGAGGAAGTGCAAAGTAAGAACGCTCACATAAGAGACAGGAGTAAGTCCATATTTTCAATCCTTCACCCGAAACTCAATTTCACAGAACAATAAAACTCACAATTCTAAGAGAAGAATCAATTCTAAGAGAGGCAGAAAGTAAAAATAGGGCAGCATCAAAACATGTTACCAATACAATTACCCATTTAGACAAAGTGGGTACTTGTTTAGTTAATAGAGGCAATGACTTCTTACCCCAACTAAAAGCAAACATGCCATTATGTTTTATATTTGTTCGTTGGCTTTTTACCTAGAAACTTGACTTCTAAATATAGAGGTTTTTAATTGGGGAAATGCTCAGCTGGGCAGGGTAGAGAATAATAGTTACCAGAACAGAAGAAAAGCTCACAGGGAGTTCTAAAAGTAGTTTTTGTATTCCACTAAAGCTAGATGTGGCAGAGATATGACTCTATGTCTAATTTTTGAAAGGTATCTGAACTTGCTTAGTCATAGTATTTAGCAAGCTAATTGTTTCTCTTTTCAAATATAGATCTATATAGTTAAAGTAATTCCCTCCAAGTAATATTTATGAGCCTGGGATCTATTTGAAACTGAACATGTAAGTTCCATAGTTTTGATGTTAAAGAAGAATTTTATTTTCTTACAAAAAGGAAGTCCCATTCTCCACTCCCACGAAACTGCAAGCTGCTGGTGTGGGGGGGTAATGTTTTCACCAGTGATGACTCTTCACCACTCAGCATAGAGCTCATAGAGCTCCAATATTTATTGGATATAAATATCCAATAAATATTGGAGGAATGATTAGTAAATGAAATGAATGGAAGAAAAGCTGGTCAAGTAGCAAAAAAGATGCAAGCTTGCCATCTAGTGGTCACTTGATAAAAATGTATGTAAATGATAACCAGAAAAGTTAATAAAGTTTACAGAAAACATGACTTCTAAGAACAGATGTACTTGGCCACTCTTGCCACTACAGGCTTCACTTATCTGTGACTTGCACATCGTTTCAAAGATGCCAAATAAAGGCACATATGTATAGGTCTCTAACAGGAAGATTTTCCTGGTATTAAAAAATCATATAGTAAGAAAAGGCCATTATGATTCAGCCATATATAGCAACTCAAAAGTATAGTGATGGGTAGTGACAAGACTTGTTTTTCTCTCATATAATTTACTGAAGCCATGCCTTAAATCTTTAAAAAAATATTGTGGTATATTAGCCAAACGTTTTAAGATTCCGCTTGAGAAAACAAGCAGTACTATTCTCTCCCATCTAAATTCAGGCTATGTCTCGCAGTTCATTAATAAATCATACTCCCACTCTATTAAAAATTTCACATCAAACCAACTGTATTCCATCTGCTTCAATGTCAACAGGAACTTGGTGTCAGTCTGAAGAATAAAATGTCTTTCTTTTTCCACGTATCTATCCAAAGAAACAAGTGTTCTAAAACTCTACACATATCCTTTCTTACTTAAGGCATTTACTAGAACCCATTCAGACTTTTTATGTTTTTTTGTGATCTTATTGTCTCTGAAGAACACATCTAATGCTCCACTGTCACCCTATTTTTCTATTTTAAAAAGAGAAATTAAAGAGCTGTTGTTTCTTAGAGTTCATGCTTAAGAAAAAAAAAAAAAGTTAATAAAAAGTGCAGAAGAGAACAGCACTTCCTCTTTCAGCTGTGAGTCCCCCTATGGGGCAGCCTTCTTTCAGTTTTGCTCCAACTGAATGGTAAAAGAGCCTTAGGACTCATTAGTCCCAGAGACTTCATTCTCCCTCAAGGCCATCAATGATCCCTGCTCCTCCTAAATAATCAGCAGTCATATCCCAACTAGCAAAAATAAAAAAATTTAAATATATGCTCTGTCGTGATACAGATACAGCTGACCTACTAAGTACAACCAACTCCCTTTTTCAATTAAAAAATATGATAATCAGAAATAAGAAGGAAGTAAGGAGGAACCGTTCTCATGGGAATGCATTAGGCCCAATCGTTAGCATGGCATCAGGAGGATATGGGTCTTTCCAGAGGCTGGCCTGGCTAAGATTTGCTCTGGAGTGTCCTACCGCTTAGCCAGAAGTAGGTGTCACACCCAACTACAGTGAAAGGTCAAGGCAGCCCCCCTCCCCGGCCAAAATTCCAAAATTCCAAAAAGAAACTAAATATTATACAATTATGTTTATATTTTACATGGATTTATGTTAAGGAAAGGAAGCCACCACCACCCCCCCCACTAGCTGTGTCAATGCACTTACATCTGCATTCCTCTATGGTGTACCAAACATTCACCCAAAGTTCCAAACCAAAAGCTCCACATAGTTTGTAAGCGCGAAAGTATGTGGCTTGAAAACCAAGACAGTGGAACCCAAGCCCACGAGCTCCTACTCACCGTGGTGGTGGTGGTGACCTCCTCTGTTACAACCTTCAGGGTGTCGACCACGGAGATGTAGCCCAGACGCTTAGCAATCGCCAAGGCGGTGTTGCCATTCTGAAGAGAGTGCAATGAAAGAGAGAGAGGGAGAACTGAGAGGGAGGACCGCGCTGTGAGCCAATGAGCTCACCGGCTGCTCCGCCTGAGCCAGCATTTCCTTCCAAAACCAGGCACAGCTTAGGAAAATCACTAGTTTTTACCATTACATCTGAATCTCTTTGTAACTTCTTTAGACTATGGCCCGGGTCACCATGGTAACACAACAAGCTGCATCTGCCTGCTCTTCTAATAAGAAGCACTTGACGCTTTAACCCTGAGGTTGTCAAACATCTCTACAAGATACTGCACGGTGTTTAGGAAAGGACCCCGTGAACTGAGGACGCTGCCTCCGAAAATGATTAGCCAGTACCGAGTACCGTTACTCCTCGTCAGAGGTCAGGCCATCTGCTGCAGGTAGGACGTCACCCCAGGGAACTCGGTCACACGTTTAGCTACAGCTGTGCAGAAGCTCGCCGTGCAGCAAAATAACACCAGCGAGCAACTCCGGCTCCAGCGCGGGCCACTGGGGACTCCGGTTTGTTTAATTGCACCGCTTAGTTTACATTTCAATGGCTCCACATCCCGAAGAGCTTTGTCTGAGCCAGGAGCCTCGCAGGCCGGGCTCCCTTAAGAAGGCCGGGCGGGAGCAGGGGCGGGGGCGGGGGCGGGGGGGCGGGGGGGCGGCTGCCCTCGCATTCACATCTGAGCACCAGCTGCGAGCAGAGCACGTTCCAACAGCCTCCGCGCAGGGCCCCACTCTCCCGAGAGAGACGGCCGAGTCAGGCCGACTGCGCTCCCTCCCCAGGAAGCGCTGCCGGAGAAGTCACGCTGATTTCTGGAAAGCCCTTCCAGAATTCCCGGGCTTTCCAGAGTGCGGGGGCCTTATCGAAGGCGCACGTCTGAACCCAGCTCAGACTAGGGGCCGCCGGGGCGGGCGAGGAGGAGGCAGCGGCGGCGGCGTGGTGCTGGGCGGCGGCTCCTGGCTTACCGCGGTGGTGGCGTTGGGCTTGGCCCCGTGCTGCAGCAGGACGTTGATGATGTGCGTGTGGCCCTGCTGGGCGGCCTGGTGCAGAGGCGTGTAGCCGTTCTGTAGGTGACGGTGGCCATGGACCCAGCATAGGTTTGCAGCAGGAGAAGGAAAGTTCGGTTAGACTTCTTGTTGAATTTCTTAGTCTTATAACAAAACCGTCAAGAATGCTGTTTATTTGGAGCTCCGTATCCCCACCAACCCATGTGTCAGCAACAAACACTCCTTCTCACCTTATGGTCTGCTAAACAAAGCGAAAAGACTAGCTTATGAAATAGAAGGACTAACAAACTGGAAATCAGAGCTATTATTATATTTTAACTAATTGGCATTAAAATGGGTATACTGAGAGATTTATAATGACAAAAGAACGTTATCACAATGATTTCTTCCTTAGGGATAAAGAAAGTAACGTTTTTAACTGAAATCTGAGGACTCTAGTACAAATACAATATAAATACAAATTCAAAAAAAATGCTTGTTTGTCATGACTTTTTTTTTTAATTTTATTTTATTTATTTATTTGACAGATCACAAGTAGGCAGAGAGGCAGGCAGGGGTAAGGGAGGAAGCAGGCTCCCTGCCCAGCAGAGAGCCTGATGCGGGCCATCCCAGGACCCTGAGATCATGACCTGAGCCAAAGGCAGGGGCTCAACCCACTGAGCCAGGTACCCCTGTCATGACTTTTCTAATAATGAATCTTTGTGCCAGCTTTAGGGATTCTAAACTGATGGGGGTAAATCTAAATCTTATCTTCCTTTCAGAGAGCAACTGTGGTCAAAGAAGACCATGCTTAGAGAATGGAAGATTTCATTGGATGATGAGTGGCCCACCCTCAATTAAAAATGACTTTAAAAATAAAGTTCTTTGTAACATTCTGGTCTAAACTGGAAGTTTAGATGAAAGCTCTGTAATCCATGATTTATGAGGAACTGCTGCTGAGGTTAGTGTGAAGACAGTCTTGCTCAGAATTCTAATGGGTGGCAGGTATGGAACCGGTTGGCTGCATATTCACATTCATTAAAAAAAGGCACTGGAATCCTTGGAGGCAAACAAAACACTAATATCACTCACTGAACATTTATTTTGTGCCAGATGCCAGGCCTTGTAGTTGTCTTTGAATCTTTATTGTCATCCTAAAAATGAGGGTGCTTGGTACATAGGTGGTGTCTCATACACCACCATGAGTGACTGAGTGAATGAACACATGATTGAATAGATGTTTTCTTCCAATTTCAGAGACGATGAAATGGAAAATAACAGTTAAGTAATTTCTTTGCAATTATTCTAGGTTCAGAACCTGCGTAGATCATGATAGCCAATGGGTATCAGACTACTTTTTTTATTATCTACCTGCCTCACCCTGATAAAATTCTATCCATTATCTGGGTTCGAAGTTCTGAGTAGCCCATTCATACCATAAACTTGTAGGAGTATATGTCCCTTTTACCTAGTGTCACTCCTGCCTCATGACCAACACATACTTTTGCTACTCCTGCCTACATAAAGTTTCCATCAATATACACAAGGTGCCCCGTGACTCCTTCTATGCTTTTGCTGTGGCCTTTCCATCCACGGGGATGTCCCTGTATTTGTGAGAGTCTATCAGTCTGCATGTCCTTCAGTCTGGAACATCATCAGCTCTGCCATGTCTGCTATCTCTCCCTCAAATGGCATCACCCCAGGAAACCTGGAAATAGAAGCCAATTACAGGGACCCTGAGAAACTTATCGCTATTACAGGGTCTCTGCTCTCAAATGAGATAATCCACGTACATTTGAGAAGCATAAAGTAAGTGGCATTTTTTTTTCCCCCCTGAAAATTCTTCTCTAACCGAATTTGTTCACCTCTTCAGTAGCAACCAAGTGAATTCATTCACTAAGCATTTACTAACCGCATGCTTTGTGCTAAGTAGGAGACACTGCTTATGTAAATTAATAATGCCAGAGTAGCATTCTTGCCCCTAAGAGCTCACAATTTAGAGTCCTCAACACACAGTGTCCAGAAAGGTGTCTGTCTCCCAGGCCTGATTTAATTTAACCTTTACCCGAAACCTCTGGTGCACAAGTATATTTGCTAGGGAAGTCTGGAGCAACTCAAAAACTTTTATGCGAACATTTGATTACATCTTATCTATGGTCTTGGGCCCATTCTGCTAGGAGATCTAGACCCAGTTCTACCAAACCCCTCTAACTCTCCATTTCCTCATTAACAAATGGGAATAGCCAAGATTTCAAATCTGGTGAAGGATTATATATGTTGCCCATAAACTTTTCTTTTTTTTTAAGATATTTTATTTTTTTATTTTTTATTTATTTGACAGAGATCACAAGTAGGCAGAGAGACAGACAGAAAGAGAGGGAGAAGCAGACTCCCTGTTGAGTAGAGAGCCCGATGCAGGGCTCGATCCCAGGACCCTGGAATCATGACCTGAGCTGAAGGCAGAGGCTTTAACCCACAGAGCCACCCAGGTGCCCCCATAAACTTTTCTTTAACTGATCTAAAGTTCCATGAAAATGCTGACAAACATTTCACTTTTTTTCTTTCTCATTGAAGAGCTCTAAGATCTTTGCAGCATATTTTATAAAGAAAATTTTCTTGTATGTGCTGATGTTCTATGCACTCTTTGCAAATTAATCATATAATCAACCAAATCTAGCTTTCCTCAAGCGGATGTTTGTAATATTTCATTTTCATTTTAAACAACTAATAGTCTCATAAAACAAGTTCACTTTTCTAGATTGTTATACCAGATCATGAATGTTTGAGGACTAAAGGCAATACATATGTTTACATTTTTATAGCAACAAAACAAATTTTTAAAATCATAGTTACATGAGATGTGAGGCAGAAAACACAAATCATTTTCCAAAAATGCCATTCTGTGTGAAAAAAATCCTGAAATGTTTATTAAAAGAACATCTTTCCATTTATGTAGCTATCCACTCCTCTGAAGACATATTAAAAGTTATATTTACTTCTAAAAGCAAGTAAAATCTACAGAGTTCACTAAAATAATAATAATAATAAATAATAAATAAATAAAATAAAACCTGAAAAATTAAAATGAGATTTTTCTCTCAACCAAATGTCTATTCGAATGCATACCAAACCCCAGGTAGATAAATGATGTTCTCTAGACAATATGTCTGGCTTGTAAATATTACCTCAACAATCACACAGTTAACAAAAAAATATGGTAACTTCTCAAGTTCCTCCAAAGTCTCATTGCATAGTTGCATTTATTCCTTTCAGGAGAAGATCTGGATCCCAACAGGAATGTCTTTCCTGTGTGCTTATGTGTGATCTGACTCAGGAAAAAATGGTGTTGGGTGCTGATGCCTGAGAATTCTTATTAGAGCTTTTAAATAAGCTCAAAGTACAATGTCATGAGAATTCAAGAATTGCTCAGAAACTAGGCAGCAGCTGCTCTTGCTAGAGTCAGATGAAATTTTGAATCTTGAAGGTCAATAGTATTGTTTATAATTTAAAAAATAACTATCTTCAATTCACCTGTAAATATGGCGATGTACAGATACAATTTTGTTTCTGCTTCTAAGAGACTATAAAAAGACTGACTTCCAAAACTTCTTACTTTTCTAATCATTAGCATTTTGAATGACGACTTTGAAAACTCACACTAATTTAGTTGAGCCCACTCACAGAGCTGCATTAAGAATTTCTGGGGACGCCTGGGTGGCTCAGTGGGTTAAACCTCTGCCTTCGGCTCAGGTCATGATCTCAGGGTCCTGGAATCGAGCCCCGCATCAGGCTCTCTGCTCAGTGGGAAGCCTGCTTCCCCCTCTCTCTCTGCCTGCCTGTCTGCCTACTTGTGATCTCTCTGTGTCAAATAAATAAATAAAATATAAAAAAAAAAGAATTTCTGATACATAAACTTAAAAAAATAAGCAAACATGTGATTACATATTTCTCTGGACCAAGGAAACTGGAGCTGCAATTTATTTTATACATACGAGCCGCAGTTGTATTATTCTTTTCTCTTTCCCTTGAAACAACTTGATTGCACTGAAGTCTGGTGTTATGTTCCAACCTTGCTTTACAAGATAGGGCCCTTCAGCTGCCACTGGGTAAAAACATTTGCGGTCAAGTCAGCTCTGTGTTATCCTTGACAACTTCCAGCCCAGACCTTACACATCATTGCCTCACTAAGCATTTCCATGTGATATCCCAAATGTAACAGAGTTGGTGGGAATGATGGGGATGTAAGCTAGGGCAGCCACTGTGGAAAACAGTATGGAGGTGCCTCAAAAAATGAAAAATAGAATTACCATATGGTCTAGCAATCCCTCTTCTGGGTAAGAAAACAAAAACACTTACTTAAAAAGCTGTATGCACTCCCATATTCCTTGCAGCATCATTTATTATAGCCAAGATATGCTGAAACCTAAGTACCCATCAGTGGATGAATGAATAAAGAAATAAATAAAATTGCACGTGCACACACACACAATGTAATATGATTCAGCCATAAAAAGAAATGAAATTTTGCCATTTGGGACAACATGCATGGACCTGGAGGGCATCATGCTAAGTGAGATAAGTTAGAGAAAGACACAATACTGCATGATCTTACTTATGTGTGGAATCTAAACAAAACAAAACAAAATCTGAACTCATAGATACAGAGAACAGATTGGTGGTTGCTAGAGGCAGGGGGTGGGGACTTGGGAAAAATAAGTGAAAGGTATCACATGTTAAAAAGCCTTTTTTAAGTGAAAGAAAATGGATTTAAATGTTAAATGATATTGGGTGTCCTGTTCTCAGTTCTATATTTAGAGGGAGGGATCCTTCCCTCAGGGGTCAAGAGGAGGTGACCTCACTTTTTTAAAAGCCACATACCACATCTTTTATAATGCATCACCGATAAAAACACAAAGAGATTTAAAAGTATGTACTAATAATAAAAATATGTTTTACATGAGCATTTAAAAAAAGGAAACACTTGGGACGCCTGGGTGTCTCAATGGGTTAAGCCTCTGCCTTTGGCTCAGGTCATGATCTCAGGGTCCTGGGTTCAAGCCCTGCATCAGGCTCTCTGCTCAGTGGAGAACCTGCTTCCTCCTTTCTCTGCCTGCCTCCCTGCCTACTTGTGATCTCTCTCTCTCTGTCAAATAAATAAATAAAATCTTAAAAAAAAAAAAAAGGAAGCACTATTGTTATTCATAGGATGTAGTAATCAAAATGTTCAAGTAGTGTGAGAAAGCATTATAAAGGTTGTAGTTTAAGGATAGATAAGATTTAAATAAGAGAGCATCTTAGGAGAGGAAAAGACTGGGTAAAACAGGAAAATATTTAGTTGGGATAAAGTGAAGCACCATAGTTTAGTTGTAGGGAAGTTATGAAATGGTCATCTGGCAACCTACATTACATTGGGTCACATTATAGAGGCTTAAAATCATGGAAAGGGATGACTAGATCAGAGAACTCCTCGGGAGAAGGAAGCAACAGGATTTGATAGCATGGAATAAATGCCAGGTAGGAGAGTGAATGACCACTGATAAATTTTAGGTATAGTGAGTTGACGTTAATGATCTGGAGTGGGATGGAAGTTAGAACAGAGCTTTGGCTGTGAGGCAGGTTGTCTCAGTTGGAATTCGAATTCTTCCAACTAATACGTTGTGACCTTAGATAAGTTATTCAAATTCACTATGTAAAATAGAGATGCTAATAGCACCTATGAGGTTATCTAAGGATTAAATGAATTAATATATAAAAAATCATATATACTGTATATGTGACTTCTAGCATGCACTTAATGAATATTAGTTTAAAAATTTAAAAAATGAGGGATGCCTGGGTGGCTCAGTCAGTTGAGTACCAGACTCATGATCTTGGGGTCCTGGGATTGAGCTCCAGGTTGGGGTCCACACTCATTGGGCAGTCTGCTTGAGATTCTCTCTCTCCCTCTGCCCCTTCCCACACTAACATGCTCTCTTGCTCTCTCTCTCTAATAAATATACAAAATCTTTTTAAAAATTTTTCTAAATAAAAGACACAATCTAGGCTGTCTATCTACATTTCCTCATGCAGAAGGAGGATGTTTCAGGAAGGGGGACCAAGGCCTTAAAATAACATAAAGAATTTTCTAGAACATCAAAGTGTTCTACCCAGCAGGCTTCTTTTTTGCTGTAGTAAACTGTTAACGGGATAAGTGCTACTTCAGCTCCATAACAAAAGTAGTTCTGAAGCTAACCTACATGGCTGACAAAGGTTCGGAGAATGAAAAGTCGCAAACAACTGTACAAAGCTATATTGCTTATTCAAAGTCCCTTTAAAAGAACTAAAAGGGAAAAAATACATTTGAAGCTATGGTGAGCTAGTGAAGTATTCATATGTCTGAACCTCTTTGCTTATAGAAAAATGAAAATGAGTATAAGTATTTTATTTACCTTCGTTTTTGCATTGACATTTGCACCCTGCTTCAGAAGAAAGTTGACCATTTTCACATTTCCATAGTGACAGGCCACAATTAAAGGAGTGTAACCAAGCTATAACAAATACATAAATAGATAAATAAATAAATGCATACATACTCTAGCGGTTAATACTCGAAGGGAGAGGGATTAGGTAGAATCTCAGTAATGGCAGGAAGGGTAAAAAGTCTATTCCATTGTATAAATATTACTGAGCAGTTTATTTACACTTCCTGTGGATACAAATATGGAGAGAAGCAGATCCCTGAGCATAAGGAACTTAACACCAGCAAAGGAAATCAGACACGTGTGTGACTTCATCTGACAAAGAGCTAAGAGAAAGACACGAATAATTGGGTCTGAAAATAGAGAAGAAAAACTGAGTCTGATGGGAGGTTGTGGAGGAGATGCACAAAAATATAGCTTAAAGTGGGCTTGAAAATTTTAATGGCATAGAGAAGGAAAAGCCATTTTCAAGACCAAGGGCTGGAGGCAAGCAAATACAGGAGGAAAAGAGCAAGTCATCCAGATTGCCAGAGCAATAAGGGAGAGAGGCTGACTTAAGCCAGCAAAATTAGAATCTTTTTATAAAGGGTCCTGATATCATGATCTCCACTTGGACTTGATTCCAACAAAAATGGAGAGCCATTATAGATTTGTGAGTAAAAGAGAATCATAATTCAGAACGGACTTTTGAGGAAGGGTGCTTGAACTGGGGGAAATCTGAGTGGGGGCTACTGGGAGTCATCCAAGTCAGAACCCACCACAATATGGAAAGCGATTCACTTTACCTTAGTGTGAGCATCCTGGTCAGCCCCATGCTTAGTAAGAATTTCAGCAACATTCACTTTGTCTTCCTGGGCTGCAAGGTGTAAAGACGTGAGTCCACTCTATAGAGAGAATGGAAGCAAATGGGTACACTTGAAGAAGAAAGTATGTTTCATCATCTATGATATCGTGTCTTAAAAAAAATCCTGGAAAATTCATAGCCTCTCCCTAGAACCTGCAACTTTTGATCTCTAAAACAAACCCTCCAAGTTAATATGCCTTTCTGAGACATATTCTCTAAGTTAGTCAACACTTTCAACGAATTACCTTTTCTTTATTTAGGTGCTTCTATTATGATGTGACACTTTAAAATAACTCAGCTAATAAACTTCCAAACAACATTCACTTCAAATCCATCTGTGCCTCCTGCTGAATCTATTTATTTCCTTAAATAATTAATCAACCAGCTACTACTTCTACTTTTTAACCATAGAGGATTGATGGATTCTATATTTTCATCAATAAAATATCATATCAAGGCAAAAAATGTAGAGAGTTATAGGAAATGAGTTCAGAACAGTTTTCTCCAGTACTCAATAGTATGCTATTTTGGAGGTTCTTCTAACTGCTAAATAAAAAGTAACCCCCACTGGACAGTTTTATGTATAATGTTTGGTATTTATACTTTCAGTAAATATCCTGATTAATTTTATATGCAATTCAAATACAGTTAAGAACTAATACAAGATGGAAGCATGGAGGAAGGAGAGGGAAAGAGTGTTTTCTCCAGTCAGTGCCACAATCTAGCAGCCTCACTACGTGTGCACATAACTTCCAGCACACAAAACTGAAATTGAGAGAGAATCTTTAAAACCTAAATCATTTGTGTTTTTAACAGGTGTTTTCTGAGTACCTTTCATATGCCAGGAAATATTCTACGTATTTGAATATATCAGTGAACAAATGTTTCTGCCCTATATCCTAGCTAACAGTATATTCATACCCTATTTTCTCTTCCTCTGCTACTGCTCAAATACCTAGTATATTCATCCCTCCTGTTGCTCCTGCAGCTGGACACTGAGTTAGCTCACTTATGCTCTGAGCTGGCAACTCTCCCTTTCCCCGCTCTCCCAATTCATGTCTAATTAGATTCTCCCAGATGCCCTGACTGTGGCTTTGCAGATCTGCCTTTCCACAGTCAGCCGGGTTCTTCAAAATCCATGATCTCTAGCCAGGGTGTACTCCTAGAAATGGACAAGTCCTCTGATCTTTAAAAAACATAAGTGATATGTACAGAGGGAAAAACATTCTCCAACTTGAGAGAAGGTTGTGTTTGTTTGTTTGTTTGTTTGAGGGCTTGGGGCTTTTTAATTCTTACAGTTCCAGCTGAGCTCAGCTTTGAGTTTCATAAACCATCAGGATAAGATTGAAGATATGCCCTTCTATATTAAAATGTCCTCACTTCTAAACAAAAACTATCTAGCCCTAAAGTATAAACAATATGAATACTGGGGCAAAACAGAAGATTCTTCCTCATTCTGATTTTCTCCATATGAAAATAGTAAACATTAAAATATTTCTCTTTATGGAGACAACTGGTCTTTTAAAAATGTTATTGAAGTGATTATTAAAGGACATGATCATCAAATATCTCGAAGACATTTTTAATGGCATGTCAAATATATGTGCTGTTTTCTACAATATAAGATTACAGATTAACAGCCAATATGAAAATTCTCTACAATTTATTATGGTAAATTTCCATACCTAAATCAAATTATGAAAACTTTTCTAATCAAGAAAATAGAAGATGTTGAAGGAGTTCTTTTCAAAAGAAGGAATTTATTTCCTAAGATGCACTAGAGGACTCTACAACTGGTTTTTCTTATTACATCGTGATTTACTCTAGTGACAAATACATCACACCTCTTTTTAAGACAGCACCCCAAATCTAATATTGAAATCATTGTTATAAAGATAACATAATTACTTTGTGGTCCACAAGTGAATATATTTCTTCACTGAGGAGTACATAAGTCAAAAATATTCATTAAATATTTGCTGATTGACTGCTAAAACCCTCTCAAAGGAAGTAGTATGTTTAGAAGAATACCATCAGGGAGGACATAGTTGACTGATTCCAGATATGAATATATATTAAAAATAGCACTTCTTAAAATAAATTAAAAACAGCACTATCAGAAGCATCGCATGATCAATTTCATGAAATATCTAGAACTTCATTCTACTCAAAATGTTCCTTGATTTGTTTATGAATATCTGGTGTTTATTTTCAAATGAAGATTTGTTTTTAATGGACAATAAACACTTGTTTATGGATATCCTGTGTTTATTTTCAAATGAAGATTTGTTTTTAATGGACAATAAACACTGTCTGTCCCTTTCATATACTGATGCTAAGTGAAGTATTCTACAGTTGGTCTCATAGTGAGAATATCCCCAGTAGGGGAAATGTCTTCCTGAATGGCGTGATTTCAATGCCCACAAGAAAAATCCATGCCCCAGACTTTAATAACAGCTGAGACACTGAATTTCACCACAAGGCTTCAGGATGTTCATTTCTGTTAAAATGCAAATATCTTTTGGGGAATAACTTTTTAATTAGCTCTCACTACACTTTAAAAAAAGGATCTGTGAGGACTTTTGATAGAGAACAAAGAAGTATATAATGGCAAGGGATTTACTGGAATATTTTTGAATGATAAAGACACAGAATAGGACTCTAGAGGCATTCAAGATAACCTTTTTCATAACTATTTCTAAAGGAAATAATGCTATATAACCTATTGATAACATTATGAAGACCAATTGACAACTGAGTTTCCAAAAGCACTGATTAGCTCAACAGTGAAATGTAGAAAACACAGTACTGTGTATTTGTGGAAAACCCTAAGAAACCTAAGTTTCACTAAACCCATACCTCGTGTTATAAAAAGTATTAAGAGATGTAAATGATGAGCTAACTTAAAAATATAGGCTTCAATTTTAGTTTCTCAGAAGCTGACTCCAGTGGAGTATATGTAAGTATAAGATAGATATACATTAAATAGGTAGGTAGGCAGAGCTACAGATACATATGTAGAGAAAGACAGAGATGTATAGACAGACATATACTCGTAAAAAATCCAAATATTTCCATATTTGAATAATGTCTTTTCCCCTTATATTCCTGACTCTGACTCTAGTATAGTTCAAATGCCTGCCCATAAAGGCTAAAATGACCGATGTTCTTTATTAAAAACACTGATTCTCTGGCCACCGCCACCACAACCACCCAAACTAAGCTACAGTTGGCTCAGAAATCCTTATTTTACTGAGTTTCCTTCATGCCCCCATCCCCCTGCCCCCAAGGTGCCTCTGATGCTCAGCCCGGCTGGAGAATGCTTGGGTAGTGACCAGGGACCAACAGCTTAGAATCAGTTGTTTGGGCCAGAACCCAGATGAACTGTCACCTCTCTCTCTCTGTATCTCTCTCTCACTTTCCCTTTCTCTGTCTAAAATTTGGAATTAAGACCAGCAGGTACCATGGCAAATCTAGACTGACTGCTTAAACTACAGTGATATTAACTCTTGGGAGCTACAGGGTCACCTCTTTTGTCACACACACAGAGAAAAAGAGAAAGTAGATCTGCAGAGAGAGGTAAATGAAACTGACTTGCAAGGAAAAAGTCAAGATTCAAAAATGCCGCCAGATAGGCTGAGTCTGCTTCTTGCTTCTGTGTGATTTTTTTTCCTCATAAGCCTCAACTGTTATTGTCCTTGAATTCCATAAGTAACCTTTGTTTCCTTCTAATACACCCCTTCTTTTTGTTCTAAGTTGTCTTTGATTGGTTTCTGTTTATATTCATCTGAAAGATTCTTGGCTAAAACAAGAGGCAAAAACAGTACCTTGGTTGACATGTGGATATTGGCTCCCTTATCCAAAAGTAACGTGACCATATCCGTGTGCCCCTCCTGTGAGGCCAGGTGGAGTGGGGTTACTCCTTGCTTTGTTACAATGTTAGTCTCTGCTCCATAGTTCAGGAGTGTGGAAGCTATCTGCATTTGATTCTTCTTGGCAGCAATATGTAAAGGAGTATAGCCATTCTAGGAAAAAAAAACAACCCAAAACCACAAATATACATCATAAGCTTAACACCTGTCCTACTATATATCTCCAATGGAAATAAGAATCTCTAATCAATAGAAAAGTTAAAAAGTAAGTTTATAGTAAATCCAAATTCTTTCCCATTACAAGCTCCCATCCCACAACACCCAAATCTTTACAACCAATATCACAAGACACACATTCTACTGTAAGACACATATAGACACAAAAGCCCCAAAGCTTAACATCTCCTTCTTACAATTTTGGTTCTTTCCTGCAGAGCAACCAAAGAACAAGCCAGGCTCCTGTCCTACATGACTGTCCTTCAAATTCCTGGAGCTGGTTTTCATATCTCCTTTTAGTCTTCTTTTCCAGGTTAAACTTCCCCAGTCCTTCAACTATTCCTGATAAAAGCCCCATTGCTACTAGACCTCTCCATTAAGGATGACCTGTTCTAGACTGATTCTCATTTGTCAATAGTGCTCTCGAATTGTGTGACTGGGAACTGAATGCTATACTTCAGATACAGCTTTAGTAGTACAGAATAAAATGGAATTCTTTCTGTGATCTTGTTATAACATCCTGCTATTATGCTTCTGTGCATATTGTACTTTTTATTCATTTGATAGCTATTTAGTAAGTTGGGAGCATGTACCAGGCAGTGTGCTAGGTATGGGGATACCAAGGTGGATAAGACACAATCCCTGTCTTTAAGTGGTTGCATTCTGGTGGAAAATAGAGTAAGCAACAAAATTGGCTTATATTAATCCTATCAATCAATCCAATCAAAATCCTATCAATCAAAATCCTAGATCTTCCACTTGTCTTTATGGGCTCAAAAGTAGAAATATGAGGCTACTGGTTTTATGTGGTAGTTTGTGGAGAGGACCAGAGGAATTCACACTCGGCTTACAAGAGCGAAACTTTAAACCCTATACTTAGTTAAAACAAATAACAAGCAAATAAACCTCTAGAACAAATGTTAGTCTGGAACCTATATTGTTTCTTTTCCTTTTCTTTTTCAAGTCTGGTAGAATTTTCCATGAAAAACATGTAATAGAAATTAAAAACAGTGGCCTTGCCACGAACTGTGATATAATGAAGGTAAAGTCAGTATAATGATCGATTGCTTCTTGTGAATCTATCATAAGAGGTAATTTTAGGTTATGTTATTTCCTGAAATCTAACTGCAAAGGGTACCAAAAATTAAAAGGAGTTTTGAGAATTTAAATGTCTTTATACGCCATCATCAAGTCTCGATCCTCAATGATCTGATCTTATCTATCTACTCTGCCCCCATTCCTCCAAGCAAAAATAAGCATCTTTCAGTTCAGATAAATGATATTTCTCTTTAAGGTGCTGAGAAAATTTGGCAGCTCTCCTTGGAAGACTATTCATGGTCTGGTCATAGGTCCCAGATGCTCCAGATGTTCTAAAACACTACACTTGGACCATGGGCTCTATTAAAGAATATGTAAATTTTTGTGGACCCTGTAAGTTTAGCATTTGGGTTTTTGTTTTTGTTTTTGTTTTTTTTTTTTTTATTTTTTGCTACAGTGTGTTTTCATCAGTCCAAATGTCCCCCATTCCTACATGTGGGCTCTACCAAAGTTAGGTGAATTATCAGAGTAAATCTACCAAGGTTAGAAAGTCAGAGACTTACGTGGAGGAGGACAGGAGGTTTTATAAAAACAACATGAGATCATTAAAAAGTGTGTCCATTTTGGCAATATAAGAGACTGACTGCCCAGCAGATACTTGATCTACGAGATCTACAAGATCTATAGCCCTCCTACTCCACACAGAGTAGAAGTTTTTAGAACCAAATAAACAAAAAAATCCAGTGAAAACTAAGAAAAGCTTCTGGGCTCTGGTAGAAAGAAGCAAATAGGTTCTAGAGTCCAAGGGATTATATTTGTGGCTGGGGCAGCGGTTGCAGTGAATATAGAGTTGAAAGTGGAGATGGGGGTTTGGAGGGGCGCCTGATGGCTCAGTCAGTTAAGCATCTACCTTTGGCTCTGATCATGATCCTGGGGTTCTGGGATCTAGCCCCCATATTGGGCTCCCTGCTCAGTGGGGAGTCTGCTTCTCCTTCTCCTTTTGCACCTGCTCCCTGCTTGTGTGCTTGCTCTCTCTTGCTATCTATCTAAAATAACTAACTACAATCTTTTCTTTAAAAAGTGGAGATGGGAGGCACCTGGGTGGCTCAGTGTGTTGGGCCTCTGCCTTCGGCTCAGACATGATCCCAGGGTCCTGGGATCGAGCCCCGCATCGGGCTCTCCACTCAGCGGGGAGCCTGCTTCCTCCTCTCTCTATGCCTGCTCTCTGCCTACTTGTGATCTTTGTCAAATAAATAAATAAAATCTTTAAAAAAAAAAAAAAAAGTGGAGATGGGGGTGGGGTTACAACCAACTGAAAGCCTCTTGGAGTGGCCCCAGAACCGAAGGACTCATGTTCATCAACAGGCTGGGGGCTGATGAGTGGAAGATACTAGAAGAGCCTCCTGAGCACCACTGTGCTATGGACGCTGGAGGAGAGAATTGCTCTACCCGGTCTTGTGGACTCTATGTGTGTACATAAGAGTAAGGACCATACACTGTACAGGCTAGAAATCAGGGCTATATTTGTCTTTTTGGGAAAACCACACAGATTACTTTATAATTTAGGACTTCTCTCCCAAAAGTAGATTGAAAATCCCTTGTGGGAGGAGAGCAAAGTTTTATTACAATCCTTTCTTTGTACATAGTAAGAGTTCAAATAAGGTGTTGTTGGGTATTGATGAAATCTTTCGTATTGATGCTGACAATGGCCAGCTTAGAGAGTTAATGAAAAAAGTCCTGGCATGTTAAGGGAGTAGGTACTTTTATTCCATTGAAATAGTTGCCTAGTATTCATTCTTTCACTTAAATTTATTGAGAATCTGTAATACTGTATGAGATAATTCAGGGATATGTAGATGAATATGACATGATTACTGTCCTCAAGTAGTTTATCACCTAGTAGGAAGAAAGACATCAAATAAATGATAACTGATGAACCTACTGAGAGAAGGGTATAAAGGAATAAGAATGATATGCATAATTATAAATATTTGCACTCCTCTTTTGATAGTTTAAATATTTTATTGTTAGTGTATATCTGTACCAATAAAATATGCATGGATACATATATGTATAAATGTATGTATGTAGATGTATATGTGGGTATGTGTATAAGTTATGCATATTTATAATATTTTATATATACTTATATATAAAATACATGGTATTATATAGAGTATACTTTTTATATAGAATATCCCATTTTATTATAGGTGTATATGTATAATTTAAATAGACATGTGAGTACATATATATATATATATGTATATAATATATATATATTATATACTTATATAATAGAAGTAGAATAATTCTCTCTCCACTACTTTGGGACACAGTGGACCTAATGGTTAAGAATGCTGGTTCTAGGGGCACCTGGCTGAGTCAGTCAAAAGAACATGTAACTCTTGATCTCAGGGTTGTGAGTTCGCACCCCAACTTAAAAAAAAAAGAGTAATGGTTCTAAAGTCAAACTGCTTGAGGTCATATCTTAGCTCTATCAGGTATCAGTCATATGAGTTTGGATAAACAAATTAACCTACTCAAATCTCTCTTCTTTATCCACAAAACAGAAATTATTATGATACCAATCTCACAGCATTATCATGAGATAAAGTGAGATATTGCATGCAAAGTGGTAGACAGAGTATTAGGCAAAGAAATGGTAGTTGTGCTGTTTTATTATGCTACCGAACACAGCATAAGTATTTTCCCAACACAATACTTTTTCAGTAAACCCTGGTATGTTTTCAATATATGTTTGCTGAGTGAATTAATGAAAGATATAATAATTACTTTGTGTATTATATGAGATTCATGTATATTTTCAGTGTAACGAAGGGGCAACTCAAATGGTGAGAAATGCCCTGTCCATAGGTACAAGTCTTAGCTGGCACTGTCTCAGAAACTGGTGATACAGAGACATCAAGAAGGAATTCCTAGCCTAGGAACTTAAAAGGATATATATTATAGTTAACATGGATGAAATGTTAGAGAAAAAGAAACAAAGATTCTTTCAAATATCACAATGAAAAAAACTGCAGTCTAAAGGAATAAGCAAAAAAAAAAAAAAGCTATGTTATAGCATAATTTTCTGGTTATAGGGGAAAAGCGAAAACCTGTACTGCCTTTACTATGCTTCGTTTCTCAAAATTCAAAACTTTAGTCTCTAAGACACTGAGTATGGCAATAAGAGTCATCTCTACTTGTTCATAGGCATATCCCCTTGATCTATGCTGACTTTTAAAAAAATCTTCAAAGGCTTTGTGGAAGTAATCAGTAGAAATTAAAAAAAAAAATAGTCAATACCAAAAGCTACTATCACTAGGAGTATTTGCAGTTATACAATACCGCGTGTTTAAAGAGCAATTCCCTGCAAGAACCTGGAAGGAGCTAGAGAGTATAACGCTAAGTGGAATCAGTCAGTCAGAGAAAGACAAATGCCGTAAGACTTCACTCATATGTGGAATTTAAGAAATAAAACAAACGAGCAACAGAAAAGAAAGAGACAAAGAAACAAACTCTTAACTATAGAGAACAAGCTGATGGTAATGGAAGGGATGGGAGGGTGGCGAGTGGGGGTGGGGGTAGGGTGGTTGAAAAAGGTATGGGGATTAGAAGTGTACTTTGTCAGGACGAGCCGTGGGTAATGTACGGAAGTGTTGAATCACTATATTGTATACCTGAAAAGAATATAAAACTGTACATTAACTATATTGGAATTAAAAACAAAACAAAACAAAACAAAAAACAAAAAACAGTTCTCATGTGCAGTCAGATTACAGTTCCACCCTATCTCTGTAAATCCCTCTCTGTGGTCCTCACCTTGGCTGTGGCATGAGGGGAAGCACCCTTCTCCAGTAACAGCAGTGCCACCTTCTGGTTGTCATAATGAGCAGCAACATGGAGCGGGGTAAGGCCATTCTGTAAAGGGTGTGTTTAAATTCAGCATTAATAAATTAGCGTGAGCTGCCCTGAAGCTACCAAATGCATGGAAACTGGCACAGATGAAGTCCATGTTAATTAATTAATATGGTCAATAAAAAAACCAAATCAGTACTAATGATTTTCATATTAGAAACTTAGCTAAAACTGAAAATGTTTGGTGGAGAGTGAGTTGGCACAGGTTAGCTGGATATCCCCCATAAATAAAAGTCTGAAATGCTATGCAAGAATTACTACATTAACATTGCAAGGATTCTTCTAAATTCAGAGATGTTCTGGGCCCTGTTGTGACAAGAACATACATCAGAGACACACATCTAAATGCCTTCTAAATTAGCGTGGATGTGGACAGGTCACGGACAGATACCCCCTCGTGTCTATTTGACATTGTTTCATCAGTTGCCTTCATGGTCCTTTCAGAAGAGTGAGAAAAGTATCTTGAAGTACAGATCTCCGAATCTTCCACTGTGAGTGTAACTGTCATGTACTAGTAAAATCCTTTACCTTCCCTGCAGAATCTGCGGCAGCTCGGCGTTGCAAGAGAAGTTTTGCCACATCCAGGCTTCCATACTTCGCTGCTACATGCAGGGGAGTAAAACCCTTCTGAAAATGCAAAGAACAAAAGTAAAATGTAATATTTATTTTTGTGACTCCTAACAAAATCCTTTTTTTAAAATTTGTTAACATAGTAAGCAAATTATGTTGAGTCTCTATTTGAGAAAAAAATGCTAGAATCATTAAATCTGTTAGCCATAAACAAGGACTAGAAGAAGGAAATTTAGCACGCGAGTGTTTGACTTGATAGATTGAACAAAACAAATTTTATTGTGAGGGCTTGCAAATTGAAATTTGCCTTTATATGTTTCAGATTTTAAGATCTTTTTTTTTTTTTTTTTTTGACAGAGATCACAAGTAGGCAGAGAGGAAGCCAAGGAGAGGAGGAAGCAGGCTCCCCACTGAGCAGAGAGCCCCATGCAGGGTTCTAGGCAGGGCTCGATCCCAGGACCCTAGGATCATGACCTGAGCGAAGGCAGAGGCTTTAACCCACTGAGCCACACAGGCGCCCCTATATGTTTCAGATTTTAAAGAGCCACTAGTGTCCCTAAAATGGCTCTGATTAGTGATTGGGGGTCGGGGTGGGGAAGGCTTATCTTCTTCCTGCCTCTAAAACTAATAGGATCGAGACAATAGCTGCTCTCTCCAATCCTTCGTTTCCTATCCTTTCTAATCATACCTGCATTCCAAATTTCTTCCTTTAAATTTTAGGATATTTCAGCAGCCATGGTAAAAAAAATATATAAAAATATATATTATTGTGATTCACTTGATTTGCATTTTCTGCAGAAATAGCAAGATAAATGGTCGACAGACAAAAAGATGCTCACTGCTAAAAAGCACCTCCAGGGCACCTGGGTGGCTCGGTGGGTTGAGCCTCTGCCTTCGGTCCAGGTCATGATCTCAGGGTCCTGGGATCCAGCCCCACATGGGCCTCTCACCTCAGCAGAGAGCCTGCTTCCCCCCCCCCCCCCCCCCCCCTGCCTCTCTGTCTACTTGTGATCTCTCTCCCTCTGTCAAATAAATAAATAAAAATTTTTTTAAATAAATGATAAATAAAAAGCACCTCCTATCCTGTTATTCCCTTTCCCAGAAGGCCCACACTGTATAAAAGACCAATTCCTCTTGTAAAATACACTCCACTTCTGGCAAATGTTGAGCTGATTAATGTCAGACTTTTAAACACACCACAGTGTAAAGCTTTTTTAAAAGAATGCTCTGTTACCCATGTTTATGTGTACAGATTCAACGTCTTGTGTGCCTAACCTAATGTCCTTCTCTGTCATCAGCAGGGTGTTACAAAAGCAACCAAGTCCCTGGACTCAGATCTCAAGGATGGCACAGTTCCTACACCATGATCTCAAACCCATCCTCTTGGCCAGACAGTCTAACCACATGCTCTTCTGGCACTAAAGTGAGCATGGGAGAGTTCTAATGCTGACCGGGGCCTGTAAAACACACCAAGCAAATGTGTCTGCTGTAGGTGGTCTAAGGTATGGCTTATCCTTAGGACCACTGAAGCCCTCATCACAATATAGAATTTCTCCCAAGAAACAATATTGCCCTTTCACAGTGTCACCACATGAATTATGTTTAATTAAGATGTTGTTTTTCTTTTTGCCTTTTTTTGAACATTTGGTACTAATCAGTCCTTGGAGGAGAGCGATTCTTTTACTTTCTCCAACTGTGGGACAACTATAGGAAGTATTTCCTCCCCTTGCCTTAGTCCATTTCAGCCAACATTTATTGTTAATGTTCTCCCTCTGCTCAGTGTACACAATGACTGGGATGAAGTGGAATTCTTTGAAAAAAACAAAACAAAACAAAACAAAACAAGACACATGACAAGGAAGAAAAAGAAGTGCCTGTCCTTAAAGTCCTGCCGGAATAGTGATCCAGCCCCTTTATAAATTTGGAACCTATTATTAGACAAAACTACATAGAATCTTTACTGTAGAATCACAAAATAGGGGTTGGAAAGCATCTCTTGAGTCACACATCTTCCTTCTTCCCCTGTGTTAATCTCATCAGGATTTCATTTACCCTCTGATATTTAGAAACACTCAAATAGCTTTAATGATGATGAGTCAACTCTTCATCAGAACCCCAGTGAGTTCCACTGCTGAACTGCTTAGTTTAATAGTTCCTTCCATTTAACCACCACACTTTACTATTGCTTTAGATGTACTTTTAAATCCTAAAAATCTTTGCAAGGCACTATGCTTCACTCTCTATTCCTGTATTTTACATATCTGAATTTGTCACCTTCATCTGATGAGACGATCACCCAGTCTCTCCTGGGTTGTTGTTATAACTATTTTGTTTGTTGCCTAGTTTCTGACTTTTTCTTTAAAAGACTTTTAAAATCCTTTCAACTCTTCAGAGTTCAGCATTTGAACAATGGTCAACTTTTTTACAATAAAACATGTTTTATAGCCACAAGCAACCAGATCAAGTCATAATGGCTAGTGGGCTGCTCCTATTTCTAGGAGGAGAGATGCCACAACAGTACTTGAGTTCATACTTCTCCCTTAGATGTAGTCCTTGTGCCTATTTGTTATGAGCAAATTGAAAATGTCTTTTAAATAATATGAATCACTGTCGTATTTATGGGAATTATTTTGCCTCACAAACACTACACTTGTTGTGAGCTTTAAACTTGTCTCATTTTTATACTCTTCTGTACATGTCCAATTTCTTCTGCTCTGATTAGCTGAGGGTGTTCATGTTTTATTCTAAGTTGCATCCAAATAGTGAATTTCAAATAGAATGTATCAAGTGGGGGGAAAAAATTATTCTGCCCTAGGATGAAACTTTGAACAAATAAAATTCAGGCTGGTATGTACAAAGAATATACAACTGATAAAGTGCTTTTCCAGCCCAGCTCTATTTAGATGCTGTTAATACCCAGGCAAGAATATAGCTGACAAATACTAGAGAGCAGAATGGGAATGACAGCTGATACCAGGGTTGGAAAAATGCAGAACCAAGTAAGGTGAACTTCTAGATAGTACTAAAACTCTTAGCAAATACAGTATTGCCAATTTAATGCAATTTCCTTCCTTACTAGTTCAATGTGTTTGGGAACCTTCTATTTTTTTTCTCTTTGGAATACATTATAGGAGCGCCTTGATGGCTCAGGGGGTTAGGCCTCTGCCTTCGGCTTGGGTCATGATCTCAGGGTCCTGGGATCGAGCCACACATAGGGCTCTCTGCTCAGAGGGGAGCCTGTTTCCTCCTCTCCCTCTGCCTGCTTCTCTGCCTACTTGTGATCTGTTAAATAAAATCTTAAAAAAAAAAAAAGGAATACATTATAGATTTTCTAATGGAAAGAGAAGAGAAGTAGCCCTTGCTCTATGGAAATAATCTTAGTTAAAGCACTAGATACCTGTATTAGAAACAATAGTACTTAGAAGGATGGACTCTAGCACTCTTTGTTGAAGCTATGATATGGAATTTCACAAACCCCTTTGATAATTTAGAAAATGAATCTAAAATATTCAAATAGAAAGAAGTAAGTCAGAGGCCTAAAGAAGATCTACTCTTCTTGATACTGTATATAGTAGAACAGAGGAACCCTGACTCAGGATCCCCCTTAGTCCGTGTTGTCAGGGAGCCATCCTCTTACCTTGGTAGCTAAGGAGTGGGCTGCTCCTGCTTCCAGGAGGACCGATGCCACATCTACCTGTCCTTCCCTGGCAGAGATGTGCAAGGGCGTGTACCCATTTGTCGTGGCTGCATCTGGATGAGCCATATGTTGTAGAAGCAGCTGGACAATTTCTGTCTTACCCAGGCGAGAGGCAATGTGCAAAGGTGTCTGTTCCTCCTACAACTCAAGTCAAGTAAAACATTAGTGCCCGAACAAGCCAGATTTCACCGAGAACATATTCCACTCAGATGTTTCCTGATGTCTTCTTGGGATCTCTAGGAACTGCTATCCAAAAGGAAATGATTACTACTCTGACCATGATTTATTTTACATTTGGTTATGGAGGTAACCTGTCTGGTCACAAAAATCTTTCTTAGATTTTTTTTTTAGTAGTATGAACTTCCATAAACTTGGTCATTGTTTCCTGAGCACACCAACATGTTACTCAAATCATTAAGGCTTCAGCCCTCATTTACGCTTAAATATAAACCAATTTGTGGTTCTGAATAAGAAAGAAATCCAGTCCAGAAGGACTAAGACCTAGATTCTCATCCAAAAGCTTTCACTAAGAGACAGTATTTATTCTGGGAACCATATAAAGAGAAAAAGAATGAGGAATTCTGGGACAACTGTTCTTACTCCACTCAAACAAAGCCAAGGATAGAAATGCTGGTCATTTTCTTCAAGGAAAGACTGCAGATAAAGAAGATATTACAATCTGATTTTTTTTTTTTTAATGTTGTTCCAGGAAACAGTGCAGATGGTTCAGGGACTTGCATCCAGAACTTCAAGATGAAATGGAACTCCAGCAAGAAGCAAATGGGGTTAAGTATTTGCCACGTGGCTTTTCATTTAGAAACACGGAGAGGACATAGCTGGTACAAGGAATAGGGAAGATATGTTGGAGGAGGCTCAAGAAATCACCTGACTCTGATGTGTAGTCAGGAAAATATTTTCATTTCAATGTTAAGAGAACTAAGCCAAACCATTCTTTTATAAAAAAAGAAAATTGAGCATAACCTTAGTGTTGAAAAAAGGTATGTCTTTACAGTGTGTTCAAGGGCATGTCATAATCAAAGTGAGGAAAGAAGAGCTGGGTCAGCTTCCTAAACTAAGAATGAATGGAAAAAAAAGATATAATAGAGTGGGGGAGAGCTTTTAAATAAATGTTGTATCTTAAAGTATAAGAAAAAAAAGTATTCAGAGGGAGCCACAGAAGGAGATGAAATAGCATTGTATGAATTTCAGGTTGTGAGAAGTAAATAACAAATAACAATAATACAAGTGTTTTAGTAATAGAATTGGAATCTTTTTTGAAAATGCAATTTATAACTTTCCTTCATGTACCATGCATACTTGATCCTATTCTTAAGGAAGAACGGAAACGAAGGCCTAAAATGTATTATTCGACCATTTTCTGCAAAACAGAGATTAAGAGGAATTAAAGTGGTTCTCTAGGATTGTTCAAGGTCACCAAGCTATTAAAACAAGACTTTAATTCAGGCATTGGATTCCAAAGACACTCATTGGCCTATACATCCTACAGAAATAGACACAGTAAGTTGACCACTGACAAAACTAACAGAATGGGGTGACTCTCAATAGGAAAGGAGACGGAAAGCACTTTAGAAGATACAACTGTTTTCTGAAACACAACAAAGAAGAAAATAGACAAATGGGGGAAATTAAATTACAAAGATAAATAGAGAACAAAACAACAATAAAAGAACCAAAGAACCTAATAGCTATCATGAACATCTCTTGCTTCTGGGTTTCCCTTCTTGCACTTCTGCCTAATACAATTTGATAGAGGTGGGTATTGCAAATGACATAACCTAAAAGGTTTTCTTGATGAGTGAGTTGGAGAGCTGGGACAATGAGGACACCTTCATCCAGAGCTGGCAGCAGCCAACTATTTGATTAAATTATCAACTCTTGTCCCTTGATTCTCAGACCCCAGAGCATTTAGGCACTTGATCTTGTTTGGTTTTGTTTTTAATTTTTTAAAGAAATAAACTGTCTTGCCTACTTTCTTCAACTTTTAGTATAGTCCTATCTGAGAATAAAAAAGGGAAGAACAAACAAGTTTGGTTAGAAAGTCTTTCCACTGGTAACTAAAGATATAAGACCTTTTAAGGTTTGAGTAATTAGTTCCCAGTTGAACTGCAAAAGTTGCATTTGCTGCTCCAAACTAAAGTAAATGCAAGCCAAGGCAAAGAACTGGAAAAGTGCAGAAAATAATATTTATGGAAAGGACTTTAAAAAGTGAGGGTTAGCTTGATCCTCTAGGCTCTTCCATATGTAAGGATCAATAATTCCCTCAAAATAAAGTGTTACTGACTGTGATACAGCCTGGGATGAACTCTGCCTTACTCCCACAAGCTACAGTCTTCCAAAATTAGGAAGACCTGCTGAGCCCCAACTCCTTTACCAAAAGACAGAAATAGCAATAGCTTGGACAAAGTTGAAAGATTTGATAAAATTTCTGCTATTCATTTCTAGCTAACAGGATTCTCAGGAACCAAATCGACTGGCAGCTAACTGAAGTAATAGAGTGAATTAAGTTTCAAGGGAGTTTAAGCCTCAGGGCCCTGTGATTGCTCAATCCCTAAAGCAAACGCCAGCCCTCCATATTGTGCCAACAGAATATGGGCTCCTCAAGTAAGAGAGGTCCCCAATGGGCAGACCCCAGTCATTCTCTCAGTCATATCCATAGAGGATCCTGGACAAGGAAGGACCTTTCTGAGAGCAAGGTCTGGGGGCAAACACTGACTGACCAATGAACTTAACATCACTGCAGTCCCTATTCTCTTGGTCTGTCCAGCAAAATTGCCTTATGGTCTTGATTTAGAAGAGGATGCAGCTTGCACTTTTAAATGAGAGACATTGTTGTAGTAAATGATTTTTCTTTCATTATATGAAAAATGATTACACAACCATGAGATATTATTTCTAAACCTGATTAAGGAGAATACAGATTATTGAGAGATCTTGCCCTTGGAGTTGAGTGTAGTGACTGAGTATAACTGCTGACCATCTCCCCTTTGGGAGGGAGTGAATTATAGAGCAATGTAGTAGTTAAGAGAAAGAGTTTCAGAAGTGCATGTATATGGGTATGCTTGCTGGGAAACCAGAAGGTAAAACAGAAGAGATAGAGTTTCATTTTTCTGTCCAATACCCCCTACACCCTTTTTCTGGGAAGAGCCCTCCCTCCTTTGGGGAAAGAGGGTACCCCCCACTACATGTGGCTCTGGAGGGGCTGCCAATCATCTCACTCCAATTCATGAATGGACCACATGAATGGGCCTGGAGCCCAGGCTTGATACTATATACCCGCCATAGTGTTCAGCCCAGGTGGTAAATGTGGCTAATTAGAATCCTGTTGTTTGTTTAGATAGGAGAAATAAGGGCTCTCTTTACAGCCCAAAATGAGATAATGATATCTGCAGAAAAAATCTAGGAGAAAGATACAGAAACAAGGAGGAACCCTTTTCTTACCCTTTCTAACCCCATGACCTCAAGAAAGGTAGCACAATTTTGGATTTTGGGACCCTAAGCCACCCTACAATACATGGTTGCTCTGTGCTAAGATAATTCGTATTAAAATGCTTCAGGAAGTATACATCACTGTACAAATGTTAACTAAATCAAAGATTTCCAGGGAGATCTAAAGGTCTAAAAAAATAGAAACTCATGGTGAAAGTATAACTTAAAATAGCACATGTGAAAAGGAAAACCTTAGCTTCTTGCTGCTCAGTATAATTCCAGGATGGGGAACATCGCCTTGAGTTTTTAGAAATGCAGATTTGGGGCTTCACCCCAACCTACTGAGTTCATTCCATATTTTAACGAGATTCCCCAGGTGATGTCATACACATAATGACCCTTTAGTAGCATGGCTCTACCACACTATGGTAGTTTCTCCCATCGGCAACCAGAACGATGCTATAAGGAAGAATTTTAGCTGCAACTTAGGATAGGTGGTAGAGCTGAAAAACAGAGGATCCTGACATTTAATATTTAAATAAGGAGGAATAAAAAGTTAAAGATGTTTATTTACATATGTAGACCATCGAAAGAAAAGTAAAATGATAGAATTGGGGGCGCCTAGGTGGCTCAGTCAGTCAAGTGTCCGATTCTTGATTTTGGCTCAGGTCATGATCTCAGGGTGGTGAGACTGAGCCCCATACGGACCCTGCTTAAGATTCTCTCTCTCCTTCTCCCTCTGTCCCTCCCCACTCACATGTACTCTCTCTTAAAACAAAAACACAAAAACAAAAGACACACCAGAACAATAGAATTGATGGAATGTGTGTGTAAAAAAAATTTTTTAAGTGAATAAATGTTACAATATTTCAAAGTAAAGAGTCTGTAACCAGTAGTTAGGAGGAAGGGGTTTCAGATGGTATCTAGAAAAGCATAAGGCAATAACGGGTTAAATTGATACCATAAAAAATACTGACAAAGACACACGAAAATAAGCAAATTTCCATTAAAAATAAATTAAAATTTGAATATAGACAAATATGAAGCTGTTTTATATTGAAAGGTAAAGAGGAAACCCTTTTATTATTAAATATGGATTACAAACATGTACCAGAAATATTATCACAATTTCTGATAAAATTAGTGAAGTTCGTGATACTCAGAATACATTGATTTTTTTTTAGAGTTCATAAAATAGTGAAGTTCATGATACTCAGAGTACATTTTTTTTTCCTTTTAATTAGCTGAATGTCAGGTAACCTCGAAGGAAATGAGAGTAGGCAGAACACATAAGTTTTTTAGGGCAATAAAACTAGTCTGCATGATAAGGATGGATATATGTCATTATACATTTGTCCAAACCTGCAGAATGTGCAACACCAAGAGTAAACCCTAATATATACTATGGACATTGGGGGATTATTATGTGACAATGTGTGTTCATCAATTATAACAATGTACCATTCTAGTGGAGAAAGCTGGTAATGCAGGAGCCTATGCATCTGTGGGATCAGAGTATATATGGGAGGTCTCTGTAACTTCCTCACAATTTGCTATGAACCTAAAACTGCTCTTAAAAATAGTCTTGGGGTCAGGGAGAAACAATAAAAATGCCACGGCTTGGAAGAATATGTTTTGAACAACAAAAGCTCTAAATAAATAACATAAAATACTGATGATGATTACCAAAGAAAAATTACACTACTCACACATTGGATAAAAAGGCAGATAAAATCCGAAAGGACAAGATTAATGTCAAAGCTGCCCATGTTTCACTGGATTTTTCATGAAGGTCTGTGGAAAAATGCTATTAAAAATTCATAAATTTGGGGCGCCTGGGTGGCTCAGTGGGTTAAGCCTCTGCCTTTGGCTCAGGTCATGATCTCAGGGTCCTGGGATCGAGCCCTGCATCGGGCTCTCTGCTCGGCTGGGAGCCTGCTTCCCCCTCTCTCTGCCTGTCCCTCTGCCTACTTGTGATCTCTCTCTCTCTCTCTCTGTCAAATAAATAATAAATAAAAACTTTAAAAAAATAGTTTTAAAAAAATTCATAAATTCAGAGAATGTTAAGAAAGTCTGGAAAGGAGTTTCAAGGTGTCTAAGCCCAACCTCTATATTTTAATGATAAAGACCTAGAAACACAATGACTTGCCTGAAATGACAATGTATGGGACTCTAACCAGATGCTTTCATTCCAATACAATACCATTTCCAAAAGGGAATCATGATAGCACAATTCAAGTTGAAGTGAGTTCTAGCCCAGGTACATCAAATATTGAAGGAGAGAAAGACTTCAGATACTCTATGACAATCCCAAAGATGCTAGTGCAGAAGGTAATGGAATGATGTGGAAAGGAAATTGAAGATAGTATATTAATAAAAATTGCTAGCATATTCAGTGTAGAGGAAGAAGGTGAAAAAAGCAATTGGAAAGTGAATTAAAAAAAAAAAAAGGAAGGAAAAATCAACCTGTAAAGGAATAAGAAGTCAGTTAGAAACAAGAGAATCTGACTAGTAATCTCCTAGTAATCTCCAGGGCCAGAATTCTTCTATTTTGGAATAGCGGAAGAGCAGAATGTCTAAACTACGTAAAATCAGAGTAAGAAGAAAAGCAGAGCTCATTATAGAAAGGAAGAAACTAAACAGATAAAGGTACATTAAAACTTTGAGTATAATTTGTTTTTAAGTAACTAGTAAGTAATGTCTGGAAATTCGATTGACCTTATAGTATGAAATCAATTTTAATACTCATAGTATCTCTATAATATAGGTCATTTTTTAAAAATTCATGTAAAGAAAGAATATATGTAAAAATATTTTCATAGGTTAAAAAATTACTAGGTTAGTCAATGGCACAATTTTTAGATACTAAATTATGTATTTTTTTCAAATGTTAATGTTTCTGAAATTGGGGTGCATTTTATTATGAATATTTACAATACTATTTCCTTTTCTGCCTGAAAAACTACTGAAATGATGCTTTCATTTACAATCAATGGCATTTCTAAATCAAGGAAATGGAGAATAGCATTCTCTCTTAAAGATGGAACTCATGCACACAATAGGAGGGAACCCCGAGCACCGGCACCTACCCTGGCTCTGGCATCAACAAGGGCACCATTTCTCAGTAGGCATCGGACCACTTCAACCTGCCCTGCCCGGGCTGCCATGTGCAATGCAGTCTCCCCACGCTGCCAGGAAACAAAGATCATTAAGTCATAAGTAAACCCACTGCTTGTATGGTAAAGGATAAAAATGTGCCTTTTTGTGAGACTCAGCAATCAATCCAAAGGTTTAGGAAATCTATGAAAAGGCATAATTATTTCATAATTATTTAGTCTGGAAAAATACAGTTTTGTATCTTCTCCATCTTCATAAGGATAAAACAAATGTTTATTTCATTTTTTTTCAGTCCGTGACAAACGAGGAACTTACCCAGACATCCAGTATACCCTGAAGTTTAACTTCATAGTCAATCTGGCATAACTTAAACTGCTTCAGGTGATATGAAGTTGTCTTCTATCCTTCAAACCTAAAATCTGTCATCATCATATTTGACTACGTGATTACAACTTGATCCCATTTTAAGGAGAAACTCCTTAAAGACCATGTCAACACAGTGCAAAAAAAAAATCACGTCATTTGTACCATACGTAAGTCACTCCTATTCAGAATTCAAAATTTACTTCTGAAATAAACTATTCCATGTTGGATTTGTCTTTGTGTTATAAGGCTAGACAATGACTGCTTACAGAAGGAATTTGATTTGCCCAGGATGTCCCTCTATTATTAATGAGCATATTCAATTATAGATAGTTATTTGAGAGAACTACCAAGAGATGAGTAAAGCATCTGTTAACACTGTCATTTGTTGAGGTGGGCAGCACTGGGCATCAGGTCATTTCTCAAGTATCTTCGTGCCCCAACAAAATACGGCACACTGACCAGGAAATGGCAGCTTATGCTGTAGCATGGAGGATGATGATTAGATGAAAGAAATTTTGTCATTGAGAAGCCTGTTAATTACTGCCTATAAGAGAGAAGGTTTTTGTTTTTGTTTTTGTTTTAATCAACATATTTAAAAACCCCATGTAGTTCTGAAGAAGGGAGGAGTTCATTCTTCCAAACAATTTTATGGTTATAAAAAAAACAAGACATTGGAACAGAAATGATTACTTCTAGTCACCACAACCATTCTAGAAAATAAAGCCGATTTCAACCAAGTAAAGTAAACCATTCCAAATAAGTAAACCATTCCAAATAAAGTAAACCATTCCAAATAATCAACTTCAAATTGATCTTGAAGTTGGTTGTGGTAATTGGATACTTTTGACTAATTCCAGTAAATAGATTCTTCTGATTCCTTGCACAACTTGAGTTTGGTACATAGCTCACAGTTCATTTTTTTCCTGGTATCTGAGACCCATTCCTTGTGAAGTTATGAAAAATTCATTTCAAATGATTTGATTTTGAAAGCATCAAACTGGATGTCTAATATTTTTTCTTTTTTGTTGATAATTCATTTATCCTCTAATGGCCTTGTATAATGGTGACATGTTTTGACTTTTGCAAAGTAAATGTATCTGGAGTGTGTTGGCTTATAAAATCACATTATTGGAATAGCAATATTTGTCTTCAAACTTTGGGTATATGGCAAGATTTTTTCCTCTTTGGACAACCATGATTTCTAACTTGTTTTCTATATCACTTAAAACCTGTCTCTAAATAGATGAAGGTAAGGTCTAACTACTCAACAACAAAAAGCCCTCACATTCTTACTTTAAGTCTTATAAAAGTATAGCAATTTTACTAAATTTTACTAGAAATAAAGACAAAAATAAATTTCTTTATAAGAAGTTAAGTCAAAGAGGCATCATGAGTTAATGAGAGATTCATATGTTTAGTTTACAAGCCAAACTTTATCAATAAGTGGTTTGAGTGTAAAATGTTTACAATACTTCCAATATTAGTCTTAATATTTCCAATATCCTTATTATATACTTGGAATGAGTTATTCTTAAGCTATTTATACATTTGAAAGCAGTGAATTAGATATAAAACCTAAAGTGTTAAACATTATAGTCAAAGAAAAGTTATATATATATATATATATATATATATATATATATATATATATATATCTGTATATACATACATATACGTCTCTCTGATTAAAAGCAATGGTTCTGTTCAAAATTATTTAATGACTTTGGGGTAACTGATTTTCATTATAAGTTGTTCTTACCCTTTTATATTACCCTTTTTTATATATAACTATAAATAAAAAATGAAAGCTATATTATAATGTTATAAGCTATATATAAAGGTTATTTTAGTAATTTCCATTTCTTGATTGTTGGGCACCTCACCTTATTCAATACCTTTGTTTTCTTTATCTTAAGCTCATTCACTTTAATTATTGGGGGAAATTTTAAATATAATATGAAATGTGAACTTAGCCATGAGTCCATCAATTTTTATAGGAGAAAACTTCATAAGACTTCACATTGTACTCTAGACAGCCCTGAACGTGCTTAGTTTCCTACTCCCATGGTTGTCAATGAATACTTTGGATTATGGATGTATTACAACTGGTAGTTCAGCTTTCTAGGTTTTAAAGTGCATTTGTGAGCTTTTCAGAAAGGAGGATTTGCAATAATAATATCTGCACCTGATTGAGGTACTGGTACATCTCACACTTGGGGTGAATTTTGAGACAAAAACAAGACTGGCAAGAAAATGGGTATGCTCACGTCCAAAGCAGGTACTCAGTTTCATGCCCCTCTTCTCGGTTGTTAAAACAGATTTTGCCAACAGCTACATGGACTTCCACTTTGGCTGCATCAGTTGGAAAGCATCAAAGCACAACAGACAGCATTGCATTCAAAAATGCAACATGATTTTCAGGCAACACACAAAGGCTCCAAGGGTGGGGTACTTTGGGGTCAGGAAATGACCAACTCTGACACAGCAAGCAGGCAGTAAGTGTTCACACAGTTTCTTAATCAACTTGCTATATCCTGCTAGCTATATCCTCATGTCCTGAGAATGTACAAGTTCACAGGCATCCCAGTGCTAGAGATATTAAATTCCTCTACATGTAGGGTTGCAAACAAACAATGAATAATTATTTAGCATAAATATGTCTCCACTATTGCACAGGACATACTTATACGAAAAAAATTTGTCATTTATCTGAAATTCAAATTTAACTGGGAGTCCTGTATTTTATCTGGCAACTCTATCTATCTACATGGTATCTACTCCCTGAAGGACATATAATACAAAAAAAAAAAAAAAAAAGGAACAAACAAAAAAACAACGGGGAAATATCTTGATCTTGAGAAGAGGATTATTTTAGCAAGTGCCTCTCAAGTATTGGAGGGGACTGACGAGAAGAGAAAGAATGTTTAATAGACAAATGAGAAGAAAAATGAACTTTATAATGAGTGGTAGGCAGAAGATAAGTTTAATACAGCAATTACAAAATTTGGGACTCTTTATGAACCTAGAGGATATAAATATTTTTATTGTTTTAATTGATATTTTATTTATTTTAATTTAAAAATCTACAGGTAGCCTATATTACTTTTTTTTTTTTTTCCAGAGGGGGAGCATAGGAATATGGAGTAAATCCATAACCATCAATGATTTGGAATTGGCCAGTTAAGAGCCAAGTTAAGAGTGGCCACAGAATCCCACAACCATTTTATGTGGATTTTCTTAAAAGATTTTACAAAACTCTCTCCTCTAAAATATTAACCTAGAGGATTTCAATAAATTATCACATAGAATATACTAGTATATGTTACTATTATAATATGATAACATAATTTAACACAATATCACCATTGCTCCTTGATCTTGAAGGCAATGAAATACGAATAAGGAAAATATAGTATTGTGAAAAAGAATACAGAGTACTTTTCTTGAAAGTTACTAATTCATACAGCTCTCAGTTAAAAAAAAAAAAAAAAGAGGTGGTCATCACTTCTGCACAGAAAAAGGATGATGTTGATTTCTTTTAAAGTTCTAAGTAGTGACTAGAAGTTCAACTCAAACTAGCATGTTTTGAAATTACTCTTATCCTTAAAGGAGTAATTAAAGATTAGTGTATAATATTATTACTTTAGGATCCATAAGCTATAATTAGGGAAACAAGCATAGACTGTATTTCAGTTATTTAATGATTTTATGCTCCAACTGAGAATTATATAAAGAGTGAGTATTAAATAATATTTAAACTAGATAAATTTATTTCACATGGATTTTGTCCATGTATCACAAACTTAAGCATAGAAACGGTGTGTAAAATGCAAAAAAATGAGAACGGGAGCAGGAATACAAATGAAAAGTGAAACTGAACATTCTGTTCCACACTCAAATGGAATGATATACCAAAATTTAACAGCAATAGTCAATCAATTGCTTTTGAAAATATGACTACGTATTAAGCACTGATGTTTATTTGGGGAGAGTTATTTCTATTGCATACTTTAAGAAAAATCTCAATATTCCAGTGGTCCCTGTCAGCTTCAAATCCATGACTACATCTTGTACAGATTAAGGAGAAAATTTGCATTAAATGATCAAAGTTTAAGGGGGCAGACTCCAAGAAAATGAAAGAAATAATAAGGAAGTTGGAAGTAAAAATCCTAATATAAATTAGGTAGAGGAATTCTGGGATATCCAGTAGTTATTGGCAGAATAAAAGTTGCCTGGAGACTAACATTTATTTCAAAAATACAGAAAAGAGCTTCAATGGTATCATTATTTCAGGTAAGAGAGGACTCCACTCTAGCCAACAAAATCAAATCAAAATGAATAATCAAGGTTAGAAAATGAAAAATCCATGTAATTGAAGGAGGGAGAACTTGGTATCAAATAGAAATCCCTCCTATGGGTCTATCTCTGGTTAACCATTTGCTATGACTGACTGTGGCACTGACTCGATGTGTTAATCAAAATTACCAGGAACACAATTCACTCAAGTAACTGGAAAGAGTCCTGTGGATTTTACTCCAACCAATCCTTCATTTGAAACGTATCTCATTTTTATAAATGCATCTCAGATGCATGTTTAATCCATCTGCACCAATGAGCTGAAACAGCTTCCGCAGCTCCCATTTTGTTTCCCTAACCCACTTCTTCTCAGCGAAGTTCTATTGAGTATTTCAGTAACCTGGGATCACGGAGGCCCTGCTCAAAGCTCAGCCGCTCTCCTTGACGACATACACACAAACATCCCTACACACAGCCATCCTCTCTCTTCCTCTCGCTCTCTCTCCCTGTGGTTATTCTGATCCAAGCCATACTCACAATGTTAGTGACATCTGGAGAGGCTCCGTTCTGCAGCAGAAGGAGGACAATGTTCAAGTGGCCCATGAAGGCAGCCACATGTATTGGTGTGAGGCCAGACTGCGAAACAAAGCAACAGCAGTTTTACTCCTCTGCACCGGTGGGGGCTCTGGGGACTTCGTCAGATAAATAAGACTTGAGTGAAGAGGACAGAGGATGGGTGACAGGAAGGGGAAGAAGGAGTAAGAGAAAGAATGTTTCGTGACAAGCTGAAACATTGTTCTACCTCTGTTATAGCTTGGATTGAAGCCCCATATTTCACCAGCAGTTCCATGACTTTGATGCGGTTTTTCTTGCAGGCAATGTGCAGTGGAGTAAAACCATTCTGTGCAAAAGACAATCAAGTTAGTTGAAAACATGCAGAAACGATCCTCACACAACTCCATGCTGGCACATGGCAGGCAGTAATGTTACATCGTCACATAATGTTCACCATTTCTTCTGAGCTGTGTAGGTGCTGGAATTTGCGAAGAGAAGTGGGTGTGTGTTCCTGCAGGCACTGAACTTGGCTGCTATGTGGTGGGCCTGTATGTAATTCTTTTTGTGTGCTCATCAAGAAAAACAGAAGTGAAGAAAACTACATGGGTCTGCTCTGCAAAGAAGGAAAACTAGAGGGGCAATGATACTTTAGAAGTTCTAAGGTGTTTTCAGGAATACTGATGGGTCGGGTTATGAATGGCTTGAAGGTGCACGGAAGATAAGCATGTTATTTTTCTGATGAAAGGCCATTTCTTAAAGCTACAAATTATTGGTCTGTTTTACTTCAACTACAGGCATGACTGTCTCTACAATAAATGTTTCAGCAATGCTACCATTTTCTTCTTGGAGGGGTTGTTGCAAATTAGCAGAAATCATTATTTGCATTAATAATTTTTTATATTCAAAAGTTATATATCTTCCATTAAGAAATTTTTGTAAGGAATTGCTGTATATTACCAAAACCCACTATACTGATAATATTTTACATCTAGAAGTTATATTTCTTATATTAAAAAGTTTTTATAACAAATGCCAATTAGATATATTTTACTTTATAAAAACGTGGTCATTAAGTTCTTAAATATTTTCAAGAAAAGAATGGAGAATTTCAGGAATAACTGGAAGAAGATATGTCTCAGAGGCAAAGGAATGTGGAGAATTCTCTAAGACATTTTTAACTTTCCAAACTAGGCAATGTGCAGAAACTGGGGATAAGTACATAAAAATTTGTTAACTAGTCCCATGCTTAATCCTTATGTGTAAGTATTATACTTTTATTTTAACAATGATCCTATGTAGAATAGTTGTATCTATTTTGCCAATTAATTATTTTGCTTGTCTCAGTGGAGACTGATCATCAGTCAATATTTTTCTGCACTTAGCAGTTCCCATGAAAGCATACTGTCTTACTTAACCTAATGACTTACTACTCTTCACAATGTTTGTTAAGTCATTTCCTGTCTAAACAGTCATTTCCTGTTTATGACATAAATAGCCAAAAGTATGTGTAGCACTCAAATGATTTTTAATTATGAGATTATAATGGTTTATAAGCTTATTGACCACTACCCAATTGAAAATGCATATTTTCCTCCTTATGAGAAAATAAGTATCCTCTCATAATTGCACATAACCTTAAAAGTATATTTGCTTCCTGGGCATTTAGAAATAAATGGATTCCAATGGAAAATTTTCTAATAAAAATAAGATTTATTATTTAATAATTCTCACAGCATTCTCTCATTTTAAATATTGTCTGAAGACTAATTTAACCAATATTAACTATGTAAATGTATAGGGTAAAACGATTGCTTTTAGTTTGAGAATTAGGAAACAAGAGCATAAATTAGTGCATGCCTAATACTTCCAATGATTATTGTTAGAATGTAAGTGAAGCAAGGAAGATTTATTCAATATTAGACCTTGGGAAATACAGAGGCTGCTCTAGGGACCGCCTCGTGTAGATTCACTTGAGCAATTCCTGGAATAATGTATATAAAATGCTTCCCAGAACAGTAAAATGCTAAGCATCACTTTTACATTAGACCATGTTTAGGGAATGAGGTCAATAAGGAAATCCTCTAAGTGAACACTATATAGGCTTACATTTTACTCTATGTTACATGGTCAAATCTCTTCACCACTTTAAATGCCTTTTTTTTTTTCCAAATAGAGATTAGTAACATTCAACATTTTTATACTTTTATTCTGACTCTATATTGAGGTGTTTAGAATTTATTTTATGATTTCCTATTTTCCACTTCTATTTTCCATTTACAATTGCTTATCACTCCAGAGGTTTCATATCTATCTGCAGCTTGCTAGTCGTGGAAATGTTACCTTGGTGTTTTCCTAAATCTGTCCTTGCTCCCCATCATTTAACAGCAAACCGTGAAGGCATGAAGTAGGCGGGTCACTTGTGGAGCTAATGAACTTAGCAGAATTAACTATGTATCTGCAACCATGCTTTGGCTGGTGTGCACTGGTCAATCCCTATGGTATATTTGTCTCAATCTATATTCTGTTAATGCGGACTAGGCCAGGTTACCAGGGCTCTGGCGTTTGGATTGGCTCTCTTGTCCAGAAGGAGTTTGGTCACACGGTAGTGGCCACAGTGTGCAGCAACATGGAGGGCTGTCAGGTAGTCTAGGGTGACATCGTCAACAGGCGCCTTGTGCTGTAACAGGTGCTTCACACATTCCACGTGGTCCCCCTGTGCAGCCATGTGAAGTGGAGACAGCCCATTCTGTATGTCAAAACAAAACAAAACCAAGCCCACATTTCAGCTGTGACTTCCAGGTTGTAAAACACAGCAAAGTCAATTCTTGATATCTGGCACAGTGCGTGGCAGAGGGAAAAATAATCTCCTTTTGACATCTACATGATGGTGGATTATGTGGGGCGCCAAGGGAAGCTAAGAGAACATTTAATTTCATAGTTATGCTATTCTTGGGTAAAAACACGAATTAATATACCTTTTATGAATGAATACATAGTATTGTGTCACAATTCAGATGGATCTCACAATTACTAAGGCAATATTAGATATAAAAACAAGTGCTAGCTGAGGTTCAAATTATTTGTATTCGATTCCATTCAGTTAGTCTCTCTGCAAGAGTTTCTTTACTTCTAAATGGAGGGCAGTGAAGATGAGGAAGGAGCAAGTAGGTGAGTGAGGGAAAGAAAGGGGTTTTGATCATCTCTTAAATCCATGCTGCTCTGAAATTCTATGATTCCTTCTTCCTATCATGAGACATGAATTGGACTTAGAGAAAGCAGTCAGGTAACAGCTAGAAAAGTGTGAAGCAAATGTAGACCATGTGTCCCAATTTTTAAACTTTGAGGATAATATAAACTTGTCATAAGTGATACTGCCCAAAACAGCTTTAGTCTTACTTCTTGGACAAGGTCAATAGCAGGGAAATATGACAGCAGGGTAGTTCATTAAGGATTATCAGTCTAGGTGAGACATTTGTTTTTTAAAGTTAAATAATTAAGTTTACAAGAAAAAAATAAGAAAATTAGGGAATAAACTAAATTAGAAAACATATATCCATTAAAGTGAGGGGAATATGGCCTTTTCTTAGTAATCAATGCAAATAATGCAAATACAGTCACTAGGAAGTAATTGTTGACCAAGTATCCAGCTTGGCAGTCATTACATTCAAAGAAGCAAAAACTGTGTCTAGATAAAAAGCCAGAATCTGCCAGCGGCCCAATATTTTCAACAAGGAAGGTGATTTCAACAATGAGGGAGAACTCAAATCAAATACCTTAATTGTGGTGGTTTGTGGGTGGTAGAAGTGGATGTGATTTTGAAATTATTAATATACTTTTCTTGGTTTTTGAAATGCTCTTCACTAATAATTACTGCTTTTATATTAAAAACTCAGAAAATTAACTGAGAAAGAACAGCAGGTTGATAAGAAGGTATGTATGCACTGGGGGAAAGGTAGCACAAGGGCAAAGTATAGGAGAAATTCAGCCTTGGCAATGTTTGGAGGGATGGGTGGCATGTTTCTCTGATATTCCATTAATCTTCAGTGTTGTTTGATCCACTTAAAAGCTACGTGGAAAAGAAAATCTTCACCATTTAATTCTGTGGCACATTTTTAAAAATATTTGCTAAGCACCTACTCAAGGCCTGATCGAGTAGTGAGGTACAACATGGAGTACAACAGCCTAGGAACCCCTGTCTTCATGAAGGTCCCATTTCAGCCAGGAGTCAGACAATTCAAAAAGAATAAGAATTAAAATAGTATGTTAGAAGACTACTAGTGTGAAGAGGAAAACTAAAGCACAGGATAACCAAGGGAGTCTGTGTATAGGAAAGCATTATGGATAGGTTAGCCAGAAATGGCCTCACTGAGAAGGTGATTTTTAATGAAAGACATGATGACAGTAAGAGAGCAGGCCCTGCTGATCTGGGGGGAGAACCTCAGAGGGGGAGGAAAAGCAAATACAGGCATGTCCTGTTGAGACCATACCCAGCATGACTGATGAAGAGTGGAGAGGAGAATGCAGCTAAAGGCAGGTGAATAAGGAGGGAGACTCCGGTAAGAGACCTGCTAGTCAGAACAGAGTTTTTGACTCACACCCCGAGTGAGATGGGGGAGCTCGTGGAAGGTTTAGGAAACAGGATTACTCTGTTGCTGTGCTGAGAATATACTGAACAGGCTTAAAAGAGAAAAGGGGGTGGGGGCAGTTAGAGCCTTTTGCAATCAATCCAGGTAGGGCTGATGGTGATCAGGACCAGGGCGATGGTTATGAGACTGTTGAGAAGCTGCTGAATTATGAGATATCTTGAAGGCAGATGTGACAAGGTTTAGTGACAGGCTATGAACAGAGAGAAGAGCCAAGAACTGCATGCCGAGTTTGACCTGAGAAACTGGAAGAACTTGATGGCCATTAGTTGAGATAAGAAGACTACAAGGGGATTAGAAATAAGGTGGGGAAAATATCAGCAGCTGAGTTTCAAACTTACTAAATTGGAGATGCACAGTAGACATCTACGCAGCAACGGTGAGTTGACATCTACAATACAGAATTCTGGAGCTACAGAGTTGTGTGTCTTCAGTGTATACAAGTATTTAAAGATGAAATTGGATGAGATTTCTTAGTACGGATAAACAAATACACAAAGAGTGAGCTCTGGGGGTTCTAACATTCTGAGACTTGGGAAGGAAGAGGGAACAGGAAAGGAGACTGAGCAGAAGTGAAGACAGAGTCTAGGTGTAATGTTCTGGAAGGCAAATTAGGAAAGGAAGGTGTTTTGAGAAAGGAGGAGCAAACAACCATGTCAGATGATAGCAGTAGGAGAGAACATAGACTATATGGGCTGATTCCTGTAATCGGGTAGGTAGGAAGACAATTGTTTCAGTGCTTGGAAAGTGAAGACAAGGAAAGAAGTCTAAGAAGACTAAAGAAAGAAAAAAGTATAGAATAATAAGGCAGCAGGGAATGAGAGTAAATACACTTGGGAAATATACCGATTGTCAGGCAGCATTAAAGGGTAAACTGAGGTAAGCAATCATGAATTTAAAGCCAGCCCAGGCAGCACAGTTGGGTGTTTCCCACCACCACACTCAGCTGCAAGAATGTGAGTTGGATTTATTCAGGGTAAAATATAGCAAGGGAGTATGACTGTGTCAGGGTATGAATAGTCCTGTTGGGCAGAGGCGAGGGCATAAGGTGAATAAGAGATAATAAAACAATGGCTGACAGACTCAGGAGAATAAACACATTTTTGGAGTTGGGGTCCCAGAGAAAGGAGGCCAAAATCTAGAGGCAGTGTTTGGAGAGGCAGAGGTTACAACAGAAATTTCAGATGGTTTACAGCTACCAAACTGAGAGGCCAACTAGAAAGATTATCTATTGCTCTACAATCATTAAAGTCTTCATGAATTAGAATAGGGGTTGTAGAGAAGAGTTGTAGTTTGCCATTTTCCAAAAATGAGGTGGAGTGACAACTAGATAGATGAATATTTGCTTCAGGGAAGAATAACGGATGATTCAGAACTGGGAGTTTTAATGGAAGGGGAAGCATAGTCTGGCCTTAGGTGCCCATTCCACTCTCAGGCTAAAATGGTATCATCTCCCCCACCTGGTTAGTTCATCTTCTCTGTGTTCTCTACCCTGAACACAGCTCTACTTTCTGTTATTATCTCATTATCTATCTTACCCACTCAATTTTGAGCTTTTTGAACAAATATACTGTGTGTCATTTATCTTGATAGTTATCTTGATAGTTCCTCACTGATCAGAACACTGCCTGGCACACTGCAGCTACTTACTCTGATAGCTGGATGCGTGGATGAATGAATGACTGAATAAAAGTGGATATAATCATGCAGCCACAGACATTCTATGCTAGATCCTTACATATACATGATGTTTGATATTATAAGAAGGCCTGTAAAAAAATTTCATCTAGGTAATCCATTAGCTTCATTAGTAACATGACAATTATAGGTGAACTGTAGATAAGATTATTTAATAGTTTGTGGGAGAGCAAATCTGCCTATTCTCGATTTGATAGATGCTTTTCATTGGTTGTAACATGACTGGTGAAATTTTGTTGCTTCCATTTAAATTTCAATCAGTTTACTCAACAAAACTTTCTACAGGGGCAGCTGTGTGGCTCAGTTGTTTAAGTGTCTGCCTTTGACTCAGGTCATGATCTCAGGGTTGAGCCCCACATCGGGCTCCCCGCTCAGAGGGAAGCCTGCTTCTCCCTCTCCCTCTGCTCCTGCTTCCCCGCCACTCCCCACCCTCGCTCATGCTCTCCCTCTCTCTCTCTCTCACACAAATAAATAAATAAATAAATAAATAAATAAAATCTTAAAAACAAAACAAAACCTTTCCACAGTCAATTATCTCTGCATTACTCAGCCCCAAATGTCACATTTTAAAGATAAAACTCTACAACACTCATGGTATCAGTCTGAGAGTGAAAATAATACATAGAATTTGAAGTCACCATTTCATGGCCTGTCGGACACATCTTTAGATTAGGTTCACCTACACATATTTTAAATGTGTGGGTTGGTTTTTGCGCTAAATAATTTCAAATAAGTATTCAATTAAAATATAAACTGAAAAAGATTTGCTGATGTTGGCTGTCTGATTTTTCTCAGCTTACTCTGGTAAGAGCATCAGTTGGTACCAACCCTGTTCAAGGGCTATAGTAGAGGTGGAATACAGAGAAAACATAAGAAATGTCCTTTGTCTAAATTCTTGTTGTACTGAGGATCTAAGGGTTGCAGCATATCCCATTAAACAGTTCTGTGTAATTATATTTATATTTGTATCTCCTGATTTTTTTTGGCAACCCAAAGTTTCGCTAGAAAATAGGGACTTGGGGGTGCCTGGGTGGTTCAGTGCCTTCAGCTGAGGTCATAAGCCTGGGGTCCTGGGATCAAGCCCCACGTCAGACTCTCTGCTCAGCAGGGATACTGCTTCCCCCCCTCTCTCTGCCTGCCTCTCTGCCTACTTGTGATCTCTGTCAAATAAATAAATAAAAATCTTAAAAAACAAAACAAAACAAAATGGGGACTTGTGCAGTAATAACGCTTGTAAAATATATCTTATAATGAAAAACTCCAACAGATCAACTCCCAGTGGGGTTTTCCATCAGAGTTTTCTTCATGGTTGAGCATATTGATCACAAACGACAAGAAATGCTAGATGTACTGAGACATGGAGAACATTAATGGTTCTTTGTAGATGGCCTATCCTAGATTATGCTTTCCATATCACCTACTAATCCTAAATATAATCATCCAACACCACTGGTAAGTCTTTCTTTTTACGCCTATTGCCTAAGAGATAAAGACTGGAGAGCTAAAAGATTATCTTGTATTGCTAACTGTGCTACTTTAAGACAATTTTATATGTATTTTACAGCATCTTAGAGAATCATAAAAGTAAACCTATAGAACATAAGAAATATTCTCATTTATATACAACATGCTCATTTACATTACTCATCTACATAGAATATATTCAAATGTCCACCAAATGTAGGAAGAGTAGCAGATAAAAACATAGAAGTACCTGAAGGTATACAATCAATACGTCTTAATGCATGTATTTCTTAATTTTAAATAATTTTCAAACAGTTTGATATATATTCCTCATTCCTAGCACAGAATTATTGAGTAACTAGAAAACATTGGCCTGATGCTTTGATTTTAAGAAGAACAGAGATTTTCAGAAGAGTGGCTTAAAGAGTTTCTTAGATCCCATCTTACTCCTAATGACCCACCTTAGTCCTTGCCAGCAAGGGAGCACCCCGTTCCAGCAGAAGCTCTACCACTTGGTCATGCCCACTCCTTGCAGCACAGTGAAGGGGTGTCAAACCATCCTGCCAAAAGAATTAAAGAATTAATCTGGAGTTAACGTTAAAAAAAAAAAAATCAAGATTGTCTTTTTTGCCACTGCAAAGAGAAGGTTTCCTGAACTCATTCCTACTGCCTCAACAGATCTGTAATGGAATTGCTACTGGTTAAATGATAGAGGAGAGAGAAAACAAAACAGTGAGAGATCTCAACAGAGGGCTAGAGAGAAAAAGAAAGGGAAGAAATGGAGAGGAAGAGGGCAAGAGGGATCTCACATGCGGAGGTTCAATGTGAAACAACACACTGCTGGTCCTGTGTTTTCATATTCAGGAAGATGCAAAAGCGGGAGTTTGCAGCAATTGTTGAACTTCAAAGCCCTACTTGCTTGGAACCACAAGGCTGAGATGGTATCACTAAATTATCTTCATTTTGGTTGTCCTAACAGAACTTTTACCCCCAAATCCTTCTTAATCTGATTTGTCCATCTTTGATCTCTTGAATTGTCAACTATTTTTATAAATCCTCCTAAAACACCCCCTGTGGCTCATAGACATTTTTTTTCACATTCTTCTAAAGGTTTCCATACAAATTTTTCAACCCAAATTACACAATTATTTCTTAGAGATGAAACTGATTATTAACAATAATAGCATTAAAATGGAGCCAAACAAAATTATGGCCCAACTCTATGTTGTTATTTATACAACTTTCTGACCTTGATACTTCTCAGATAGTTTCTGATTCCAGAGCAATCCTCAAATTCCTTCTGTCTTTTGGATTTTATTTCTCTTTAGGGTGGCATGGCCAGAAAGGAGAGTGGGTAGGTTGTAAGAATGGGCAAGAAGTGAGAGAGAAAATGAAATCCTGAGTACAGAAATTAGCTGAAGATTTCAAGCTTAAGGGAGAAAAAGGTTGTCCTAAGGAGAGATGTTGAAAAGGTAGGTTAACAGTCAGAGAAAATGAGGGGTCGTGAGTAGTTAAGAGGACTTTCAAAAGCTTCTGATTTATCCAGAACTCAAAGAGCCTATCTTTTGTCTCTGTTTCCAGGACCATCGCTCTGGGTTATGCTTTCCTCCTAGTAAATACAATTCATCTGGGTTACAACTCTCTTCCCGTCCCAACATTCTGGAATTTCTACGCTAGATATCGTCCCTTTACCCTCCAGATCCATGCTCTACCTTTCTCTCCTCTGCTCCATGTCTGACAGAAAAAGCACTCTCGGTTGTAGTAGGGGGCTACCTTGCCCTCTGGCTTCTGGCTGGGTATGGGGAACACAGCAAGACAGCCATTCTGTAAAAGATCTCAGCCTGGCTGTGTCTCTTCACCAAAGGTTACACTCAAGCCAAAAACAGCCTTGGCCATCCAATTCTCTCCTTCGAAGTCTTGGTACATCAACTCTCACCTTGCTGTGTTGGGATTGGTCATGAGTTCTTCTATTCCTAGCTCCCAGAAGTCTATACTACCCCTCATGCCTTCCCTACAGTCTACCTACAATGTTAGAAATAGATCCCTTAACAATCTATATTCAAATGATCAAACACAAAGGTGCTGTTTTTGGCTAGGACCTTGAGTTCGAATGATACTTTGCTTTGTTGAATCTACTTAGCTAGTATTAAGATACCGAATATCCAACAGAGACCTTGCAATTTTGGATATGTAAGAATTAGCATGAAAAGACTGCCTTTCGGGGTGGGGGTGGGAATTAACTACTGTAGTCGGGATGCCGAGTTATTTTAAAGTTCACCAGAAAGAAGCCTAAAAAAAGAAACTGTTCAGGCAAAGTAGTTAAGATGATTATGCTTTTGTATCTCCATAACGTACCCTGTGGTGGAAGTACAGCGCATTAGCTGCTATTTAAGTTATATAACTATTAGAGATAGCTTGACTTCTCAACCAGATTCTTGGAGGGGGCCTCATGGAGAACTAGAGTTTGAGAAATCCAACAGCGTGAATGAAGGCATTATATGCAGTGGTCCGACATCTGGGCTCTGGAATCACAGACACTCAGGTGTGAGTCTCAGGTCAGCCACCACGGAGGATTCTGAGGCTCGGCTTCACAGCATATAAAATGGGGTAATTTCCTTTATCCCATTTAACTTATGACCTCTTTTGAAAGATGAGGGACTCTGCCTTAAACCATCTTCAGAAAAGGGATTGTTTTCTACAGAAAACATGAAAGATGCATTGTGTAATCATGTTGAAAACTTTAAATACTCAATTGTTGGGTTAATGTAGAGCATGAAATCAGCCATAATACCTGGTTTGCTAAAATTTAACACGTACAACGATCACGCTGCTGGGGGCAAGGGAAGCTTTCAGAGAAGGGTGTGGGCCTTTGGAATGCTGAGGCCTGTGTGACCACTCTGCTGTTGGAATGCCCCTGGGAGTTGCCTTCCAGAAGCTTTCCGAGCCCAAACAGCCACCCTGTGTTCTAAGAGATATGTATGCATTGTCCTTTAGGCTGAGGTTAGCAGAATTCATAGACCAAGCAGATTAGCATATCTTATCTCTCCCATAAACAGATCCTTCCAGTTTCAATAAGACCCACATCACTTGCTTGAGAAACAGGGTAAGGGTTTGTGATTATCCTGAAGGACCAACAAAAGCCAGAGCAAAGAAGAACAAAGTGTCTTCCTCTCAGAATGCTGATCCCCTTGCCTTTTCCTCTCTTTCACAGTAAAGTTTGTAGTAATCTTTTCATCTGTTGGTACAGAGATTGCTGGCCATTCCTGGCACAGAATAACAATAGGAAAATATGGAGAACACTTAATAAATCCGTAAGAACATCAAAGAGTAATACGGATTACATTGATTCTAAATCTGATGTAATTTATCTCGCTTATAAAGGATATGGACATTATATCAAATTCAATTCTCCCAACATGCTCAGTGTAAACGGATCTTAGATATTTTCTATAACTACACTATCTCATTATTGCCAAAAAAAATCTTATCAAAATTTTGTATTCAAGGACTTTTTTACTTAATTCTTTAAATTAACTCTTAGGAATGTTGATTTGTTCAATATCTTTATCTTAAATTCTTCAGACTATATTTGAAGGCTACTTCCCCCAGGAATCCCTTTTCTTGTTTTCTTTCCTTCTTTTTTTGCCCCTCACTAGAATCAGTTCAGATCACACTATGTATGATGCTGATAATCCTTAAAAGGCTAGATCAGTCAACAGTAGAGGGGCGCCACTTTTCCAGCTGGTAATCCACCGCCTGAGCTTTTTACAACCATTTCTTTCCTTATCTTTTTCCTTCCTCTGTCTCTGTTTAATTGTAGATGTATCCTGAAGTCTGTGTATTAACACAGGCTCTGCTAATGACTACCCTGTGTATCCTAGGTCAAGTGACATAAGTCCTCTGAAAATCATTTTTCCCTTTGGCAGTCTCATTTTCCAAATGAAGACCTCCATATTTTCCTAACAAGCAGTTAACACAACCTTTGTAAACTGGTAGGAAGAGGAAATAAAATGATATTTGTAGAATACTTAGCAGGGTGCCTAGAACATCATGTGCGATGACAATTGGTAGCCACTACTGTTGCTTTAATTATGGTGATTCTTTTTCCTGATACATTGTTTTTCTGTTCATCATCTTTTAATGTTTTTGTATACTTGTATTGTTTGCACTACAACATGTATTTCAATATTTTAACCTTATATGGAGTATCTCCACATTTAAATATATAAGATTAAAAATAAAAAAGAATAATGCTCTTAATAAAAATTGGATTAATAATATCATTTTTAACTAGCTACGAAGTTTCTGTTTTAACATTTAAATGAGGTTTTTCAAACACCAGAAAACCAGAGCTCTGGTGAAAATGTTTGTTTCACACCAGATCCTAGTCAGTGGTGAGAATGTCAACTAGATACAAATGTCTCTCAGTGATTGACAAAGTGCTGGTAGAAGTGGGGAAGAAACAGTGGGTAAGATTTTTTTTAATTACCCCTAATCCTCTACATATCTTGCTTTTCTCAAGATAATGAAAACCTTATAACTGAGAAAAATAATGAGAAGATCAAGTGGAAAATTCTTGATATAACATACTAGATTCAGAATGTTTATGACTAATATGATTGCTAAGGTAAATTGAGACCCCTATTATAAAAAAAAAAGAAAAATATTATTTTTAATTCCTTATATAGAAGCTCTATTGTACTACCTAAAAAGATAGTCAAAAAGTAAATGTAAAATTTTTCTATTTTAAAATCTATTTTCAAAAGACAAAAGAAAAAGCTAACCAGATTCCTCTGTTTTAATAATAAAGTATTATACTTGTATTTTAGTTACAAATAGTTAATAATAAAGTATTATACTTGTATTTTAGTTACAAACAGAATTAAAAGAATCCAACTGCTTTTAAAATCCTACTCCTGAAGAGATAAGGAAGTACTTTAACTTACATTTAAGGAATGAATGAACAGAATGTACACACGATGTATGCAATTATAAAATCTATTTTTGCTTTATAAATTCTTGAATGAAGTACAATTTATTTGTATATCTAAAGGCTACACTGGATGAAATACAGCCCAAATATTCCCTTCACAGAAGGAACCAAGGCTTACATTTGATTAACTTGCTTAAGGACAATTGTTTAATGGCAGAACTAGCATAAGACTTCCTTAGTATTCTTTTTATGAAAATGCACTGCCTATTTGGAGTTAGACTTAGATTACATATGCAAATGTTTGTAGGCCATGCAAATTAAAACATATTTTACAGAACTAAGTACCTACCGCAATGATTAAAAAAAAAAAAAAATCAATTGCCTCAAAAATGAATGAATATACCAGAAAAATATTAATAAGAATAATGTGGATCCTTAAGACACTGGCCAAGATAAAATTCTGTTGCATTTACCAGTGCTTTCTTTACACTGGTACTCTCAATTATTAGAGAGTCTCAATAGAAATAGGTAAGGGAGACATTACGTTAGTAATAAACTTAAAAGAGGAAGCAAAAAAACTCTTTCCTTTAAGCATGAAGAACGAGGAGGCAGAACATAAAGCATTGTGCATAATTGTTCCAATTCTGCATACCTATAGCACAGCAAGGGAAAAGGCATGCCAACAAAGCAAAGGGTAGAAATCATATAAAACTCTGATGCAAAGACAGCAGACAGTACAACAACGATCTTGAGAGACAAAGCAAACCACTCCAGAGCTCCCACATGATAATATGACATAGATGTTCTGGACCAAACATCTTAGAGAAGTAAGATTAAGAAAACAACGTTTCCTGAATTTATAGGGGCGCATGGGTGGCACAGTTGGTTAGGTGTTTAACTCTTGATTTTGGCTGAGGTTATGATCTCAGGGTCCTGGGATCCAGCCCTGGGGACTGGCTTGGCTCTCAGCAGGGAGTCTGCTTGAGATTCTCTCCCTCCCCTTCCACCCCTCCCCACACTTGTGTGCATGTGCACATGCCCTCTCATTCTCAAATAAATAAAATCTAAAAAAAAAAAGAAAAGAGTTTATAGTCTGGGACTGGTGTAGTCAGAAGCTCAAAGATGATAAGGCTTATTAAATAAAAACACTCACTATCCTTAAGATTTGCAAAGGAACTAGATTTGATGCTTAGCCTTGTGACTATGAGAATATAAAGTCCCAGGATTAAACAGTGAAGATAAAATATCACAAGGGACATATCCTATCACTATCTTTTACAGACTTTTCACACCATATACTTCAAACTGTTCACATTATAAGAATGTTTAAAGTTTCACTGAAGTCTATAATTAACCAAATCTATTCCAGGGAACTAATACTGAAGTACTAATTTAATGTTTAAGGAAGTAACTACATATAATGTCATTAACATAATAAAAAATTATGAAGAGCTAAGTTATTGACCCACCCCGCTTTCAAAAAGATAAATAATAATATCTAAGAGTTAATCTTCATACAACCATATGAGATAGGTACCAATATCAGCCTATGTTCAGAGGAGGTAATAAGTAAACTGCCAATATCCTATATCTAGTAAGTAGTAGAAGTAAATTGAAATTAGGTAGTCTGCCTTCAGAGGCCAAACTCTGAACAATGATCTTCTCCAGCCTATCTTATCATCTATTTATTGGCAGTATATAAAACTTAGATTTATATTCTTCTTGACAAATTTGAAATGAATGAAGGGCCCTGCCTCTTACCAAACTGGAATAAGTAAAGATGCAACATAATAACCAGACATCTGCCTTGGGTGCCTGGGTGGCTCAGCTGGTTGGGTGACTGCCTTCGGCTCAGGTCATGATCCTGGAGTCCTGGGATCAAGTCCCACATTGGACTCCCTGCTTGTCAAGGCATCTGCTTCTCCCTTTGACCCTCCCCCCTCTCGTGCTCTCTCTTTCTCTCATTCTCTCTAAATAAATAAAATTAAAGGAAAAAATAACCAGATGCCTTTGTTCCGTAAGCATACAGCAGATCTCCTGCTCAGGTCAGTATAGGATAATCATTTAAGAAAAATGATTTAAAAATTGGAAAATTAGAAGCAAAAGATTATCAACATGTATCCACATATTTTATGTAAAAGCCACACCCTCACAGCATATCGTAGGCTTATGTGTTTGGGTTTTAGAAATGTAAAGCTAGTAATCAGAGAAACTTCAGTTCAATTTTTCATCTTTGTTACCCAAAATAACCAAGGACTTGAAAAACTGTCTCATTGAGGGCCTAGCATTCTGTTTCCCCAGCACTTTTGAGCAAATATTAATTCCACTTGACAATGAGAAACCTTTAAATATTGTATGAGATTTAAATCGAATCCAAGAAAGCAATTTCCTTGAAAACACATTGCTTATATTTCAGGACTGGTATTTTAAGGTGCCTGCTTAAAGAATACAAAGAATAAAAATGGTAGGAAATTGAAAGAACAGAGACACTCACCCTAGTTTTGGCATCGATCTGACCACCACGATCCAGTAAGAGCTTCACCATGTTTGTGTTTCCCCTTTTGGAAGCCACATGCAGAGGAGTGATTCCATTCTACACCATGGAAAGACCAAACAAGAGCATGTTGGGTATGACAGGGCATGACGGTGAAGACTGTGTTAGTGGGCTCAAAGTAAGGCTGAGACCCATGTCGTAATTTGATTCGAGGTTACTAAAGTTTCAATGTCTTTGATTTTTAAGGGACAAAAAAGCACACAAACCACAGAGCACTATAGTTAGAGGATGAAAAATGGAATAAAACTACATAACTAAGTTAGTCCGTGACTATAACATATGTATCGAATATACACATTACTCTGTACACATTGTCAAGAGACAAAGGGAGTGCTTTGACATAAGAAAAAAATGTCAAATTCTACTTAGGATAGAACCCGAGTCAAAGTCTGTATCTTTTTTGTTACAGTATCCAGGCCCTGAAAGATTCCAGGATCTTCAAGTTTCCTTTGCTTCAAAATAGAATACAAATATACATATTCAATAACCGTTGGAAAAATGATTCTTAAAAACACCTTCTTCAGAATAATTCAGTATGAAAAACAACTTGAAAATAGCTCAACATAGTTTCAGTACAGAAGCCTTCTCAGGACAAAACACCATATATATGAATTATAGTTGTTTACTTTATGAGCTACCTTCTGTCATCATTATGGCAAGAATATGTACCTGACTTTTTGCATGTCAAAATTTTACAAATATTCAAATATTGCATTTACTGATTTATATTAAGTACAGTGTTTTGTAATTATCATGTAAGTGAATTCTTTCCAGTGAAAGCTTCACTGGAAAGAATTCACTTACATGATAATTACAAAACACTGTACTTAATATAAGACATGTCTCGTTATGTATTTTGATGTCTTGTTATGTCTTTTGATGTCTTGTTATGTATTTTGGTAAGACTACATGAGCGAACTCTCAATTCACTAAAAACATTTTTTGGTCAAATTATGTGCCCCATAATCATTAAAACACTGTATAAATGTATTTATACATTTGATACTTAACGTTCTAACAGATTAATGATTGATTGACTTGAGTTGCTCATTCATGATTCATGGAGTGATCTTTAAATATAACTACTCACGCTGATGTCAGAATAAATATCCTCCTTAACTGCCACAAATAAATATGCTATTTATTCCACATCACTTTTTAAGTAGGTGAATCACTTTTAATTCTAGTATAACATGTCAAAAAGTATTAAAAATAACCAAATTAAAAAATATATTAAAACATACAATATGAAAAGATGTCAAGTGTGGTAACATAAAGTGGGAGAAGGAAATTAAACTTTTTAAATGCAATTGAAATTGTTTCCAGCTTAAAATAAAGTGTTAAAACTATAAAATTTTTATGTAAGCTCCAAGATAACCACACACATGAAAAAAAAAAACTATACAAGTTACACAAAATAAAAGAAAAACGTATCAAAGTATAATAATACCAAAAGTCAACAAATCATAAAGGAAGATAGCAAGAGAGGAAAAGAGAAAAAGAGCTACAAGACAAGTAGAAAACAATTAACAAAAGGGCAATATTAAATCCTTTTTATCAATAATTAAATGTAAATGGATTAAAATTCCCAAACAGAAGACATGGAGTGAAGGGCGCCTGGGTGGCTCAGTGGGTTAAAGCCTCTGCCTTCAGCTCAGGTAGTGATCCCAGGGTCCTGGGATCGAGCCCCCCATTGGGCTCTCTGCTCAGCGGGGAGCCTGCTCCCCGCCCTCCCCCCGCCTGCCTCTCTGCCTACTTGTGATCTCTGTGAAATAAATAAATAAAATCTAAAAAGAATAGAAGACATGGAGAGGCTGAAGGGAACAAATATTATAAAATGTCTATGCTACCCAAAGCAATCTACATATTCAATGTAATCCCTATCAAAATATGAGAAAGATGAGAGCATGTATGTGTGAACTGATACATTCTTATTTTTCACTTATTTGGTCATGATGACTTCATGTGATTCAAAGAAAAAAAATAATGAAGTATCTAATAAATCCAGCACAGATCCAGACAAGGAAAAAGAAACAAGCTATTACTATTTTCCATTTTTACTTTATATAATGTCCATTCACTGCTATCTAAAATGAGAAGTTATTTTAATCCATACCCTAGCTGTAAAGTCCACAGCAGCTCCCCGATTTAGAAGAAGAGTTGCCACGTTGACATTTCCATAGTGGGCGGCAATGTGCAAAGGGGTAAAACCACTCTATGGAAAGCAAAGAAAACGACAGTCAGTAAAGCATTTCACCTCCATATGTCACAGTCCCTGGATTAGTGAAGAAAATCACATGGTAGTTCTTTACCTAGTATGTGAGCAATACCAGATAATAAATGCTTTAATAAGGCTCTTCAAATTTTAGTGCAATAAGGTAGTAAATAACTAACTAAATAAGCAGGTAAATAAATACCCTGCATTTCTTGGCAACATTATATCTAATTAGCTTAATGATTTATCTGCTTACAAGATTTATTGTTTATACAAAACCATGTTTCTTGGGTTGGTTTAACTTTAGAGAAAAACAGAATATGATTAAACAATAAAGTTTTAGCCATTGGATTAAAGTAATTATGAGTAAAAGAATTTTCTCCAGAGAAAGACTCAAAACTATTGTTTTGTTTTGCTCAGGGTTTTTTTAATAAAAGCAACAACAACAACAACAAACAGCATTAGTTGGCATTGTGCCTTTGGAGCTATGAAAATGTGAGAAACTCTTACAGAGGATACACTATTTGTTCCACATCATTTACACCGTCATACTTCTGTCTTCTTTAACAACTGTGCTTAGTGAGAAGAAGTTGTTACAATGAAAAAAAGTTAAAAAACAAAAACTAAACAATATACCTGGCATCAATGTAAATATCAAATAAAGAAAATAAGTCAGCCAAACGCAATTTTGAATGTTAATTAAAACAAATTTTAACAAGATTGTTATGAAATAAAATAAGCAGGTTAAATCAATTACATAGACATTAGAGAACTGTTTACTCTCAGAATGTTTAAAAAATGAGTCTGAAAATCTTCATGAAAGAAAAGTATACTTCCTTTCATTTCTTTTTCTGATGAAATTTAGTTAGAAATTGTTGCCATTTTCACAATAGATATATATTAACTCTTTTTATTATTAAAGTATGCAAACATGTATTCTCCCCACTCTCCATAATTTCATCATTCTCTTTACTCGATAAAAGATGATAGGATATTGTTAATAAAGACTATTGTTACAGAACTGGATCTCAAACCCTGCAGTTCTGAAGTTATTTTGTATCAGTACCTCTCATTTGAAATGAACTTTGATTTATATACACTGTTTTTAAGAAATATTATCTAAATCAAAACCATTATTTCCTTATTCATTTGATAAACAGTTTTCGGTGACTTTGTTTTTCAAATGTCCTAAATAAGCATTCAGATATCTTAGGTAATAGAAAATCCTCTGTGCTATCAGCCGAATTAGCTGCAAATAATTTCTGACTACAGAGAACCAAGACACAAAATAAGAATAGTAACTATCAGTCAAAATCCCACACTTGTGGTAAAGATAGTTTTGTGTCTATGTGATACCAAATATTCATGACAAAATGGAGGGAAAAATCAGTTTACAACCAGACTGTTATTTTATAAAATGTTAAATTTTTGTATTTTAAGAAGTAATTGACTAGAAGTTTTTCATTTTTATCTTGATATTTCCTGTCATCCAGACATATGCTGAATGTAAGTCTATCTTTTAAGTTACAATTTAATTCCGGGGTGGGGGGGCAACACAGTGATTGCTAGTGAATCATTTTCAAATTATTTTTCTTATTTGCAAAAATAAAGCAATTTATTGTGTGACACAGCCTCGTCAGCCATCTGTGATGATACCTCAGACTCTGACTTTTGACCAACCAACACAAAGCTTGTATAAGCCTCCCTGAAGAACTCTTGCCTGATTACCATGAAGGTAGGAAGCTCAGTTCACCTTTCTACAGGGGTATCAGTGGAAGGGTTCCCCTCTTTGTTACTCTATTGTCCTCAAAGAAATATTTCTAACTCAGTACAAATCTCCCCAAACTGCTGCTTTCAACACAATATTTAGAGCCAAAATTGCTGTCAAAAATACCTCTTAAACAATCACCAAAAATCACCTAAAAATTAAAGGTATTAAAATCAGTAATTAAGATGACAATTTATATGATTCCAGTCTTGAGCAATTTCACCAAGCAATTGGGCTTTTTTTTTTTTTTTAATCTATGTCCTAAGTTCCATGCACAGATATGGGACAGAAGAAATAATATAACTAACTCAAGTATTCGCACCTATATCACATATATTCACATCTTATCAATAGGTAAATTTTTTAATAAACAAGATATTAGTTCTAGAAATACACTACTCTCAATAAAAGTTAAATGAATGCTCAAAACCTCTCCAGGTCCACAACCCAGTGATCATAAGATGTTAGTCTAAAAGAGTCCCCTCAAAAAAGTGAAAATCAACCTACACAGTCACTTGTCTTTGAATACAGGTTTATTTTTACAATATGCTTTCAACAATGTTTGTGTTAGTGCCTCTTTTGGCAATGGTCAAGGAGAGGCTGCTAAACACACACACACACACACACACACACACAATACAGAGAAGCTTCTGCACTGAATGTTCCTGGTGATCGATGTGACTTACTCTGGTATGTGGAAAATAGATGATTTCATATCAAGTATAGTTAAGACTTAGAGAGATAAAAGCAAATGTTCTGATCATGATACTCTCAATTATCACTATTGATTATATACAAAGTGGTTAAAAAAATATGGGAAAAAAGGGCAACTGTAAGGAGATAAAAGAATAAAACAGTAGCAAAGAAACCTCCTTAAATTTCACTTTGCTAAACTCTAGCCTGAGAAATCTCATTAAGAGAAGGTCATATTTCATACTGGCAAAATAGTATTTAATAATAAAGCTCACTCAGAAAACACATATTAAGGAAGAGTTTCATTTTATGCTCTATTCTAATAAGCTACTTAAATAGCTACACTGATAAAATAGCTTCTGATATATGTCACATTAAATTTTTTGAATTATTCATTTCCCTTAATTATGAGAAAAGCTTTTAAATTAATTTCCTACTAATGGAAATTCCAATCATTAGTATGAATTAGTGAGCATTTATCCCAATTGGGCAAAAAACTAAAATCAATAAAATCAAGATATATTTTGGTATAACCGTAATACTGTACCTCAGTTGTCCTATTCACCATCATCTGAAGCAGTGTTGTGTGGGAAAAAGAGGGAAGATATTACACAGAGCAAAATTAAGGAAACAGTCAATCCGCTCGCTGCAGTTGGATACATTGTTTCAACATGCCAAAATACATCCTCTTGAGAAAAGACATCCATAACACTACACAAAACAATGTTATCGCTCTAAAATTCCGCTTCTATTATTTTTGATTACAAAAAGAATAAATAAGCAGATTTCTAAAAAAGCTGAACCTCATTTTAAAAGAAAATTATCTTAAAAATTCTTCTTGTTACTCTACCCAATAGACAGCCCCCTTCTTTTTGAAATACCTCTGGAAGTAATTTATCTCTTTCGATAACCAGAAGTAATTTTGCATTATCACCATGGCCTACTTCTTTATCATCCCCCAGAAGGAACCTGGCAGCTGAAGAGGTCCTTTCCACAAATGCGTTCAGCTTTTACCTTGGATTGTACGTCAGCGTTGTGATCGTTCTGAAGCAGGAGGGCAGCGGATTTGGTGTCATCTTTCCTGGCTGCAATATGCAGAGCTGGCAGCCTCACTTTCCCTTTGGTATCATTCTCTAAGAGGATGGCCACTGCCTGGTTGTGTCCTTGCTGGAGCGCCACCGCGAGTGGCGTGAAGCCATCCTAGTAAAATGGAAAAAGAAAAAATTTTCCATTCACTTTTGGAAGCATGAGATTCAACTCTCAGCAATGCCTCTAATGTTTAAAATAATAATTAAGATAGAGAAGAAATGCAAAAGGATGAAATACTACCGTGTAGATTAAAGCATGGCTAAAATTAACAACTCAGGAAAACAACAGACATTGGCAAGGATGCAGAGAAAGGGGAACCCTCTTAACACTGCTGGTGGGAATGCAAACTGAAGCAGCTACTCTGGAAACAGCATGGAGGTTCCTCAAAAAGTTAAAAACAGAGCTACCCTATGACCTAGCAATTGCACTATGAGGCATTTATCCAAAGAATACAAACCTAGTGATTTGAAGGGGAACAGGCACCCCAAAGTTTATAGCAGCAATGTCCACAATAGTCGAAATATGGAAAGAGCTCAGAGATCCATTGACAGATGAATAGATAAAGAAAAGGTGGTATTACACTATGTACACACCCACACCATGGAATATCACTCAGCCATCAAAAAGAATAAAATCTTGCCATTTGCAATGATATGGATGGAACTAGAGGGTATTATGCTAAGGGAAATAAGTCAATCAGAGAAAGACAAATACCATATGATTTCACTCAGATGTGGAATTTAAGAAACAAAACAGATGAACATAGGGGAAGGGAAGGAAAAATAAAGTAAGATGAAAATAGGGAGGGAGACAATCCTAGGAAACAAACTAGGGTTGCTGGAGGAGAGGTGGGGGGGAAATGGGATAACTGGGTGATGGGTATTAAGGAGGGCACTTGATGTAATGAGCGCTGGGTGTTACATGCAACTGATGAATCACTACATTCTACCCCTGGAATTGATTTAAAAAAGATTAAAGCAACTGACAATCAGTCATTCACCATACTATGGACTGGCTTCATCAGATTGTTTTCTTAGTTTCTATTCTACATATTTTGAAAAACATCTGCATTCCCTCACAAAGCATACTGTGCATAAGATGTGCCTAAATGTATGTTTAGAATGGGAAAATAAAAATTAGAACAACCTTAAGTAAGACCACCTTATAGAAAGGAAAAGATGGAAGGGTAGAGATAATGGAGAACAAATCTGATTGACAATCAAAGATATGGTAGCCAAGACAGAAAAATAAATTATGTGATAAACTATGCAAGTTACTAAATATCTCTATATTGATTGGGGAGAACAATAACTATCAATGGAATGGTCTATTGCCAATTAATTTGACAACTTTGGGATATAATGTAATCTAAAACCTTTTGGTAAGTAAGGCTAATTCATTAATTTTGCATTTAGTTGAATTTTATATTATTTAGATAATTTAGATATAAAATTATATATGCTAGGTTAAAAAAACAGATTTTTAATTCTAAACTTGGAAAACAATTAAAAACAAAAACAATAGCACAGATAATCAAAGTTATAAGAGTTTTAGGAATAGATGGATAACCATACTAAAAAAGTCGGGAGCCATGTTTTCTCTCTAGAAACAAGTATTCAGTTAATGGGAAGGTGGTAAATAAAGAGAAAAATATATATATAGGCTAGGCTCTGTTTTTGTTAAAACCTCCCTTACTCCACAAAAGCTTGAAAACAAGTCTCAGAAGTTTCCATTCATAGAAGAGATGAGGGTAATAGGATTGTACATTAATGATTGCATTTTAGGGACAACAGCAATTTATCATAATCTAACCACTCGATTTGTTTCCAACAATAATCTTTCAAAACTGTAGATTTTTGAGGTAAAATGATTTCCTATTGTACTACCACATAAAGACTTGAATTTATTTTAATAAGAATTGAATTTTAAATAAACACATCACATAACAGAATGGAAGAGTAAACCTTGTAGTGTTGTAATACTAGTAGCCTAAATTTAGAACTTTGTTTGGCACAAATTAAGCACTCTGTGAAGGAGGAAAGATATCATCATATACATACTTGATTATCCACTCTAACACTATAATAGTTTATGTAAAAAGAGCATGAAATTTGTTTTTTCTTAGAGACAATGCATTTGCTGACAGTACAGAACCTAATTAAAAAGTTTTTAGCCTTCAATTTCAGTAACACTCAGGAAGAAGGAGGCTAGCAAACATTTATAAAAATGGTACTAGAGGGACAGAGGATTCCCCTCAGAGAACTTAACTTTGGACGTCCACCACTATGATTTCATTCTAATCCATACTTCATGGGGGAAGGGTAAATATCTGAAATGGGTAAATATCTCAAGTACCTCAACTAACTCTATGAAAAAGAAACCCATATTAAAATTCAGTAGCTTCATTCTTCATCATTTATTTACCAGTGCTGATTGCTACAATTACAGGAAACTTCAAACATTTAAATAGTTATTTTCAAACATAGGTTTCATTGCCATATTGAATAATTCATAATTATCTGATTTTTCAAGTGGTCACAGTGTCTTGATTAGTATTAATTTTTACAAATTAGGTCTACTAACAGGTTAGAGTAAATGTCTTCCTTAGGCGTATTCACACATGTGAAAATGCATCTGTAGGTGTTTGGCAATACAACAAAATATGAAAACGTAATCAGCCATAAGACCCCATAAGGATAGTAGTTTTCTACAGAATGACAGACTAAAAGGGAATGTGGAGAAGTTTATGCATATGTATGTTTCCTGATAATAGATAACAGTTTCTTGATAATAGTCAACAGGGGGGACTAATCAACTTAGCTTATATATGTCATTATTTAAATATTAAAAAATGAAACAAAACCAGGCATACACATGTCTAAGGTAGGATTCAAAACCTCATATGATTCACTTGCAAAAGCAGCATTTTTGTGTAGAAATCAGAGAGGGTTTTAGTTTTCTGCGAATCACAATGTAACATGGCCTCCTCTGATGCAATGTACATAAAGGGCTATTTTTGGAACCAGACTAAAATGCTCCAGAGGTCTAGACCCAAGGAGCCTTGAGACAGCTAAGAATACCAGCAAGTTGAATTTCCCCAAACCATACGCTGGAAATAATAAGGCTATATGGTGAACAGATGAACTCTGTAGTGTCAAGGTTCCTCTGGGTAAGTGATTCTGCATTCAATAAAATAAAATAAACACAGATTTCCTTATTTTGGTACATTTCTCTGTGGTCCTGATACAGAGAGAAAGTCTCATACAGTTACTCCAACTGCCTGAAGATATTCACATGTTATTCATTGACATAATTAGGGTTTTAGGAGGGAAAAAATGGCCCTGAACATAAAAATCACACCGTACCATGTGTAAGAGTATAAAATCTGTATGTGCTAAATAGAGAACTTGAAGTCATTTTACATTGGGTAGTTGTGTTTTCCAAACACAAGCAAAAAAGAAACATGGTCCCATTAATAGTGATTTCTTGGAATTTTGTCTTTAACTAATGAGAATAAGCTGTCAGAAAGTTATTGCAATTGGCTCCATAAAAAGTTTCCTGCCAGAGGGACTGGAAATAGATTACAATGATTTCTTCCCAGACAGCAGGGTAGGAGGGAATCCATGTTTACTTCACCGAAAGGATTAATTGTTCAGAAAGGAAGCCATATTAGACATTAATAATTATCAAGTTAGTTTCTGGGTGACAAGTGTCTATCAGTCATCTTTCACTTCAGGTCAGGAGTTTTAAAGTTTTATCAGTGGTGGCACAGATGTGGAAAAGGAAAATCAAAGCCTGCATGATCTGGCTGAAAGGGGTGAGGAGAGGCATGGCCCAGTGGAACTCTCTTCCCTGCTCTTCTGTGTCACCCATTTCTAGCCTTCTGGGTGGCCCCTTGAGGCAATTTCTTCAAATTCAAGGGTTTCTGGAGCATAGCTAAAAAATCACTGTTCTAAGCAACCACTGAACTTGCTCCTTAATCTGCCAACACAAAAAAATGGGAAGGAAAATAACAAAGCAAGTTCTGTTTACTGGAGGACATGCATAGATAAAGGAAAGTGATGTTCTAAGTTGGCCCGTTCTAACTCCTTCTTATGTCTAGATGTCCTGAATATGTTGATACTGAATTGACTTTGAACATTCTATTTCATTGTTGCTGTGATCACAGTCACACAACGACGTGCCATAATTTGTGCTTCAGAAAAATGCGAACTTTTTTTCGTGACATACTCCTCATAAAATCGTGCTCACACAAATACCCATGAATCATTTCTGATCATTAAAAATTATTCCTTTAAAGAACTGAATTGGATCCTAACAGATAAAATACCGATGAAAAGAGATGCATAGAATTTACTGTCATCGAATTTTAGAATAATATACAAGCTCCCCAAACCCAGAGAATGGCAAATGGATGTAAACATGAGCTAATGGAAAAGCAAATCGACATGAATCCCAAATAAAGACATAAACTCATTCATTTGTGTGTGCTGGGTCATTCACCCATGGCCACTGTTGTAGCTGACAAAAGCAATGCGAACATTCCTAGCATCATTTAGACAAAATAATGGAGATCCTTTGCAGGTGGATATAAAGGACGTGGACACTGAGATCAGAGAATTTGAACCTGTAGGGTTGACAGTCTCACCTCAGTAGCAGTGCTCTGATTAGCTCCATTTTCAAGCAGATATTTTACAACATCAATGTGGTTCTCCTGGGCAGCCATGTATAAAGGAGTGAAGCCATTCTGAGGACAAACAATAAAAAATACATCTTTAACCATTTGTAAAGTTTAAACTGGGGAAGAATACCAGACAAGGAAAAAGAATACTGTGGAGAAAATTTTTGAAATGATGAAACATATAACCTACCTCCCTCCACAATAAAGTATACATATATTTAATACTATGAAACTAACTGCAATCAGAGTAGAACCAATTCCCACACAGAGTTCCTCAAAGAATGAGTTCAAAGTGACATGGAAGCCTATTGCCCTCACTTCCTGTCTTCATTTCAGCTCCGGAGATTTACATTCCCATCACCTAACACTGTTAAAGTTAAAAATATCTAGTATCCTAATATAATCCTATAACATAATCAAATTCTCACTATATGCAGTATATTTATAAAATATTTATGTAATATCATCTGTATTTATTAATTCATAAACTATGTAAACAGACCACCATTATCTCAAATGTACACAGTTTAGCTAGCACCTTTAAACATATAAATTGATTGCTCATTCCAGAATGGCTGGGAGTGATTGCAAATCTGACTGAAAAAGTTTCCAAAAAAAAAAAAACAAAAAAAAAAAACCTATATTTCAGTATTCCAGTTAAAGTGGGATGGTTTATCTTGAACATCTGAACTATTTTTTAAAGCTGTTCTGAAATTCTATCATTCATTAATTCCTATATTCATTTATTCAGTTATTTACTAAAATCTGACCACTGTAGCTGGGATATCACTGGGAATAACAGTAATAAGCGGACATCTGCCCTAATGAAGTATATACTATGGTAATATTATAACAATATTGTGTAGTCATAGTTTTTAAAAAAATCACTGAAATTATATAACTTGAGTTTAAAATTAAGTTTATTTTTTTAAATTTTTTTTTTTTTAATTTATTTGACAGACAGAGATCACAAGTAGGCAGAGAGGCAGGCAGGGTGGAGGGTGGGGAGGCAGGCTTCCTGCAGAGCAGAGAGCCAGATGTGGGGCTCGATCCCAGGACCCTGGGATCATGACCTGAGCTGAGGGCAGAGGCTTTAACCCACTGAGCCACCCATGCGCCCCTAAAATTAAGTTTAAACTGACAATTTTTTTTTATCAGATCCTTTGCAATAGGTAATACCTCATGTAAAAAAAAAAAAAAAGTAAAGCTTTGGAAGAACAAAATATAAAACATGAAGTAATTCATAAACTCTCAAATCTAATAATTCTCTCAAAACAATGTCAGAGTCTTAAATGTTGTTGATTCCCTTAAAAATTCCACAGATTAATGAGAATAAGCAAAAACACAAATGAGACTTCAGGGATTTTCATAAACTTAAAAGGAGAAAAATAACTATTTGAAAACTTCTTCTATAGGCATTGCATAAGTGTGGAAACATTATTTAAAATGGCCAAGACCCAACAAATATAAAAATCCAGAGTATACAAGTAGAACAAGAAAAGACATTTTAAATTTGATTTTAAAGAAAATCTGCAGGCTTCAAGTGGAGGAGGAAATTTTAAAACTGAGAAATATTGTAAGAGGAATGAATTGACAATTTTGTAGGATTCAGGAATAACTTGCTGGCTGGATAGCATATTTTTTAAGACACAGCAAACAGGTGAAATCTTGGGTATTTTAAGAACACTGAAGAGGTGGCGGAAGGACAGAATTAGAGATTCAAAGGAAGGGAAAGCCAGTGAGGATGGTTAAAAACAATGAGTGGGTGTGGGATGGGGCTCTTTCATGACAAGTGAAAGGCTGGATGCAAAAAACAAAACAAAAAAAAAAAAAAAAAAAGAAGAAGAAGAAGAAGAACTTTTAATAGAGTAAAACAATTTGCTTACATGTTTCCCTCTGACAGAATCTTGTGTATAGATTAGGAGAAAGGGAGATGGACTGTGGTTGCCAAATCAATAGGAAAAGAAATGTACCTTTCTTTGGCTCCTGCCCTGGGTCCTGGGCTCTAGAGAGGCCTCCTCTAGCTGAGTAGGGCTGGGGATCCAGGGCCCAAGGGTACATGCCCACCCTGATCCTACAGCTCCCCTGTGTCCAGACCAAACACCAGACACGCAGCTACACATAATCCTTGCTTACATAGCCCACTGTGTGGTGGCAGTTTCTAACTCAAGACTCCGATCTTTGGGTTCATTCTCTCAAGGGTCTGCTGCCATGCCTATCCTGTGACAGACTGACTAATAGTCCCCAAATCTGTCCTCATCTTAATCCCTGGAAGTTGTAAATGTTACCTTATATGGCAAAAGGAACTTTGCAGATGTGACTAAATTAAGGATCTCGAGGTGAGGAGATTATCCTGGATTGTCCAGTTGGGTATAATGGAATCATAGGGTTTTTAATGAGGGGGAGGCAGAAGGTCAGAGAGGAGAGAAGATGCTATAGGGCTGGCTTTGGAGATGGAAGGAGGGGACGTGATCCATCCACATGATGCTTGTGTGGTATGGATGGAGCCAGGGATGGGCCAGGACGAGGAACCAGCTGCAGGCCCAGGTTTAGAATCCGCACACCCCCAGCCACAACCCTACGTGGAACTCCAAGGTTTCCAAGAAGTCTAACTTTGGACCCGTCATGTTGTTATAAAGATATATTTGTCAATGTAGAAAGATAAGAGATGCATATGTAATAGCTTGATATACAGCTTTTAATTTAAAAAAAGTGTATTGTAAGTGGGTATCTTTTTCACTCATGTCCTGGGCTCTGGAAGTGCTAATAGTGGGCTAATGGTAGAGAGAGAAAAGGGGGGAATATCCACGAACAGTACATGGGAGAGGGGAAGAAGGGCAGTGACAGACAAACATTCAGGTTCATGGTTAGAGTATACCATGAATCACATTTGTGCTTCGGTACACAACGGCTTCCAGCGGGGGGGGGGGGATGATGTATATATGAAGAATGATAAAAATAATTTATTGAACTTCTGCTATCTGCCATTCACTGTGAGAGATGCTTTGAATATGTCACCTCAAATTATATTGATCGTGTGCTTCTGTTTGCCTGGGACTGTCTAAATTTATGTATAGTATCCTGGAGTAATTATTAATAGCATCTCAGTTTGGATTATAAATTAAATGGCCTAATAGTATCTTTAATACTAAGAATAGTGCTGCAACCTTGGTACTCTCATCCCTACTTTTCTTTCTTTCTTTCTTTCTTTCTTTCTTTTTTTTTTTAAAGTAAACTCTACCCCCAGTGTGGGGCTCAAACTCATGACTCCGGTATTAAGAGTTGTATGTTCCATCGACTGAGCTGGCCAGGTGCCCTTATCATCCCCATTTGGAATGAGGTAGCTGACAGGGCGCCTGGGTGGCTCAGTTGGCTAAGCGACTGCCTTCGGCTCAGGTCATGATCCTGGAGTCTCAGGATCGAGTCCCGCATGGGGCTCCCCACTCTCTCTCAATAATAAATCCTCTCTCTCTCTCAAATAAATAAATAAAATAAAATCTTTAAAAAAATGAAATGAGGTACTGAGGCTCAGACATTTGGGTAACTTGGCCAAAATCTCACAGCTAACAAGTGAACTGAAAGTGACAGACAGAAACCATTCATGAATTGTCTTCTTCCCTGTATGAAAGTTGGGACTTGATCCCACAGACATGTGATCCTCAGCCTGGCTCTGTGACAGAATCTCCTGAGGAAACTTGTAAGAATGCCTAGGCACCACCCTGTCCTCTACTGAACTGGAGTCTCCGTGTATGAAGCCAAAGCACCTGCATTTTTTTTTTTTTAAAGCTCAGTTTTTGAAATTACCTGAAGAACACTGTTAGTGGTGATGCAGAACAACTGAATGGTTTGGGGCAGGAGGCACCATGATCACATCTGCATTTCAGAGAGTTCACTCTGTTGAGCAGAGTGGACCAAACCTACTCTGGTTTGGAGTAGTAGAAAACAAGAATGAAAGGAAGGGGATAATCAGCTTTTGTAGTATCTGCAACCATGCATTTAAAAGATTAAGGAGCCAAGACAACATCTTGGCTAGGTGAGGGAGGGAGCTATTTACTATTACCAAATATGTGAAGTGAGAAGGCGATAAAGATTTACCACAGGTGCTAAAGATGTGGGAAATTACCCTTTCCTAACTCACTGATGCTACTTAACAAGAAAGACTTGGCCGGAGAACGTGAAACCTGCCTCTGGGTAATTGGGACAGGGCATGGCAACATGTTAACAGCATCGTACATTTTATAGGAAGGCTTTTATCTCTGCATATAAATAGGTTAACAACACAGGATTCTTGGCCTGTGTTCATGCATGCAGGCGCTTTCCAATGTATTATGTCTATATTCTTTCTAAAGTAGACTGGCTGCATATAGGGATAAAAGTATATTTATTTTCTCCCTGTTGGTATAAGAAAGTCAAACACATCTACAACCTGGCCTGATACTTGGAAGATGCTAATGACCACAAAATCATCAGCTGTCATAGTAGTTTCAGTGTGACCAACAGATGCCTCTACCAACTGGTTATTAAATATTTTGAACATTATTCTTCTCCATAGCAAATTATTATTTGTCATTCATTTATATTTATTCAACAAAAATATGTTTGGTGGCTGTTTACCACTAGGCATTGGGTTTACCATAGTGATTCAGAGATGAAAGGAAAAGTCCCTGTTAATTAGGAGCTCGCAGTCCAGAGGCTGAGATGGACAAGTAATCTGTTACAGTTCAGTGAACTCACATAGAATTAGTTTCTTAAAAAAAAAAAAAAAAAAAAAAAAGGTTATAGAAGTGGGGTGTCTGGGTAGCTCAGTCAGTTAAGCAATCGACCCTTGATTTCAGCTCAGGTCATGATCTCAGAGTACTGAGTTCAAGCCTTGTCTTGAGCTCCATGCTGGGTATGGAGCTTACTTTAAAAAAAAAAAAAAAGAAAAGAAATAAAGAAAGAGGGGCACCTGGGTGGCTCAGTGGGTTAAAGCCTCTGCCTTCAGCTCAGGTCATGATCTCAGAGTCCTGATATCGAGCCCCACATCGGGCTCTCTGCTCCATAGGGAGCCTGCTTCCTCCTCTGCC